CGCCAGGCTCCTCACGCGCAGGCTCAGCTCCCCTAGCAGGACGAGACTCGACAGCTACCTCGACAGGCTCAACCGGGTCTACCTGGGACACACCTGAGGGAGCGGCACCCTGAGGGGGGAGGGGGTCTACCACAGCAGCACCTGGCGCGAGGAAGAGAGGCGGAGGGGGGAGCGGGGCAGTGCGGTAGGGGAAGAGGCGGTAGTAGGGGACGGACTCGTCAAAAGTGACGTCCTGAGAAGGCAGAACCCGGCGCGAGGTGACGTGGTAAAACTGCCAACCAGGCGCGTCCGGGACAAAGCCAAGGAAGACACAGGGAACAGCGCGACGGGAGAGCTTGTCCGCGGACGTGTCGCGAACAAAAGCTCGGGATCCCCAGACCCGAAAACGCGACGCATCGCCAACCTCTCCCGTCCAACGCAGTGTCGGGGAAGTCTCCGGCAAGGAGACACGGGGCCAGAGGTTGAGCTGATGCGCAGCGTATCGGACCGCAAACGGCCACAGAAAGTGGGGAGCAGCCGCATGGATCAGGGAGGTACGAGCGACCTCCATGACCAAGCCAATGCGGCGCTCAGCAACCCCATTCTGCTGTGGAGAGGCCGGAAGCGTGAACGACTGCTCAATGCCGTGCTCGGCACAGTAGGCTGCCAGAAGGTCGGAGGAGAACTCACCACCTCTGTCAGAGTGCAAGCGCAGGACAGGAAAGTCCGAGCGAAAACGCTCGCTGAGCTGGAGACGAGCTCTGCTGATCCAAGGGATCAAGACAGCAGGGACCTCACCCTTGGTGCGCAAGGGGAAGACCGTGGTGTAGCGAGAGTAGTCGTCAACAACAATCAGGAAGTACCTCTCCTGACCCTGACCACGGACGCGGGCTGGGCCCCACACGTCCAGGTGGAGCGTCTGCAAGGGAGCAGTCGTCGGGGGAAAGGAGGAGGAGTGAGGAGCGGCGCGCTGCCGCCCCTCGACACAGGGAAGACAGGGAGGAGCAGGCGAGGGTGGGAGGGGAGGGAGAACCCTGGGAAGACCAGAGACAAGGTGCCGTTTGTGCATGGCACGAAGGCGCTGCACAGACGGGTGACCAAGTCGGTGGTGCCAGAGGACAGTCTCATGCGCCAGAGAGCGACACGAGCAGGGGGCGGACAGCTGACCTGACGCAGACGCAGACGCGGACGCAGCTACCTGAGGGGACTCAGTGGTCAGTGTGTACAGGTCCGACCCCGGCTGCCGAGTGAAGGTAGCCAGGTGACGGCCCGTCCGAGCACACGTGCAGTGTGTCACGCGCTCGTAGGCAGGGGTGAACTGGTGAACACCCGCGTCTTGGAGCGCACAACCCGCCACCAAGTTCGTAGAGAACGAGGGGAGGTGGAGACCGGACAGTGTGCCCGACGGGACCGCAGGACAGGGAAGAACAGTGGAGGAGGTCGCAATGACCGGACCCCCAGAGGGGTCAGCGAGGGAGACAGCAACTGGCCGAGCAAGCGGCTCAAGGGCAGTGCGGTCACGAAAGAAACAGCGAGAAGCACTTGAGTCCAGGGTGAAGGTGTGCAGTGCCTCAGTCGACTCAGTACCAGGGGGGACAGACTCACTAGCACCTAGAGCGGCAGCCTCACCATCACCTGAGGTGGCAGACACGCGAGTACCTGCAGTGGCAGTCTCACTAGCACCTAGAGCGGCAGCCTCACTGGTCAGAATGCCCGGGTCGGGCGGAACACGCAAGTACTGAGCACCCTCTCCACTAGTAAACATCGCATACATGGCAGTGAGAATAGCATCAAAGTCTAGAGCCCAGATATCAACTCCCTTCCTCTCCAGATCAGCCCAGCGGGGCAGCTCAGCGCCATCAGGGAACTGGGCGCGCCAAGCGTCGTCAAGGCGCGAGAAGCAGCGCTGCGTGGGGTGCGGCCTCCCACACGTCTGACCAGTGCGGTCACCAGTGCGGATGACGTACGTGCAGCTAAAGCCACCCGCCCGCGGGCGCTGCGAATACCACTCACGGGCCTCCTGGAGCGACGGAGTGTGCTGCTGGCTCTGGCCACCGCCAGCGCCTCCACGACCACCACCGCCGCCGCCACCTCCTCGACCACCTCCTCCCCTGCCGCTGCCACGACCACCTCCGCCCCCGCTGCCGCCCCCGCCCCTGCCACCGCCCCCGCCGCTGCCGTCACCACCCCCACTGCCGCCACTAGCCTCTCCAGCCCCTCCTCCACTCCCACCGCCTCCACCCCCGCCTCCCCCGCCGCCACCTCCACCCTTGCCCCCTCTGTTCCTGCGGCGCCCGCTCGGAGCAGACGCCGTCCCGACCTTCTCAGCACCAAGGAGGTCGACAGCAGAAGCAGAGGCTACAGAGGGGAGAAGGGGGGAAGGGGAACACCCCTCAAAGAAAGGGGTGCGGGGGTCGCCACGAGAGGCACCTACAGCGACGATGCTCGCCTCAGCTGCAAGGAGTTCCTTCTCGAGGAGGGCAATGGTGAGCTCAGTGGGGCAGCGAGCTAGGAAGTGATCCCTGACTGCGCGCAGAGAGTCAGGGAGGCGGGTGACGATGTGGTAGAGAGTGAGCCAGAGCGGGGGGGGGTTGCTAGCAAGGAACTCGTCAGGCATAGCAGCGCGAAAGCGGGCCTCACTAGTCTTGAGGTGGGTGATGAGGTCAGCAACTGTGTGAAAGGAGGCCAGGTCGGGGAACAGGTAGGGGAGTGAGAGGCGGCCTAGTGCGGCAGAAGCAGGTGAGGAGTAGCGAGCAACGACAGCAGTGTACAGTTCCTTAGCAGTCTTGTGCTGGCCAAAGTGCTCGCGCTCATCTAGCGGCAGGGAGTTGCAAATAGCAAAGCGAGCGTGGGCGTCACGAGTCTGCCACTGTGAGCGCTGAGTGCTGTCAGCAGTGGTAGGAGGGGCAGTAGCGTGACCGAGGGCATGATCGTACAGTGAAATATCCTCCTTGGCAGTGAGCTGTAGGAAGAGGTGCAGGTCATCTAGCCAGGTGTCGAACTTCACTGGGCGGCCCTCGGCATCGAAAGCGAGTACAGGAGGACTAGCCATAGTAGCAGCAGCAGTAGCAGTAGCAGCAGTAGCGGTAGCAGTAGTAGCAGTAGTAGTAGTAGCAGTAGTGACGGGGCCGCTGAGAGGCTGTGCGCGGGGTCGACGGGGCCGGCGGGGCCTCTATGCGGAGGGCGGGCGGGGTCGACGGGTCCGGCGGGGCGTCTAGGCGGGACGCGAGCGGGATCGACGGGCCGGCGGGGCCGCTAGGCGGGGCGCGGGCGGGGTCGACGGTCCGGCGGGGGCCTGCGCACGGGCGGCAGCGGTGCGCAGGCTGCGGTTGCGCGCGGGCGGCAGCTGCGCGGAGGCGGCCGGCGTGCGAGCAGCTGCGGCGCGCGGGCTGCAGTTGCTCGCGGGCGGCAGCTGCGTGGAGGCGGCCGGCGTGCGAGCAGCTGCGGCTTGCGGGCTGCGGCCTGCGTACGGGCGGCGGGTGCGCGGGGCTGCGGCCTGCGTGCGAGCGACGGCAGCGCGAGGCGGCGAGCAGCTCGCGGGCTGCGCGCGGGGCCGCACAAGGCCGCGGCGGGCTGCGCGTTAGCGGCGCTGGCTGCGCGGGGAGCTAGCGGGCCGCTCGGGCGGCTAGCGGGTCGCGCGTACGGCAAGCGGGCCGCGCGTGGGTGGCTAGCGGGCTGCGCGTACGGAAAGCGGGCCGTGCGCGGGTGGCTAGCGGGCTGCGCGCGCGCGGTAGTGAGAGGCGCACGAGGGCGCGAGTAGAGAGAGCGCACGAGGGCGCACGAGTAGAGAGAGGCGCACGAGGGCGCGAGTAAGGCGAGGCGCACGAGGGCGCTTCTAACGGAACGGTGGGCCCGTAGTAGTAGGCGGTCCTAGGTGCCTAACCTAGGCTCGTAATACCATGTTAGAATGAACAAGTGTTGTTGGACTAGAAAGGAATGAGAGTACAAATATGAAACCCTAGAGTTGTGACCCCCCTATAGGCTAACCCACTATAGCCTACACAAATATAACATGTATAATGTTTGACAGTATGCGCGTCTGTAGTGCAGGTACATTGTACGACTGGATTGTCTATATCTGCCAAATTACATAGATCCGATAGGTTAAAATATGGTTGGGGGGTGGGAAATGGTATACATTAAAGGAAATAGGAATACATATGGTATTCATTGCATTTGTACAGAGATAATAAAGTCTCGCTCGGTTCGGTCAGTATGCACGTTTGTGTGTAGGTACAAGACGGAACTGAAGCTTTGAAATCTCCCAAAATATGTGGATCGGAAAGGTTAAAAGCTAGTGTTGTTGAAGTAGAAGGCCTAATCTAATGGACTGGTAAGAATATAATACTAACTGTATCTCTACAAACATAAGTAATGCGCTGGTCAGTTTGGTCGGTATGCGCGCCTGTAGTGCAGGTACCTTGTACGACTGGATTGTCTATATCTGCCAAATTACATAGATCCGATAGGTTAAAATATGGTTGGGGGGTGGGAAATGGTATACATTAACCGAAATAGGAATACATATGGTATTCATTGCATTTGTACAGAGAGAATAATGCCTCGCCCGGTTTGGTCAGTATGCACGTTTGTGTCAAATAGACCTATTTATTACCGTAAGACTTTTTTTGCTTGGTTCGTGCGCAAAGAAAAGTTCGGCGCCTATGATTTCAAGAAAAGTTATTGAAGATAGAGAATGAAGGTTTACACTAACTACTGGTAATCGTGATAATGTACGCGCTACGAGGTTTCCATTTTGAAATTTCAACTTGGAATTCGCCTAAGGACAGGACTCAGATCAGGCTTTCTCTGCATGCTCCTTTCCGCCATCCCATAACCTTTCTCTGATTGCTTCCCCTTTCGTTCATTCAGACTCAGCCCGTGTAGAACGTTCTTCGCCCAAAAGTCTCCGCACGAAGTTTGTCGTTGATTCGAATATTCGTAGGTTTCGCTCTTATTGGTCGTTACCCTCCCGTTCCCCCCTGCCCTTTTTATTAATAGCTGCTCAGCTACTAAGCACGATGTTTGAGGCGCGTCTAGTTCAAGGAAGCGTGTTAAAGAAGCTTCTTGATGCGATCAAAGACCTCGTCACTGATGCTAACTTCGACTGCTCCTCCACTGGCTTCTCACTCCAAGCCATGGATTCTAGCCACGTTGCACTCGTTGCGCTTCTCTTGCGAGCAGATGGGTTTGAACACTACCGATGCGACAGGTGAGGAACAATTAGGCGTTTTTCATTGTTCAAACGTGGATATTAGCGTCCATATTAGCCACAGAGAGGGTGTATGAGCTGACGTTTAGCAACTGTTGCGCTGCAGGAATCTCACATTGGGGATGAATCTGGTGAACATGGCCAAGATGCTGAAATGTGCAGGCAATGATGACATCATCACAGTGAAGGCTGAAGACGACGGCGACACAGTCACCTTCATGTTCGAAAGCCCAAGTAAGCTTCTCCCTTTTCCAACAAGCAGGGTCCAAAGTAGACTGTCGAGGTCAACACGTGGAACGGTAGTACCATGATGCGAATCTATAATTGACAATCGATGGGTTGCTCGGTGGAATGATTGTTGATTCTGATGGGCGGAATTGATGTGTGTTGTTTACCAGAGCAAGACAAGATATCTGATTTCGAGATGAAGCTTATGGACATTGACAGCGAGCATCTCGGCATTCCCGACGAGGAGTACGATGCCAATATCAAGATGCCAGCAGGGGAGTTCCTCCGCATTTGCAAAGACCTCAGCTCCATTGGCGACACAGGTGAGGGATTTTCTGGTTTTGCTGTTTCTGCGCGGGTGCTGATTCTGATTCGGAAGGTGCTTTTTTCCTGTCTTCAACACCCAACTTGTTTGCATTGAGCTCCTAATTCGTACTTCCACTTCATATCTATGGTGCAGTCATTATAAGTGTGACTAAAGAGGGCATAAAGTTCGCTACATCAGGCGACATTGGTAACGCCAATATAGTCTGCAGACAAAATTTGAATGTGGATGAGGTGAGCAATTGACATGCCCACTCCTGTCTTATTGTTCTTGCCCACTGTGCACTTCATGAACTCCTCTGTGGGCTCCTGTCTTAACGTTCTGCATATCTGCCGTATGTTTTTGCAGCCTGATGATGAAACGGTCATTGATATGAAGGAGCCCGTTTCACTTACATTTGCACTGCGGTACCTGAATTCCTTCACCAAGGCGACTCCACTGTCTGGTGTTGTGAGACTGAGCATCTCCAAGGACCTTCCGATCGTTTGTGAATATGCCATTGCCGACATGGGCTACCTTCGATTCTATCTAGCTCCAAAGATTGAGGATGAAGATGAGGCCAATTCATGAGGTATGTGCATTATCTGTCACTTATATTCATTGGGACACATGCTCAGGCACATGCTAGTGAGCATGGTGGTGGGAGGGTATTCACGAAGGGGTTTGTATACGCTTGAGAGGGAGAGGAGGGAGGGGGAAGAATAAAGTGGTGGGATAGTAGGGGAAAGGTTATTGGGGGTTTGAAGGTTGAGCTACTGAACGTCCAGGGAATTACTCCTAACTTTGGGGGGGGGAGGGGGTCGGGGGGAAGGGGGGGTGTGTAATGCTCTTGAGAAATTCTTCGCAATAAAATTTGACGGAAGGGAAGCACAGACGAGATGTGAGGAGGACAAGGAAGCGAGGGAGTGGGAAAGGAAGCGGAAGGGGGAACGCTTGAGAGGGAGTTATGCCATGTTGAGTCTTGTTAGAGGGGTTTGTCTAGCAGGGCGGGTGTTAGACACAGAGCTTGTGTCAAGCTTGTGGTGTTGTAGGTCCAAGCCAAGGCTGATGGGTTCTTAACTCGTGTGTATTCTTATGCTTTTGCCTTGGTGTCGACAGGAAACAAGATCTCCGGAATTATCGTGCTACAACCAAAATGAACTGTGTTCCACATTTTGAGTTGAGTGAGTTGAAGCATTAGGCGTAGAGATGACCTTGGAATTGTGAGGTGTTGGATTGGAATGTAGTTATTGTATTGTAGTAAACCCAATCAAACAAAAACCTGTTACCCTGCTTTGGTAGGAGGACCACAGAATTTAGGGTGAGATAAACTGGTGTATATTACCGTATCATCAAGCAAGATTTCCATTAATAATTCCCTTACGGTCAGCATTTTATTACAGTGTGAATGTTCTGTTAACAGAATCTTTATAATCCATTTTATTTCCTACTGTACACGCTAAAGCTAATCGGCTTGTAACAGCAGAGACCCCCTCGGCAAAACCGAGAGCAGCGCGATGCTGCCAGGCAGAATGCACTGCCATATATTTTCGATTGTGAGGAAGATAGCTCTACATTTCCCCAGTCTCGATGTTCAGGCGTTGAACCCGTCAACCTCCCCGCAATGACTCTGCAAAGCCAGCTTCTTCACTCTGTTTCGCCGTTGAAGAAACAAGAGTGCAGCCTTCTATGGTCAATCTTATTTGCCATGGTTGCAGGTTTTGCGTGCACCCTCGTCTTCGTGAAATTGCCAATTACTGATAAAGTCACAGCCATTCAGCAGCCTGAGACCCTTCCGACTCCAACGAAGAATGTAACGTTCAGAAGAGCTAAGGCTTTTTACCTCAACGTTAAGTACGCGGATTTGAACTGGATTCAGAAGCATACATTGAAGTACCAGACAGACGCTGCAACCAAGAATTATGTTCACGACCTTGGAAGCCAGAATGATTTTGTGATGCTTCACTTGGCTCATCACAAAACAGGTAAGAGAGACGCTTGTCAACAATCAATCCGGTTTTTCAACTAACCTCGTTATGTTACAGGCACTGCTTGGTTTTCTCGAATCTTCAGCATTTTCGGAATGCGGACTAATATGAAATTTGTCAAAGGCGACATTCAAAGCTGCATCGAATCAGAATCCAAAATATGCCAGGTCCGGATCATGCCAGTTACGCTTGGACTCAGAAAGTTTTACAGTTGTCTAACGTTTGTATCAATCTTCAGATCAACAATGCGGCTCTAGGCTCTCTTAAACTTCTGGGAGACAAAAAATACAAGGCCATTATGACAGTCCGAGATCCCAGGGATGTTGTGGTGAGTGGATATTTCTATCACAAGACAACACAAGAACCATGGGTGCATGAGCCACGCAGCGAATATGGAGGGAAATCTTACCAGCAGGTGAGCACCTGACCAAGCCATCAGTTGAGTGTGTTTCTAATAGTTGAACTTCAAGCATGCCTTTGTCAGATGCTGAACAATGTGAGCAAATCCGCTGGGATCAACATGGAAGTCGACATGATCACTGGAAGCACTTGGAGGAACGACACACAAGGTGAGTCCGGAATCAATGTTCAGGTACTATTAACAACGAATAACCACCATTGAGTCTGACGCAGGTGCATATGCAACTGTTTTGAAAGACTTTCTGAGAGTCAGAGATTCTCGGTTCACCTTGGTACGCTATGAAGACATATGGTACCAAGAGCAAAGAAGGATAGGCTCAGCTTTTGCATCTATTGGAACTTGGTAAGCAATTTGTGTGTTTTTCTGTAAGGCTTTGACGTTTCATGTACTGTGATTCTCATTGTGCAACTTTTATCAGGTATGGATTGAATAACAGCCTGCTACTCAAGATCTTCGTCCAAAGTGCAGTGAAGGTTGGTCAGGAAAGTGCAGCTTACCGCTCTGTTGCAAAAGGGGTGCTTTCTGCAGACGACAGAGGGAAGGATCACTTCAGGAAGGGCACACCAGGAGATTGGAAAAATCATTTGACAAAGCAAAACAAGGGCTACATCCGTGAAAAGCTGGGGTCTCTGTTAGTGGACCTTGGTTATGAGAAGACTATGAGTTGGTAGGCTGACATGATTGTGTATCGGAATTGACAGGTATATTGAAAGAAAAAACATACATACTACAATGTCTCCAACAAGCTGGAAAACCGTTGGATTCAAACATTTTTGCAACAGACATGATGGAAACAGCCAGTGACGTCAATAACTTCCGGATAATCACTCCAGATCATGGTCTTTGCTCAAAGAGCTCCCTTCAACAGCTACAGCATGCCTTGGCTTCTGAATCTTTATCACCAGGGGCTGCTTTTTTCTTTGAGTTGCAGGCACCTTCATGGCACCAGGACTGGGGACGGTTGCTGAACTGTCTTCGCCTTGCGATGCAGGATCCTGTGTGCATTTCTCACCAGTGGCTTCCCTTGTGACATCCGTGCATGTGCCAACTTCATCAGTGACACCACCAGGCACACCACTAGCCATTTGAGCAGCACCAGAACTGGCCAACGTTTTGCCCTTCGCACCTTTCTTGAAGATGCCTTTTTGACTGACTTGGTTGGACCTGCCTGATCCCGCTTTGACTGAAACTGGTCCCACTGTTACTGCAGCAGACTTAGTCCCATCCTTAGGTGCAGAACTCCCCAGCTTCAGTTTTGGAAGATCTCGTGGAGCACCAATCTGTACAACTTTGAGTGAACCCTTCCCGCCTGGATTCACTCCTTTTTTCTGCCCTCTTCCTCCCACTCCAACAGCAGATGCAGCAGCAGTGGCGACTCCTGGATCAGATGGATTAGCAGCATCTGCTAGCGTTGTTTGAGAAACTCCAGCTTTAGACGTTGTTGCTGTTCCTGCTTTCAAAGCGGGTGCCTTACCCTCCCCCTGTGCTGCTACTCCTTCCATCTGCTGCTCTAGCAGCTTCACAACTGAGCCTCTGCCTTTGCCCTCCCCAAGCTTCCTTTTTTTCACAGGCCCTGTACCCGTTCCACCCATAGCCACTGTGCCTGCAGCTCCTTTGCCCGGACCAGACAAAGCAACTTTAGCTGCAGCTGCCTGTACACCCTGGCCTGATCTGGCATTGGTCTCTTCAGGTGTGCTTGTGATCGGCTCTCTTTTCGCAGCACCCATTTTTCTGGCAAGGAGCTTGGCTGATCCTCTTCCTGTGGACCCCTGTACTGATGCTGAAGCGTAGCTTGTGTCCACCTCTCCAACAACCTTTGCTACTGATGCAGCCCCCATTGTCCCTGTCCTGCCAGAAATTGTCCCCTCTGCAGCCACATTCCTTTTTTTAACAGCTATTGCAGTCTTGCCTGGTATGACTACTTTGACTTCCTTCACCACAGCAGGTGGGGCCTTGGATTTTGTATGTGCTGATGCTGAAGCCACAGGTGCACCTTGCTGCTGTTGACTCGCCCTGTTGGTCGCTGCTTTCTTGGCTTGGCTGGCCTTTGCATCAACAGCGCCTGACCCTGCCATCGCTGGTGGTCGTGGTGGTGCTTCTGTGACTGCTGTTGGTGTTGTTGCTGGTGTTGGTGCAGGCATATCGTCATCGGCACCACCGACAGCAGCATCAACAGACGCCCCTGGGGCAGCAATACGTCGAGCACTCTCATCAGCAACAGCCACTGCTCTTTTCCTTTTCAGCACTGCTCTCATACTTTTTGCTCCACCCTCCCCACCACTAACACCTGCCGTCTGCTTGCCTCCTCCAGCAGGTTTCCTTACTGTCCCACTCGTTCCCACCTCCTGTCCCCCCATCTTCCCGGCCTTCCCGCCCGTGTCTTCGCCCACAGCCCCAGCGACTGCCATTACTGCCTTCTTCTGCACAGACGCCCCCTGCCTGGCTCCTCTGTTGGGTCCTTGATGGGAAGTTGATGGAGTGCCTTGATGCATTTGAAGAGCCGAATGGGACATTGATAGACTCTCATGAATTGATGGAGCAGCAGGAGGGGTTGAGGTTGCTTTCGGACTCTGCTTCGCCTTGAGGACAGGTTTGAGGCCAGGTTTGACTACAGCCATCGAAGGAGGCTTGGCGGGAGGCCTGGCAAGAGGCTTGACATAGGGCTTGGTTGTGGGTTTGACAGGCCTTGACAAAGTAGGGGATGCTTCCAGGGCTGGCGTAGCTGCAGCCGCGAGCTGCTTCTTTCCCTCAGAAACCTTTCCTGCGTCATTCTGCAGCGACAATGCCGGTCTGCTCCCCTGGCGCGAAGGTGCCGCCTTACCATCTACTGATCCACCTGCTTTGCTTTTCCTCACAATCTCTCCACCATCTCTACGCCCAACGAAACTGGTCCTACAATGCTCCGTACCTTGTTTCTCATCTCCCTTATCCCCACCCCCTGCATCCTTCCCATCCTCTTCCGCCTCCTCATCCCCATCCTCTCCTCCCACAGAAGCCATCACATTACCCGACTCCTTCAACCGATGCTGACGCCTCTCCTCCAGCCGCACATTCTGCTGCAAAACCACGTTATCACTTTCTTTCCCCTCCTCTTGCATCTCATCCTCCTCTCCACGCACCTGCCATTCACCTCCCTCCACATCCACCCTCTCACAGCCCACACCTCTTCCATCCACAACCTTTCGGCCTTTCTCAAAGCTACCTCGTCGCCTGTCATCCATATCCTCCTTCCACTTCCCCTTCACAGAGGAGCCATTAATGGTTGCGCTCGGTGCAACTCTGACTCCATCTGTTCGGCTGCACCCTGTCCAACCGTTCATCACTCCTTCACAAGCTGCTGCTTCTGCAGCCGTTCCTGTTGATGCTCCTACTCTCCTCTTGTCTGCTTCATTAACCCCGTCGCCATTCAACCCACCGCTGTGACCTTCTGAACCCATACTCCGCCCGATATCCTCCCCTTCTGCCTGCTTTCTCTTCAAGCCAGCCTGAAAGCGCCGTGCCAGCTTGGGAAGGCGAGCAAGCGGAGGCTTGGGGATAGGTGCAGCACAAGTGGGCGAGCGGTGAGGAGGCTTCAAAGGTTGAGAGGGAGCGGGGAGACACTTATCCGCAGCATCTGGGACAGGAGACCGGGATGGAGGAGCAGCAGCAGCAGCAGCAGCAGCCTGGGCTGGAGCAGCAGGGGGAGGAGCATCACGGGAGACAGCTGCAGATGGCGATGCAGCGGTTGCAGGAAGAGCTTTTGCATCAGTGGAACGCACTTTGCAAGGTGAAAGATGCTCCTCCATCCGCCTTGCAGGACTACATGCGGTTGTGAAAACAGCTGCAGACACAGCCGCTGATGAAGCAGCTGCTGCAGTTGACTTCGGTGCTGTTGCTGTGGTGACCTTTGCCTCCGTTTCTGTGTCTGGCACCAGAGCCAGTTGACCCTCGTCTTCCTGTCTGTTCAAGGCTGTCTCTCCTTGCACCCGCTTTCCCCCTACTGCCAGCTCGTCTGCCCGGGCCTGCTCCTCCGCCTGCACCTTCATCTGTGCCTGCGCCTGTTCAGCAGCAGCAAGGGCGGCGAGTGACCGGCCATGCACCAGAGCATAGGCCACTTCCAGCAACTGCGTGCTCAGACCATGGAGCCTCGTTCGCCATCCCTCCACCTCCTCTTCCTCGTTGCTCCTTCCTTCCCGTGGCAATTCCCCCCCTCCCACTTGCTCCGGTACTTCACCTGCCTTCCTGTTTTCAACAAAACTCGGACCAGTAACTTGCATTCCCTGTCCTGCCTCCCCGCCTCCCCCTCCTCCCACAATCTTTCCCAGCACCTCTGCTCTCGCGCCAGACCCCGCCGCTTCCCTCGCAGCAGCTTTCATCCGCTTCACTCCCAACGCTCCTCCCCCACCACTCACTCCCCCCTTCTTTCCTCCCCCTAGAACTTTGCCAAAAGGAAGCTCCCCAGAGGCCTCCCGCTCTAAGGCCTTGGCTGATCGCAACAGGGCTAGTGCTCGATCCGCATCGCTTTCACTTGCCTTGGCTCTAAGAAGGAGCGGATTGGCACGAGGGGGAGTAAGCGAGGGGAATGGGGAGGAGGGGGGGGCAGCAGGGAACGGGGAGGGAGAGGAAGTGGTGCAGATGGGTTTGCCTGGAAAAGAAGGAGCACAAGAGGGAGTGGAAGGGAGGGACGCAGCAGCAGACCCAGCAGCGGGTGCACCAGTGGCTGAGATTGTACCGAAGGCCTTTGTGCTGGCGCTGGAAGGAATAGCCAGAGACGACTGTGATTGCATGGGATTGTGGGGCGGAGCAGTGGCATCAGAGGCAGAAGAAGGATATGGTGCTGGTTGCATAAGAGTTTGGCCTTGCAGCAGTGGTATGGTAACTCTGAGCCCTCCCCTCGTCAATACAGGGACAGGCCTTGCTGCTCCTGATTCCACACCTGCTGCTGCTGGTGTGGATGGTTGATCCACTCTCTCCTTTCCCCCTGCACCTTCACATACTTTCCTGCCCATACCTGCTTCATCCATACACTTCCCAGCATCCCGCCTCCCACCTTCCTCTACTTCCTTTGCCTCGTCTTTCCCCTCCTCATCCACTTCATCCTCCTCCTCCTCATCCTCATCGTCAGAGATCAGATCGAGTATCGAATCTTCACTATCACTTCCACCAACGGAGTCTTCTTCAGTTCCTTCCAAACAATCTCCTTCCTCTAAACCAGTGTGTTCTTCTGCCCCCCCGTTATTCTCCTCTTCCTTTTCTGTCACAGCAGCTCCCTTACACAGAAGAGGAGGGGTGGCAGACGGCAGGTCGGAGAGAGAAAGCGGGTGCAGCCAGGGGAAGAGAGGCCAGGCAGAGACAGGGAGGATGTCTGAGAGAGCGCCAAGAAGGGCATGCGACCAGCACAGCATCGTGTGCAGGTGCATGCGCTGCGCGAAAGCAGCACCTTGCTTCAGAGGAGAAAGAGAACCGAGGGTGGAGGGTTGGGAGGTGGCGGACGGGAAGGGGACGTGGGGGGAGTTATGAGGAGGCAAGAAGGGTGGGGCTGATGGAGTGTGGTGAAGAGCCGAGGGTGGAAGAGATGAGAAGGGAAGTGCGGGTTGCGGTGCATCATGACTGGGTGTGCTTTGGCCTCCACATGTCTGGACTGGGTTGGCGAGGCTGCCTGGGGTAACTGGATGCTCTGGGAGAGGGCTTGGAGGAGGCGGAGAGGGAGCTCGAGTTCTGATCTTGGCAGCAGCTGATGCAAAAAAGTCGAGGTCGCTCCTCTGAACGTACTGCTTGAGAGCTGACAGCACGTGCCTGTGTGTGGGTGGGAACAGAGCGCAAGGAGCAGAGAGCACATGGAGTATGATATTGGGAAATCAGAGTTGGGACTTTGCAAGGGTGCACGAAAGACATGACAGAACATGCCATAGCAGGAATTTGCGGATGAAGGTGTGTGGATAGGTGCAGAGTGTTGCTTCACAAAGAGGGAAATGCAGCTGCGCTCACCATTCTGTCACATCAAACCAGCTCCTCTCCTGCTCCTCCTCCCACGCCAAGAGCTGTGCTGCTGCACCACCCTTATCGTTTGTTCTATCCTCCCCGCCCCTGGTCACCGTCTCAACGTAAGCAACCCGGGACAACCGGAGCACCTCAGCACCCTCGCCCCAGATAGAAACGTTATCCAGGTAGAGCGTCAGTAGCCTGTCTCCAAATGAAGCTTCTGCCGGCTCATTCCCTGATTCGCCTTCTGCTCGCCGTAGACTTGCCGAAGTGCCATCAGCAGCGCCAGGAGCAGCGGCAGCTGATGCTCCGGGAGCAGCAAGACCCAGCACGTGAACAGTGGCAGCAGTGGCAGTGGGAGAAGCATCAGCACTCGAGGAGATGGCAGCAGCAGGAGCAGCACATGAAGCAGCGGCCTCAGCAGCACCAGCTACTGCAGCAGAAGGGCTTTCAGGTGGAGCAGCAGCAGAAGGAGTAGAGATCGCAGATGCAGCAACGTCAGACACAGGAGCAGGCGCAGATGTGGGAATGGCGCTTGTTGGGAGGGCAACGCCTAGTGCAGCAGAAATGTGTTGAGTGGTTTGTTTAGAGGTTGGGTGTACGGAGGCATGAAGCGAGAGCACGAAGAGAGCGAGAGCTAAGGGCACTAGGTCAACGAGTGCCGTGGAAAACTGAGGGAAGGGCAAAAGGGAAGGGAAGGCATGGAGAGAAGGTGAGAAACGGCCTTGATACCTCGTGTCCCTGCTCTGTGAACTAGAAACATGGACTGAATCAAGGACAGCCAAGGCAAACTTGCCTCTTTGTCAGTCTTGAGAGTGGAAAGTGCCCCTTCCAAGGCAGCAACGTCGCCCGTGTAGCAGCAGAGTCTGAGGTACATCATCAGGTACACTCTCACACACGTCATGAACTTCCGAGAGCTCTCAGCCACCTCCACCGATGCCAGCCCCACCACTTTCCTCCTCACCCTCGCTCCCTTGGACCCTCCTTTTGGCCTCGGGGCATGCTTCGTGTGAACACAAATCTCCCACATGTTCATCGCAAACGCCACTTTGGCCTTCCGGAAGCAGAACCCGAGCTCTGACTTGGCCCGTTCCAAGTCTCCAGGCGCTCCCCGCCTCAGATACGCCTTCGCCAGGCAATACCTCCCCCTGTGGAAGTGTTTGAAATCGCCTTCTAGGCACTCTCTCACTCCCTTCTCGCTCTCCTGGAACAGATGCTGCCACACCAACGGCCAGTGCTGCCTCAGCTGTTGGATATCAACCACAGGCTGCTTCTTCCCTTGCTGCTCCAGCTGCTCGCTCTCTCCCAACTCCGCTTGCTGCTTCTCCTTTTTCACATCAGCTATGCCCGCACCATGCTCCTCTGACTGCACAGCTGGTTCTGCAGCTGCTCTTGAGGCTTCCCCACCAGCTGCAGCTCCCTGCTCTGCTTGTCCCAGCGACTCCCCTTCTCCTGCCAGTCGCGAGTGCTTCTTGCCGGTGGCGCTGGGCAGGTCACCGCCCTTCCGCTTCTTGACAGAGCAGGAATCCTGCGTTGACTCAAATTGGGTCGGCTCAACTTGGGTCGGTTCAACCAGCACCACATCATCATCCTCATCTTCACCCTCTCCCACACTTCCCCCACCACCATCACCATCACCATCACCACCACCTCCTTCCTCCTCATTTTCCACCTGCCTTTCTCTCAATCCGCCCTTCTGTGTCCCCCCGTCTTTTTCCTCCTCCTTTTCTCCATCCTTCCCCTCATCTGTCTCTTCCTCCTGTGTTGCCCCTTCCTTCCCCTCCTTCGGCCTCTCCATCTCTAATACCTCATCACTCCCATCCTTCTCACCTTCCGCTCCCATGTCATCTCCCAGCCTTTCAGCAACCCCCTTCCCCATCTCCAAATCCTCATCACTCCCATCCTTCTTGCCCACTGCTCCCTTGTCAGCTCCCATCCCTTCTGCAACCCCCCTCTCCACCTCCTTCTCTCCTTGAGCCTCTCCTCTGCCCTCCACACCTTCATCTTCTCCACCCTCCTTTTCTCTCTCCCCCCCGTCTGTCACATGGCCATTCTCCCTTGCTATGCTCTCCTCAGCCGCAGTCACGTCCCTTCCAAGTTTAGCCTCCTCTTCATTCGGTTGCAGAATCTTGGCAAGAGCATCCTTGGTGTCGCTATTGGACACAAGCGCCTGAGAACCACCCCACACCACGCAGCACCCCGGCAAGCAGACCCACAAGTAGGAGAGTGTGTGCGATCGAGCAAAATAAGAAGCAACATGAGGGCGGGACATGAAGCAGCAAGGACCTTCACAATATGAGAACACCTCCTGGCATCATCACCAATAATCATCTTGTCACTCCCACTCGTCCTCATCACCATCCATCCATCCTCATGTCAACATCACCAGTCAATCGCATGTCATCACCATTCTCCCATATCATCACCACCCACTCACCCTGATGTCATCATCACTCAGCGCAGCTTCAACTCGTCCCCTTGCAAGCGCCTTGAGCCGTGAGGCGTGCAGGCGGTAGGCCGTGTCCACAGCATTGGGGCGCAGGGAGACAGCTCGGTGCATCACAGGGAGGGCGAGAGAGGCGGGCAGGTGAAGCTTCTCGGCCAGCTTGCCCTGAAAGAATGGGTACTGCCAGTTTGGGCTGAGACAGAAGGGAGAAGGACGGGAAGGGTAGAGCGAATCGGAAGTGGGTAGGGGGAGTTTGGACCGAGACAGGGAACAGGGAGGGGGCAGTGGGAGGAAGAGCATACAGAGTTGAAATTGCAAGAGGTGGGTGATTGCAAAGTCCAGGAGCAAAGCGAACGACTTACGAAAGTGATTGCAGGATGCGGAAGAGTTGGAAGGCGAGGCGGCAGCGGTTCAGCCAGAGGTGATCCTTGACTTGCGTGTGCCTGAGCCTGTCATAAGACGGCACCACGTTCTGAATCGAGTCATACACCACAAACGCCAGCAGCTCCAACACACTCACCACCCTCTTCCTCTGCTCCTCACACCCCTCCCAAACCTCACTCCCCTTCCGCCCCTCCCAGACCTTCCTCCCCTCCCGCCCCGTCCACCCCTCCCATCTCGAATCACCCTGCTCAAGCGCGGCCACTTCAAAGGGAAGCCGGCAGCCCGGAGTAGCAAGGGCCTCAACCAAGCACCGAGTGCACCGCTGCCTGTACCCCTGCAGCCTCCCCAGCACCCCCTCCTCCGCATGCCAGTCCGCAGGCCCCTTCATCTTCGCCCCATCGTTCAACATGAGGTCTGAGGCCTCATCATAGAACAGAGCGAGCTTGAGCCATGAGTTGGTGTTGCTGGAATGGTAGCAGAGGTCCGCGAGCAGAGGAGAAGTGACCTGCAGCACGTGGGAGTGGCCCTTGGGCTCTAGGAAGAAGCCTGGAGGCATGTGGTGGCCCATGGGGATGGGCTCTATGCGGGCCAGCATGGCGAAGAGCGGATTGTACACGTCAGCGTATGTGTCACTGTTCATGGCACAGGAAGAGTTTGCATGCTGTGTTGCTGAATGGTGGGAGGATGCCCATTCCGAGAGAAACGACATGGGGCGCAGGACAGGTATGTAGGACAAGAGGTCCGGTGATGCATCTAATGTGTTGGCACCATTGAGCTGCTCGCCTCCATCATGCATCCTCTCCTTGCCCTTCACACCCAAAGCGCCATCCCCATCCTCCATATTCCTCCTTCCCTCCTCCGCATCCCCATCCTCCTGCAACGCATGCCCCCCAACTCCCAACTTCCCCTCCTCTCCCAACCTCTTCCCCTGCACCACAATCCTTCCCACTATTCCCCAGTCGTTTATTCGTGGATCGTCCAAAAACGGCTCCACAGAGTGACGGGCGAGGATGGCAGGGGGAGGGGAGGGGAAGAAGGAGTGGATGGAGGTCAGCAGCGGCACCAGCTTCACAAGCCGCTCGATCTGAGGGAAACAAGCAGTGGGAGCGAGAGGAAGGGAAAAGGGAATCAAATTGAAGTGACGAAGCAAACCACCAACAACCGAGAAGCAAGGATGGACAAAAGGTGTGCATGGAGACAGGGAACAGTAGCAACGCTTACAGTGAAGGCGGCGGCAAACCGTGCCACGTGCCTCAATGCTCGAGCGCACTGGTCCTTGGATTTCAACTCCCCAGCCAAGGTGTTCTGGTGCTGAACCAGCCCTGCCGCTGCTGCCTCCTGCCCATTGCAGCATTACCGCTGCTCTCCCCTCCCACATCCTCCTCAGCCCCTCTCAGCTGTACTCCGTATAAGCACAAGAAGCATTGATCCATAGCCCCTTCAATCTCCTGCAGTGCACATCTCTTCCCATGCGCATCCTCCACCCTTGCTCCCTGCCCACTACCACTGACTGCCCCGCCATTATTTCCCATGCTCGCGCGCCCAGCATTAGGAGTGTCACCAACTCTAACAGCAGCTTTCTCTGCCTTGTCACCGGAAGACCCCGGACCATCGTCGCCAGTCCTTTGCCTGTCCCTCGCATTGCTGCCCCATCTAGCACCTGCTTCACTGCCTCCCTCCCTCTTTTCTCCTCCTTTTCCACCCTTCAGACCCCGTACTCTTGGCTCCTTAACCCCCGCAGCAACAGCCTTGGCTTTCCTACTTCCCGCGTGCACCGAGGGGGTCAGCAGCGACTCTACGTTGGTCAGCAGCTGGGCAGACAGGGCAAGGAACGCGCCTCTACCACTCGGCGCTCTCGCTGCTGCTGAAGTGCCTTCTCCTCGTTCAAACTCTGCTGCAGCTGTGCTGCCGTTGCCACTTTGTCGGCACGACGATGATGCACTGACAGGGGCTGAGACGGCGTTGGGTGTGGTCGAGGGGGGAATGTCAACGGACGTTGAGGAGGAGGAAGGGGAGGCAGAGGCGCAGCAGAGACCTTGAGAGGCAAGGATGCTGTGCGTGATGGCCCACATGGCAACCTGTTGACAAGGAGGGTGAAACAGAAAGAAGAATCGAGGCGCATAACTTCAGCAAGCTTGCGTCGAGCCATGCCCATGGAAATTAAAGCGCATATGCAGGATGGAAAAATTACACCGAAGAAACCAGATTTTTTTAAGCAGCAACCTCACTCCTATCACCACCCACCTTATCAGTCGGAACCACAGACACGCGCATGTGCTGCAGGCAGCAGAGCGCCATGCATAGATCCACCAACAGCCCCTGCCACGCCACCACCATCCCCTGCCACGCCGCCAGAATCCCACTTCTCGCTGCTGCTGCACCCAGGCCTGGCTGGTACACCTCCCTTGACAGCTGGCTCGCTGGCTGTTCTTGTAACAGGCGGTGCTTGTAGAAGGCGAAATCTATAAGCACTGCCACGACTTGCTGGAGTTCCTCCAAATGCTGCTCGTTCACCTGGCGGTACGGCAGTGGAGGAATAAAGAGGTGAGACAGGGAGCAGGAGATTGGGGCTACACACAGAATGCATTCGGAATCTAACATCCTTCCTTACTTCCAATCTCCAATTCCTCATACTATTCTTACCTGAGAGTCCAATCCTGTCCCAAGTGCCATGGAAACCGTCAAGTCCCTCAGCCCCTGCACTGCCTGCATCAGCTCCGCTTCACAGATCGCACCAGCATCACTTTGGCCACCACCACCAGCAGAGGCTTTCCCAGCAGCAGCAGCAGCAGAGCCTTCCAAAGCAGCTGACACTGCCGGCGTTGCTTTCGCGGGTGCAGGGGGCAGCGCCCCCATGCTTACTCTGCTGGACAGCAGCGCGAGGATGTGCTTGTAACAAACCAGAGTCAGCGGCTGCTCCTGGGCCATTCCACGTGTGGCAGCAACAACCCTCTTGAGCGTCTCCAGCCACTTGCCAGAGCTCTGCTCGCTGTGCTGGCTGTCTGCATTCTCCCCTTGACAGCCTTCCGAGGTTGAACTGTGAGAGGCCAAGCCCGGGAGACAGAAGCTTCTGCCCCTCTGCTTCCCAGCTCCACCGCCCATTCCTGCTGCCCCGTCCCTCAACAGCAGTGGCTTCATCATATTGATCAACTGTTGCTGCTGCTGTGGCGGCTGGAGGAATTCCTGCCCTGTCTCGCCCCCTCCCTTCCCTGACAGCCCTGCCAGGACACAGTCCACATGCAGCTCGCTCAACAGCTCATCCAAACTCTGCACTGAAATACTACCTCTGAGGCCCCACACACATGCTAAATGAGGTACCTCCACCGCTGCATGTGCTACTGCTGCTACTGCCTCAGGCCCAGCCGTTGCTGGAAATGTCCCCGTTCCGTCTGAGCGGCCCCTCATTTGCTCTGCTCTGCCCAGTGCATCCCTGCACCACGTGAACAGCTCAATCGCCCTCCCATGCTCGCCCCTCCTCATCGCCACCTGCCCCTGACTTGCTCTCAGCCGAACCCAGAACCCCACCTTCTCCCAACCCCCTAAACCACTTTGCCCCTTCTCCTGACCAAGCTCCTCTGCCTCTCCGTCTGCTTGCTCTGGCAGTTGCCTCCCTTCCCCCACTCGGCCCCACGCACCCCCATCCACCTCCCACCTCACCCCTTCCTCGTCCATCTGCCCCTGCTCTGCCATGGCAAGGCAATGCACGCACTCCCTCTCCACCGCCCCTCCCACTGCCTCTTGCCGCCCTCTGCTCTCGCCATCACTTTGCATCCCCTTCAACAGATAAAGCTCCCCCAGATACAGCCAAGCATTGGGAGCGCGGCCTTCCCACGAAGCTGCCTGTCTTTCAAGCCAGAGAAGGGCGTCGAGCACGGAGTGTGTGAAGGTGCAGAGGGAAAGGTGAGAGGCTAAGTACTGCAGGATAAGAGAGGCTGCCTGGAGAAGAGGGAGGCGCTTGGGTAGAGCAGTGAGGAATGACTGCACTTGCTCCACTTCCGCTGCACTCACTTCCTCAACCTCACCCAACCGCTTTGCATCTCCTGCAGGGTCACGACTGTCAGCAGCCTTAACTCCCTCTGAAGCACCACCACTGGCACCGGCTTCAGCACCAGCTGCTACATCTACGCTGCTCCACTCCTCCTCCTTGGAGAAAAACCTCACCAGCACCTGCTTGCGTCGCAGCATGTGCAGCATCTCCAATCCATCACACGCACCACCACCACTTCCCACGCGAACGCTGTCAACACCAACAGCAGCAGCAGCATCCGCACCAACGCCACCCTCAGCAACACCAGCAGCAAGACCCTCCTTACCCCCTCCATTCTTCCCAGCAACAGCCAAGCCGATTCCATCACAGGCTCCTATAAAGCGCGACTGCTGCTTGAAGCAAGCACTCAGAATGTCAAACACACGCAACCTCTTGGGTGGGAGCGGCTTGGCGCTCTCCAGCAGGGTGCTCTCCTTCCCCTTCGCCTCCTGCAGCTGCATCTCCTTCATCTGCTGCCGCGTGCGCCTCTCCGTGCCCACAAACGACAACGGGTGTCTGGGCCGTTTCCTTGACTTGGCTGGAACTGCAGGCGCTGCAGCATCAGCGGCGGCAACAGCAGAGGCTACAGCATCAGAAACGACAGTATCAAGTGATGTGATAGCAGGCACTGACGCAGTTGCAGCTGCAGCTGAGGCATCAGGGGCGGGTCCCAAGGCAGCAGGCATAACAACAGATGACTCCTCTTGAGTGGATACTGGAGTCACATCAGCAAAAGTCGCTGCAATCTGTGTAACTGGGGTCTGTGTCTCTGGTGTCTGTGTCAGTGGTGAGTCGGCAAATGGTGGTGTTAGTGTGGGTAGTGCATCCTCAACATCAGGAGGACCAGGAGCCGCAGGCAGCGCAGCACTAGGTGAGGGTGTGGTTGTGGCATCGGGAGGCGACTGTGAGTCCTCGTCCATGCTAAGATCAACCACAGCAATGGAGTTGGGCTCAGATACTGCAGAGACGCGGGAGGATGGGTCAGGCTGAGGCAAGACCGTGGGAGGATCAAGTGGTGCTTCAGGCAGAGGCGATTCGGAGGGATGAGCGGCTGGAAAAGGCTGCTGGGGCAACGCTGTAGGTTCGAAAGCTGCTTCAACTGGGCATGATTTAGGTACGGTTGCCATACCAACAGAACTATTTCTTTCAGACAAAACAGGTTCCGCAGCAGCGCCGCTCTGGAGTTCCTGCTTCTCTTGGGGCCCTTCATTACTCCTTCCACGACCGCATTCATTGCCCTCTCTGACGAAACCTTCACTGCCGCGCCTAGAATCACCTCCTTGCGGGCTGTCCGCCAGCACAACTGACACAGAAACGCCAGCCACCGGCTGAGGGTACTCCAATCCCAGCCTTTCCACCGACCGCTGCTGCACCGTGCGGAACACGTGTACAGTGTTCAGGATCAGCTCGGCCCAAGAGCGACCGCGCAGCTCAAGCTCCGGGCTGTGTCGAACGGAGACCTCATTGCCCAGTGCGCTCCCCTGCTGCTCAGCCCCCTGCTCCTGCGCTTCCAACACTACAGTTGCACCTGCTGACCGCCCAACACCCAGGCCATTCTCATCGCCAGCAGCAGCAGCAGCACCAGCAGCAGGGGTTGCAGCAGCAGAATCCCCAGCGGCAGAAACCCCAGCGGCAGAGGCACGAGCAGCAAGGCCGTCCAATGCAGCCTGCAGTGCCACGGGGTCCGGATGGAACACGTCGTTTGCCATGGCCTGCACTTGCTGCGCGCGACCGTGGGTGGCAGCAGCAGAGTCCCCAGCACCAGCAGAGGCGCGAGCAGCAAGGCCGTCCAATGCTGCTTGCAGCGCCACGGGGTCCGGGTGGAACACCTCGTTCGCCATGGCCAGCACTTGCCGTGCGCGACAGTGGGTGGGCGCGAGGTGGAGCATGTAGGCCGCGAGCTCCTGTGCTGCCTGCCAATCGTCTAGAGACACCAGCACCTCCAGCAGCTTGTTCAAACACCCCCCTGTTGAAGCAACGCGCACGCAGCGGAGAAGGCAACGCAATGGCCATTAGTACGTGCAGTGCAGCAGGCACGGCATGAAGTGACGCAATGTGGAGGAGAGCACACCTAGTGTGAAGCAACTGTGGCATGGGATAAATCGGATGGTGGACGCTGCAGGGACGTACAGTGGTAAGGGCTGCAGGTGAGGCCTTGTTCCAACGCGTATCTCGCCAGGCGCGCTCGACCTTCAGTTCGGATAGCCATGGATCCGAGCCGGTGCCAGAGCACGGCATCCTGGCCGTCGATCTCCGTCGCTGTGACGTAAGCACGAAGTGCTGACTCGTTAAAATCGCTTCCCAGCTTCGCGTAGACGTCGCCAAGGTTCTTCCACACCAGGAATCTGAATCAGCGGCACAACAAAGTTTTGCCGTGGTTAGGTGATGCGGACTGGAAGAAGAAGGTACGCGAAGAAGACAAAAAAGACAAAACGCATCGACTTACTGAAGGTGACGCATCTCCGTCAGCCCTCCCCCTGCTTCAGCCTGCGACGACAACCACAGACAAACGCTTTGTCAGCGATGGCTGAGTCGAGACGTGCGACGCCACAAATCGAGCCAACAGTGACGCACGCGACTAAGACCCGAACGCGTCTCGCGGAGCGTCGGACACGAACACGAGTCGCAGCGACCCTACCTGGACTTCCTTCCACAGCGGATGGCAGGACATTTCCTCGAGAGCCTCTCTCGCCTCCGACAAACGGCCATTTCCGATTTTAACGAGCGCTTCCTGATACGCGTCTTGCAACGCCGACTCCTGCTCAAGCGACGTTCGAAATCGACGAAGAAATCAAATGCTGGTGGAATCTGAAGCGGAGAAGAGCGGATGAAAGGGAAAGAGAGCGGACGAGGGCGGCGGCGGAAACGACGGCTACCTGCGCTTCTCTGGTGGGACCTCCTCTCGTCTGTGCTTGAGGCCGTGCAGCATCGTTGATGCAAGATATGGAAAACTGCGCAGGAACGAATTCAAGTGGAGATTGAGCTAAAACGGTATACTACATGCATAGCGGGAATCATCACGGAAATTATTTGGGACTTCCTCAGGGATCTGAGCGAAGAGATATGACTAAGCTGAATGAATCTGATTTAGCAGGTTCAAAGTAGATCAAGCAATTTGGAGCTTGGAAACCTAATGAAGGTGGTGCTGTGAAGAGCATTCTAAGGAGTAAGTCATTTCTCCACAGTGCAACAAATTACCATGGTATTTTCAGGCTAGGGTCATCAGTGGAGCTGCACACGTCAATGGATGCTGCTTTCCAAGAATAACGGTTTCCTGAGGGTGGTTCAGAAGCAAGATTAGCTGGTGGAGCAGCAATTGCTTCCAGCAAACTTTGCTGCACCAGTCCCTCTCTCTGCTGGAGCATCTGCACGCGTTGCATCTCGTGGGTGAGATGGAGCTCTTCTTGGGATCCAGATACGCTGATTTATTCCAGTTTTGTCTTTGTGTGAAACCTTATGAAATTGTTGCATTTACAGGCATTTTCTCCACCTCTGGACCAAACTTCGCTTCCTCCCATCCCATGCAATGCCAAGATGACCCCGAAGATGGGGCATGTGGTTTTCGCGAAGCTGGACTCACGAAGAGCTTATCCTGGTAACCAGTAGCAAACTTCATTCTTCTTCAAAGTCCAACTTGATAACAATCATAAGCTTCATCTTACGCGCATTGCGTAAGCTGTTTGATATCACAAGTGAGATTTGCTCATTTGAAGGCTCAAACCCTCACGTTTTTGGCAGCAACTCTGACTCATCCGTACTCATGGTCTTGCCCTAGTTGCGAGTTCGGGCGACGCGCGAGGCGAAGCGTGACGATTGGTCGCGCCGCAAAATTTAGATTGCAGCGATGATGACATACGAGGCAAGCCGACTCGTCTTATTTGGCTCTGGTTTCTTCCCGCGTTTCTGTCGCTCCGTCAGTTGCTTTTGCTCCGTCGGTTGCAGCAGCTCCGTCAGGTCGCTGTCGCTCCGTCAGGTTGTACCGCCAGGTTTAGATTCCATCAGGTTGCTGACCCTTCCGCCAGGTGCTATATGATTCTTTGTGATGCGACTCTGTGTGATGCGAATGTGTGATGCGACTCTGTGTGATGCGAATGTGTGATGCGACTCTGTGCGATGTTTGTGTGGCTCTGTGTAATTCTGTGTGGTTTGCTACGCGTTCACGCATGCGCCATGGCAGGAGGAGCAGCGCAAGGGGGCAATAGTGGACGCACTGACTGAGTTGCTGTGCCCAACCCAGTGTCATGTTCTTGACGTTGGTATGCATGTGCTTGCTGTGTTCCTCGCATGCGCCATGGCAGGAGGAGCAGCGCAAGGGGGCGATAGTGGACGCACTTCTAGGTGCTCTCGGCCAATGCCATGGTGACAGGTGTCACCACCACGCGCATGCGCCTGCAGCTTATGAAGGTCCGTGCACCTTATACCTTCGTTTATGCCACATCCCTGCTGCGTTATTGTCATCTCCCCGCCTGCGTTATTGTCATAATCCTTATCTGCGCTATTTTCTTGTCATTGCGCTGCCTCGGCTATTGTCACATCCCTGCCTGCCTCCGTTATAGTCACGACCCTCGCCTCTCTCCCCCTCGCCCCCTCCTCTCCACGTCTCTCCCCTTCCTGCCCTGTCCCACCTACCCACCACCAAAAAAAAAAACTCAGGAACACCCAACTTCTGGTTGACTGAAGAAGATGTGAACCCATCAGTGCCTCTTTCCCACCTCTTTCCGCCTCTTTCCCCTTTCGACTCCTCCCTCCCCCCCCCCCCGCTCTCCCCCTCCCCCTCTTCTTTCTCCCCACCACCAGAAGTATTCAGAAGTGAGGGACTCTTGGTTGACAGAGGAGGATGTGAACCCATCTGCACCGCCCACAATCCATCCTGACCTGCTTCATTACATCGTCACCCACGATCCCCACCTCTTCTCCCTGCCTCCCCCTTCCAGAAATATTCACAAGTGCAGGACTCATGGTTGAAAGAGGAGGATGTGAACCCATCTGCACCGCCCACAATCCATCCCGACCTGCTTCATTACATTGTCACTTATGATCCCCGTCTACCTTCCCTGCCTCTCCCCACCACCAGAAATATTCACAAGTGCAGGACTTTTGGTTGACAGAGAAGGACGTGAACCCATCTGCACCGCCCACAATCCATCCCGACCTGCTTCATTACATTGTCACACACGACCCCCGCCTCTCCCCCTCCCCCTCCACCCGCCCCTCCACCTCCTCCCCCCCCAACGCCTCCTCCCCGCCCCTCTCCCCCTCCTCCTCCGCCTCCCCCCCCAACACTCCCCCACCTCACTCCTTCACTCACTCTCGCTCGCTGGCGGATGGGCGGACAAGGGGGAGGGTGGGGGGAGAGGAGGGAGAAGTGGAAGTGGAGGGAGGAATGGAAGACGAGAGAGTAGATGGAGGGGAGGAGGAAGGAGGGGAAGGGGAGGGAGGTGTTGAGGAGGGGTTATCAGTGGGATCTGACATGGATATAGATGGGATGGTAGTGGGGGAAGAGGAGGCCGACGAGGAGGGGAGGGGCTGGGAGGGTACGATGAGGCGATCACGGTCAAACCCGCTCATTTGAAGATCCCGCAAGCAGTTACACAGGAGGAGGGGATACGGGGAGGAAGAGGAGGAGGAAGAAGAGGCGATGCGGTGGGGAGGTACGATCAGGCGATCACGTCACGATCAAACCCGCTTTTTTGGAGCGCAGTTACACAGGGGGAGAGGGTACGGGAAGGAAGGGGAGGAGGAAGAAGAGGCGATGGGGTGGGGACATGCAATCAGGCGATCACGGACAAGTCCCGAACCTTTGAGAAAGGGAGGGGGGTGTTGAGGAGGAGGTATCACTGGGATCTGACATGGAGATAGATGGGTGGAGGAGGAAGAGGAGGGGAGGGTGGTGGGCCGGCCGGAAGGGAGGAAACGGAGGACGAAGAGGAGGAATGGGGTGGGGAGGTACAATCAGACGATCACGGTTGAACCCGCTGCTCTGGAGTTGGAAGTTCCGCTTCCTCGTTAACTGAAAGCTTCCCTTTTCCGTGGCCATTTTCATGGTTCTTGTGAATCCAAGGGTGCTGCACCTACACTCCCAATAGCTAGGATGAAGCACTATTGTCGACACCCCAGCTACAGAATTTGTTGTTCTTGGTTTATAGGAATAACTAAGGTACAAGAGACCCACGCAAGGTTGCAATGCAAGCCTCCTGGTTAAATTTACCAATAGACTGAGCTGAGCTTGCTCTTTGCTTGCAACGTGCAGTGTGAACATTGGGTGGATTTATCCTCATCAATACCGGTCGGTAGGTATGGCACCAGTGCCTCTTGAGTTGCCAGGAGTTTTAGTACCACCGGAACACCTGTATTCAGCACCACGTTGCTAGGCGGTGGTATGTTGTTTCCTTGTCAGCAACTGCTCAACTTCAGCATCATCGTACTGTGTCAGGGTATACAGATTTGCATAGCAGACTGAAGGAGTGTGAATCTGACATGACAGTACAACAAAAAAATGTACGGTACTATCAAAATGCTAGGTACAAACGGGCTACATTATTCAACCTATCAAAGGTTGTATAATAGCAGAAACTAGTGGGGCTGCTGCTCGCAAATCATGAGCAGCCATCCAAGTGTGAAACCAGGAACCAAAGAGAGTGTTGCTGTGGCTGCCAAGCCAACCAGTCACATCATATGCAGCCACGAGCCAGAGACCACGCAGCGCAGCTGATAGGGTAAGGCAAATGGCATGCTGTTGAAGCAAGAAGTCACACAAAAGACAGTGCCTCACGGGTTTGGGAAATTCACAAATTTGACTGAAGACTCACAGCAATCACGAGCAGCAGCCACATCACCTGCAGTCACAACACATCACATACAGTCACATCACACACAGCCACATCACACGCAGCCACTTCACATGCAGCCACATCACACGCAGCCACATCACAAGCAGTCACATCACATACAGTCACATCACAAGTAGCCCCCTGCCAGACCAGTCACACAGGGGGAGGGGAATGAGTAGTGAATGGATGGGGAGAGTTGAGGGATGAGTGGGGGAGAGCTGAGGGGAGGGCGGGGAGGAAATGTGAGGTGGTTAGGCTGTGCGGAAGGGGGAGGGGAGTGAGGGAGACGAAGGGTAATGAGGGTGCGGTGGTAGGGGAGGGGAGGGAACGAAGGGTGGATGGGGAGGAAGATGAAGCGTGATTGGGGGAATAATTGAGATATGAGCGTGGGGAGGGGATTAGGGATGAGTCGGAAATGGGGGAAGACGGGGGGAGGGGAAGAAGGGGGAAACGAGGGGGGGAGTGGAGGGGAGATGAGGTGGTTACAGAGGGGGACAGCAAGAGAGCGCGGAAGCGACACGAGAGGTGAGCAGGGAAGATGAGGGGAGAGCGGGAAAGACGGGGGAGAGCGGAGAAGACGGGGGAGAGTGGGAAAGCGGGGTAAGGGGGAGGTGGGAGCGGAAAATTTAAGGAGAAACTGGCTGCTTAGACTCTTACCTTTCGCGGATCCCCTCCGTCCTCAGATAATACCTCCACCCGTTCATTCCGCCTTTCCTGCCCGCCACTCACCTCCCGCCCTCCTTATTTCCGTCTAGCGTCCGGCTACTGTCGACGCGCCCTTAAAACGGCGATACGCGCTGCGTCACTAATGCGTTTGATAGAGACGCGACTAATTCGTCCGCGGGCGACTGATACTACTCCGCGGGCGACTGATCAGCAAGTAATAAAAACGTCAGATCTGGAGGCTTGCAACCGAACGCGGTGGGGCTACTAACCGAAATGTCTGATATCAGATCTGAAATATCAGATCTGATTCTGCAAGAACGCAACCAAACGCGTGAAGCGACGAATACTAAAAACGACCCTTTAGTGTGTAACCTTAACAATGTTGAAACTCGCTGCCATAACAAGAAGATGCACGTACGCACCACGTGGACTACCGCGCTAAGATCTGGTAAACAAGAAACAAGAATCAAGAAACAGCTAACTAGATGGGAGATAAAACTACCACTGAATGCAAGTAAAGTCTCGCGCTATACCATCTGGAGAATATGACGGGCGAGGAAGAGGATTAGGTGTGGCAGGCTCGGCAACTCGAGGTTCGGATTGTTGATAATGCCGTGGTGGGTGTGCCATGGTGGCAAAAACACCATTTCTATTGGCTCACGTAAATCTTATTCATCCACCCATTGTTTTGCCAGCTGCCCGAGTCAGATTTAGCCAGTCAGCTGAAATTTACCGCGCCACTCACGACTCCCATAACTAAACCAAAGCCGTCCCGCACCTCACGCAGAACTCACACACGTTCCCTAAAAAAAAACTCATGGCCCAACTAAAGAAAGCGCCACGTCAACCACCTCCTACAAGTTCGGGCCTGCCCTTGCTGTTGAACATCAGTGTGCCCCACAAGCCTACCAAGCCAGAATTACGCGCTTTTTGGCAAACGCGTTTGTATGCAGACGAAGTAAATCCATTCTGCAATCTCTATCCCGAACGTGTAGAACGTATGTACTGTACAACCTGTGTTGGGGTGGCTGGATAAGCCACCCCAAAATGTTCCCCACGCGCCGCCCGACGAATGTCCCCTGCCGCAATCTCAGTGTGGCATTTCATTGGTCTATGACACAAGCTACCACACCTGTTCACCGTTTCGGTCAGCTGCACCACCACCATCCATCCATTCACATCACACTGTACTTTTTCGCACCGCGCGCCCAGCCTGGTGTCAGGATCCGGGAATTCCCTCTCATTCAGTCTAGAGCGCCCCGTCCCACCGCACTGCACCTAGGTAATTGCAGTTTTTTTTTACGACTCCAACCTGCATTTGCCTATCACAATAGAGTTGAAGAGGCGGTAAGACGTGCCGCGACCGCCGCCGTTCAGAGTGGCTGCGGCGATTCCGTTCACTGATCAACAGCACGCTTTTCCTTCTGCTTCAGCACCTACCTTCCGCTTGCGCCTCTCTCGAGCATCTCATCCGCTCCATATAGTCTAGCGATGTTGCATTTGTATCGGTTTTTTTTCTTCCTTCTCAATCTCACGGAAGGATTCTCAAAAAGCTCCAATTCAATGAGCTCCTGAAGCACACGGGGAGGCCCGAAGCATGAGGCGGCGTTGAGGGGTGTGGGGTGGGTTGGGTAGATTAGGTGTCGTGAGGAGTGAGCTGCCAAGTGTTTCGGGCTGAACCGTGTGCTGACGGATTTTCGCGGCAACATATCACCGCGACAAGATAATGGTCTCAACTACAAGATCTACGTTCCGCAATATCATCTCTACAAGTGTCCCGTGGCGCCTCTTCCGGAAGCCATGCTGAGTCAAGATGCTTTCTCGAGCGGCCTCTCCCTTCGCTCCTGCCAGTCAAGTCTTCACCACCTGGATGGAGACGGCCAAGTGAAGGTAAGAGCAGTTTTTGGCCGATTACACCTCGAATCGCGCAACAACGTTCAGCTTCTTTCTGCAATTGCTTCACTGTTTGAAAAGTTTTCTAACTTGTTCCTTATTTGCTGATTTTCCTGCAGATCATCTTGCCGCTGTTAATCTCGGAGGATCTGAAGCTCAAGTCAAGCTCGCGGGAGGCGCTTCAATCACTGAAAGCCGCTTCACGGAAAGCCGCTTCAATCACGGAAAGCCGCTTCACGGAAAGCTGCTTCAATCACGGAAAGCCGCTTCAAACACGGAAAGCCGCTTCAATCACGCCCCGGAAGCCAAGCCAAGCCGGAAGCCAAGCCCCCGTCGCTCTGAATCAAGATGCTTCTGGTGCAGCATCCCCGTCGCTCCTGCCATTCAAGTCTTCACCACCTGGATGAAGACGGTCGAGTGAAGGTAAGGTCTTTTATTTTTATGTCCGATCGTCTGATTTGTTCGTTCAACTTTTCCGTCAATCGTTTTCCTTAAAGATTTCTGAGATATATTCGAGATGTTTTCCTGCAGACGATGGATCCGAAGTTGGAAGCTCCTTCAAGATCAAGCTTCTACATGGCATTCGATTGCAAATTGAAGCCGAGTCAAGATCGTCTCCCAGATTGGCTCTCACCTGACAGTCGCGAACCTGAAAGGCCGGGTCAAGACCGGCTCGCCAACGGCAGACTTGTTGAGGTAAGTGGATCATTGACTTGATTAAGTGATACCTCTAATTTAAGCTACAAGTGATACCTCTATGTTTTCTTTCTTACTGTTAAGTACTAATCTGTTGCCTTGTCTTTTCAGACCTCGGCGGCTATCTTGGCGACTAGAAAGGGACTCGAAGGCGACTCGAAGCCACGACGCAACAACAATCGCCGACGCAGCAACGATCACGGCTGCATTTCGGCTTGTTGTGCGCTGTCAAGATGCGTCGAGATGGCAAGTGAAGACCTTTTCGTGATTAACGTATAGTCCTAGCATATTCTCTAGTACTAACGTGTTTCTATATCTCCCTGCAGGCCGTGCATTTACCGTTGGCGAGCAGGCGCTTCGTCGCCGTCGACGATTGAGCCACGAGCTACGGGACCCGAAAGTCGCAGTCCTGAACGCCGTGCGTCAGTTTGTTCCGCTCGCCGTGTGTAAGTTTGTTCTTTAGTTTGTTCTAACTTCAGTTCTTGTTTCTGTCTCACTAGTACTAATATGCTTCTGTCTCATATGTTGCGTTCTTCTTTTCAGGTCTTGTGCGACTCTCGTTTCAGGACGATCGCGTCCTTCCGGCTTGTCGTCGCAGTCACGCTCGCCGTCGCCTCCGTCGCCGTCCGTCGCCGTCCGCTCGTGTCGTCCGCTAGGTAACCTTCAGCGCCTCGCATTTCAGCTTGCTTTGGCGGTTACGCCGGTTACGCTTCGGTTACGTGTTTTTACTCCTCCCTTAATGATTCTCTTGTTCCTTCTTACTGCAGAACCTGACCATCTGCCAGCGACGCACCGCGACTCACGGATGGTGGACGCATGGCGAAGCGCGGCGACGCGTGGCGACGCGTGGCGACTCATGGCGACGCATGGCGAAGGGAGATGCTTCTTCGGGCCCGTCTAACCGTGCACGGCGCATCGGAGGCCCTTGGCGACGCTTCGACCGTCGCTTACCAGCTGCGTCTGTCGCTTACCAGCTGCGTCCGTCGCTTACCAGCTGCGCCTCGCTGCGGTTGAGGTAACGTGACCTTCAGCGCCTCGCTTTTCAGCTTGCATCGGCGGTTACGCTGGTTACTCTTCGGTTTCGTGTCTTTACTTCCGCCTTTACTGATTCTCGTGTTCCTTCTTACTGCAGAACCTGACCGTCCGCCAGCGACGCACCTTGACGCCCGGGCGCGAATCACCGATGGTGTGCATAGCGACGCATGGCGACGCGTGGCGACGCATGGCGACTCATAACGACGCGTGGCGGCGTATGGCAACTCATCGCGACGTATGGTCGAAGGGTGACGCTTCTTCCGGCTCGTCTAACCGCGCACGGGGCATCGGCGGCCCTTGGCGACGCTTCGACCGTCGCTTACTAGCTGCGACCGTCGCTTACCAGCCGCAACCGTCGCTTACCAGCCGCAACCGTCGCTTACCAGCTGCGCCTCGCTGCGGTTGAGGTAACGTGACCTTCAGCGCCTCGCTTTTTAGCTTGCATTGGCGGTTACGCTGGTTACGCTTCAGTTTCGTGTCTTACTTCCTCCCTTACTGATTCTCGTGGTGTTCCTTCTTACTGCAGAACCTGACCGTCCGCCAGCGTCGCACCTTGACGCCCGGCCGCGAATCACGGATGGTTGCATTGGGACGCATGGCGGAGTATGGCGAATCGCGGCGACGCATGGTTGCATGGCAACGCGTGCCGTGTCTCACGGGCGGATGCCGCGTTTCACGCGCGGATGCCGCGTCTCACGGGCGGATGCCGCATCTCACGGGCGGATGCCGCGGCGCTAGCTGCAACGACTCATCCACGTGGTACGCTGTCGGTTCCTGTTTCCTTGTTTTTTTTCTTCCCGGATTCTAACTTCGTGCTTCGTGCTTTGTGTTAGTGCAGCTCACGGCGTGGAAGCGGGAGCGGGAGCTGACGGCGCTACCTGCAACGACTCATCTTATGTGGTACGGTGTCAGTTCCCGTTTCCTTGTGTTTTTTCTTCCTGGATTCTAACTTCGAGCTTCGTGCTTTGTGTTAGTGAAGCTCACGGCGTGGAAGCGGGAGCGGGAGCTGACGGCGCTGGCTGCAACGACTCATCTTACGCGGTACGCTGTCAATTCCGGTTTCCTTGTGTTCTTTTTCCCAGATTCTAACTTCGTGCTTTGTTCTCTGTTTCAGGGCGAAATAATGCACACTGGCGTAACTTTGGTTTCTCTCAATTTCTTCAATCCAAATTATCACGACCCCGCCACGTCCGCGTTTCTCTGAGTTTGTTGGACCGTGTTTCCGCGCGCCCTTTCCGCGCGATTTCCCGCCCCTCCTCTCCGATTTTCGGGCAGCCGCTGGGAACTCGCGTGAAATCACAAACAATCACGTATATATTGTTTTACGTAACCGGAAACGTAAAACAATGTATTCGTGACTGTTTGTGGTTCCACGCAAATTTCCAAGGGCTGCCCGAGTTTTGTGGGGAAGGGCGGGAAAATCGCACAGAAAGGGCGAGCGCAAACTCTGTCCATCGAATTCAGGGTAACTCCGTCGTGGTGAGGTCACGGTAATTTGGGTTGATAAACATTTTGAGAAACCAAAGTTTCGCCAATGCGCGTTATTTTTCCCTGTTTTAGTGCAGCTCACGGTTCGGAAGCGGGAGCTGACTGCGCTGGCTGCAACGACTCTCATCCACGTGGTACGCTGTCAATTCCGGTTTCGTGTTTTTTTCTTCCAGATTCTAACTTTCTGTTTTGTTCTCCCTTAGCGCAGGAGTGTACGGCACTGGCGGCGACGGGAGTTCAAGCTTCGAGAGTACAGGAGCTGCGGGAGAGGGCGGGAGCCAACGGCGCTGGCGGTACAAACAACGCTGGCGGGGACAACGACGCTGGCGGGACAACAACGCTGGCGGGGAAAACGACGCTGGCGGGACAACAACGCCGGCGGAAACAACGGCGCTGGCGGGGACAACAACGCTGGCGGCGAGGAGCTTGGAGGAGGAGGTTTCATCCTCACCCCCCCCTCCCCTCCCTCCCCATCCCCCTTCCCAATTGCAGATTCGGTTTGGGTGGGTTTGGGTGGGTGTAGTTAGGCCGCGCGCGCGGGGGTGGGGTTGGGGTCAGGTAATTTGGTACAGGTATGTTTTCCGTGCCTCTTCGGGCAACCCTTCTGACAACCTGGCATCTCTTCAACCGAGGAGCTGAGGTGTTTCCCGCCGCTACAGTAATAATTTTAACCTTCCCCTTCCTTTTTGAAAATTTCTACCGTGCCTCCCCCCTCCCAAACAGGGTCCCGCACGAATGACCTCCACCTCACCGCGGTGTGCGGGTGTAACGCTAGAGGCATTTGCCTCTAGCGGCCAAGAGGGGTCAAGAAGACTCGAGAAAGCAAGACTCTCAAGACCCAAGCTGGAGTCAAGAACCAAGCTCGAGCTGCTGTGGATGGCGCGACTGTGAAGCTGTTTAGCAGCTTTGCATGCTAGTTAGTGATACGTTTTATTAGAACTTGTATGTTTGTAATAGACTAGTTGTCTTTACGAGCAGTTGGCTCTGTTAGTAGACTCTATCAGTTATATATGTTTATGTGCTATTTCACACTTGGATTAGAAGATCGAGATAAGACTACTGCTAGTAGGACTATGGCCGCTGTACTTGAAAACTCACGCCTCGCCTCGTCAGTACAGCACCTCGGATTGATGGTACTTAGTCGCGTCGCACTTCATCTCATCGCACTTCGCATCGCGCTTCCTCTCGCCGCTGTCCAACGTCCCGTCGCCATAAGCTCGTCATTTTTTTTCGCTTCGAAACCGTGTCAGACCTTTTGTTACCGAGCATTCACAAAAGCTTCCTGTTATGCCGTCCTAGTTATCGGGCGAGAGCCTCGGTGCGTAACCTATTACCGCACCTGCTATAAAAAGCTTTAGCCGTCAGCGTAATATTTTCTCACAGCCTAAGTCAGATCCTATGTGACGCAACCTTACCCTTTTCGTCTTCACTGGCATCATTTTCCCGTGGGCTTGCCGTAGTTACGTAGTTTCGGGCGAGGACGGCATAATGTTGTCTGCAGCGATGATGACAAACGAGGCAAGCCGATTCGTCTTATTTGGCTCTGATTTCGCTCCTCGTTTCTGTCGCTCCGTCAGGTTTGCTGTAGCTCCGTCAAAGCTTTGCGCCGTTGTGCTCGTGTGTTCCTTCCTGTCATGCTCTTGGTATGTGTGCTCGTGTGCACGCGCATGCATGCATGTGGCATGGTCTTGGTGTACGCGCACACATGCATACAAGCATGCATGGTTGTGGTATGTGGTCTGCCTCAGGCAGAGCGACAGGCGAAGCGTCAGGCGAAGCGTCACGCGAAGCGTCAGGCGAAGCGGGGACGATTGGCCGGGCGGCATTATCTCGCCTGCAGCGATGATGACCTACGATGCAAGCCGTATCGTCTTATCTGGCTCTGGTTTTAGTTCCGCGTTTCTGTCGCTCATCAGGTAGCTGTAGCTCCGTCAGGTTAATGTGGCTCCGTCAGGTTGCTCCGTCAGGTTAATGTGGCTCCGTCAGGTTGCTGTAGCTCCGTCAAATCAGTGTTCCCGTTGCGCTGCTCATGTTCTCCTCCCTGTTATGCGCTTGGCATGTGCCATGTTCGTGATATGCCATGCATACATGCGTGTGCCATGTTCGTGATGTGTCATGCATACATGTTCGTGATGTGCCATGCACACATGCATACATGTTTGTGATGTGCCATGCATACATGCATGTGCCATGCTCTTGGTCTGCATGTGCATGCGTGCATGCGCCATGGCAGGAGGAGCAGCGCAAGGGGGCGATAGTGGAGGCCCTGACGCATTTGTCGGTGCTCCCAGCCAATGCTGTGCTCCTCTTGTGCTGCTTGCGGTGTGCTGCTTGCGCTGTGCTGCTTGCAGTGTGCTGCTTGCGGTGTGCTATTTCTTGCTACACGTGGGATGGCAGGAGGAGCAGCGCAAGTGGGCGATTGTGGAGGCACTGACGCACTTCGCAGTGCTCTCGGCCAATGCCATGGCGACAGGTGTCACCACCACGCGCATGCGCCTGCAGCTCATGAAAGTGTGTGCCCGAGGCTGCGTTATAGTCACATTGCGTGCTCTATCGTCACATCACAAGTCTGCGTTATAGTCACCTTGCAGCTCATGAAAGTGTGTGCTCTATCGCCCTGGCGTCTTGATGACCTCGATGTGTTCAAATTCTGGCCATTCTCACAGTCGTCTAACACACCCTCTGCCTGCTGTTTTCTCACATCCATGCTCTCCCCTCTTTCCACCAGAAATAATCGTCGAGGCCCTTCTAAAATCACTTCCTGACTGCCATGTTCTAAAATCAATTCCTGCATTGTCACACACGATCCCAGCTTCTTCTCGGTGCCTCTCCATTACCCTCCCCCTCCATTCCTCTCTCTCTCTTCTCCCCTTTCCTCTTTCCGCCACCACTGTTCTCCCCACCACCAGAAATATTCACAAATGAACCCATCTGCACCGCCCACAATCCACCCTGCCTCTCACCCTCCCCGCTCTCCCCGCTATGTGTTAGGTCTCCCTACCAACAGAAATGCTCAGATGTGCGGGACTTCAGTGCAGATGGTAGGGAGTTCAGTCCCGCTGCGGGACTTCTGGCTGACGGAGGGACACTGATGTGAACCCATCAGTGCCTCGTTCGTTCCCAATTCTTCCCATCTCTTCCCACCTCTCCCACCACTTTCCGCCTCTTTCCCCCCCGACTCCTCCCTCCCCCCCAACTCCTCCCTCCCCCTACCCTCCTCCTCTTCTGTCCCCACCACCAGAATTATTTACAGGTGCAGGACTTTTGGTTGACAGAGAAGGACGTGAACCCATTAGTACCGCCCACCATCCATCCCGACCTGCTTCATTACATTGTCACACACGACCCCCGCCTCTCCCCCTCCCCCTCCACCCGCCCCTCCACCTCCTCCCCCCCCAACGCCTCCCCCCCGCCCCTCTCCCCTTCCTCCTCCGCCTCCCCCCCCAACACTCCCCCACCTCACTCCCTCACTCACTCTCGCTCGCTGGCGGATGGGCGGACAAGGGGGAGGATGGGGGGAGCGTAGGGGGAAATGGAAGTTTAGGGAGGAAAGGAAGAGGAGGAGGGAGGAGGGGAACGGGAGGAGGGAGGGAGTGAGGGAGTGCTCCCCTTCACTGCATTCACGATATCACATGTGGCATGGGGGGTGAGGGAGTGCTCCCCTTAGGCTGTCGCTTATACTCACACCCCTCTCCTCCCCGCTCCACCCCTCTCCACCCCACCCAACCACCATCCATCCCCTTGTCTGTGCCTCAGCTGGTGGACGATATGAGACCCGCGTGTAAGCAGGATTTTGAGTGCCTCAACTCGGACAGTGCAGATTTTCCGCGGGAGTGTGCAGATGAACTGTGGGTCGCAGCGGTGAAACCCAATTCTGGACTCGACTTGGTCACAGCGGTGAAACCTATCGACAAGAAAGCTCAAAGTGAGCTCGTGAGCACAGGGCGAGTTCCAGCCGTGAAGCAGAGGGACGGTCACGAGGAGTGCTTGCAATTGCCTGTTGGTCATTGTGTGGAACCTTATGAAATTGGTGCATTACAGGCATTTTGGCCAGATCTGGCCTAGATGATCTCAGGGATGGGTCATGTTTGTTTGCAAAGCAGGACTCACGAAGAGCTCGTCATGGTAACCAGCTTCAAACTTCATGCTTCTTCAATGTCGAACTCTGTTACAAGCATAAGCTTCATCTCATGCGAATTGCGTAAACAAAATTATATCACAAGTGAGTCCAGAGGCGAGATTTGCTCGTTTGAAGCTCAAACCCTCACGTTTTCGGCGGCAACTCTGACTGGGCTTTCTGACTCCGCGTGCGTTCTCCGCAGCACGTCACTGCAGCCACCGCACCCCAAATCATATCCCATCCCAACCCAACCCCGCCTACGTGTTCCCGCTGCCGCCATTTGCCAGCGGTGGTTACCACTCGACGACAGGTCGTCCAGAAACGTTCGCGCGACCGTGTTATACACGTGGCTTCGCAAAGTTGCTGTTGGTCTGAACCTAGGTTTCTCTCCCGGGGTCGCATAGCACACTTCGCCGACTCTCGCTGACCACAACAGCCTTTCGCCAACCGCGTAACCCCCAATCTCACCCGCCACCACCCCCGATGACCTCGGTCCCCTTCTAGATCTCATCGCTGCCTCGCTTTTGATCCGTAGATCTGATCCGGTAGCGACATCCCATCCCTTCATCTGCTCCTCCACCGCACTGCCCCACACCACCCTTCATCCTCTCCCGCTCAACCTGCCATCACAACAAAAGCTGAACGTCACGTTCCTTCCTCCAAATCACCTTTCCTACACACCTCCAGTTTCTTTCACATCTGCCGCCTCTCACCGCACACTTCGCTTTCCTACTCGCTGCCTGTTTCCACAGCCTCACTCTCTCTCACACCACCTCGTCATCACTCGCGAATCATGGCCTGGGGAAAGCCCGGAACCGGCGTGGTGAAGTCGTACGCCGTGGAGTGGTCAACCATGGAGCAGACGACAGCCAAGGCCGCGGAGCGGGTGAGGGACGAGCGGGTTATTGAGGAGGAAGACGAGGAGGACGAGGACCCCGTGTGCCCGCTCTGCATTGAAGACCTCGACGCCACCGAGATCCAATTTCGGCCCTGCCCCTGCGGGTGAGCGTCTAGTGCGACGCATCGTAGGCTCAGCCGGAGATTTGAGATAGGAGAGTCAGATCTGACCTAAGGGTAGTGTTTGAGTCAGCCACGGTTATCATGGGTCGGGCAAGGTTAAAGTCGGTGATTGGATCTGACGTCGCAAGGCGGCGACGACAGTCGAGCTCTTAGGTTACTAGGGTACTGTTACTTCCTGCAAATTCTCTCTCGTTTCTCCATCCATATCCCTTTCTTCACATCTCCTTTCATTTTCTGTGTTTCTTTCACCGCTGCAGCTACCGCGTGTGTCTGTTCTGCTACGAACGAATCAAGCTCGAGCTAAAAGGCATCTGTCCCAGCTGCCGCTCGCCCTACGGCGACCCGCAAATGGCGGCGCCGCCGCAGCCAACCGCATCGGGTGCGTCATCGGGTAAACGGCGGGGGTCGGTCTCTCGCAACGGCGACACCAAGGCGTCCGAGCAAGGAGCGTCGATCGCGGGAGCGTCGCTGGGAGTGTCGATTCTGGGAGCTGGCGATCATCGCCACCATTCGCGAGTGTCGCCCGCTCCGCCGATACTCGCCTCGTCTGAATTCCCGACTCTATCGTCGTCGCCTCCGCTCTCAGGTGTGTTCTAGTCACTTCGTCGTAGCGTAACCTTTCTCCTCCGTAAGCTTATCATTCTCCCGTGTGGTGGTGTTTCTCATCTGAAAGTCCGTCCGTCGCCGTGCCATGCCCATCTCCTCTCCCCTTCTTCACCTGTTCCCTCCAGTTCAACCCAGGAGAGGGCCATCGTGGGAAAAGCCTCGTCCTGCCGTTCCACCGTCAGCCGCCCCACCATTCCCTCCGCCATCATCGTCGTCATCAGCAGCAGCCGCAGCAGCATCGTCGTCATCAGCATCGTCGTCCTTAGCGCCATGGGCGTCAGTCTCAGCCACAGTCACAGCCACAGCCACAACCACAGCCACAGCCCCGCCATCCTCGTTTCCGCCGCTCCTACCGCTCGACCCGCCTCACCAGCCGGCTTCGCAGAGCCATGCCGCTCCGAGTCACGGGACGCAGAGCCGCGCAGCTGCGGCTGCGGGCGCTCGGCGCCTATCTTCGGACGCCCATGCCGCGCCGAGCGTTGAAACCGCCGCTGCGTCGTGGCCCGCGCTCAAGACAGAGCCAGCTTCGGCAGCCCCGTCTGTGTCCGCCGTATCGAGTCAGGCTCAAACGGGGAAGTCCGCGGGTAGAGACGCACGGAAGGAGCCCACCGGGGAGAAGGGGAAGGAAGCGGGGAAAGCGGGTGAGGGTGCCAAGTCCGCGCCGGTCGCTTCTGCGGGTTCTGTGCCGGCGGGTAGGAAGCAACAGCCTCCGCAAGACTCGGGTGGTGCTGCGGCGGATGCCGCGGTATTGAGTTCCGCGTCGTCCGCCGCCGTTCGTTCTTCCGCCAAGGCGTCGGCTCGCACTGTCAGTCCCCCGCCCGTGCCTGCCGGCTCCGCCTCTCGCGTGCCCGCCACCGCGTCTCACGAGCCGGCGCGCGACGACGGCGCGTCCAGCGTCGGCAACGGCGGGGCCACGAGCAGGAGCAACGCGAGGAACAGCGCCACCGCCACCGGCGGCAGCGGAAACGGCAACGATAGCGGCAGCGGCAGCGGCAGTGGCAGCGGTACTGGTAGCGGTAGCAGCAAGAGCGGCGGCGGCGGCGGCGGGCGCAGCAGGAGCAGCAGCAGCGGGAGAGGGAGCGCGTCGGACGATGAGATGGGGTTCAGCCTGAGCGACCAACTCGCAGAAATGCTGCTTAACAGCCCTGGCCGTGCCGACCTTGGTGATTCCGCCGCGGAAGCAACCGCAGCAGAAGCCGGTGAGGCGAAAGCAGTTGAAGCGCAGAGCGGAGCAGGCGAGAGCAGCGTGGTTCAGACATTGGTTTCCGAATCTGCCAGTTCTGCTGCGCCGAAGCCATCCTCGTCGGTTCCGTCGCTCCAGAGAATTCGGGACGCGGCGTCACCGCACAGCACCGATTCATCCATCCCGCTCGCTGCTGCCGGCCCCCATGGCAGCATCTCCTCGCCGTCCTTCTCCACGTGGCTCTCGCCGCACTCCACCTCCTCCGCCGCTACCCTCTCCAAACCCGTCCTATCCACCGCTAACGGAGCTGCTTTTAACGGGATCGCTGTTCAGGGCTGGGCGTCGTCCGGTGTTCAGTCCGGTGGGAGTGGGTTGGAGCGGCTGCAGCAGCTGCAGGCGCTGCAGCGGCAGCTGCAGCAGGCGTTCGTGGGCGTGGGGTGGTCGACGGACGAGATGCAGCGCGCCAGTGAGATCGTCGCCGCGGCCAAGCAGTCTCAGAGCCGCTTCTCGGGTGCCGCAGCAGCAGCATCAGCAGCTGCAGCAGCAGCAGCGGTGGCCCCGGCTGTAGCAGCAGTGCCGCCTGCGGCCATGACGACTGTAGCACCAGCAGCAGTTACCACGTTTCCCCTTTCCGCCACCCCCGCTGCCCCTGCGTCCGCCCCTGCTCCTAAGACTGCCCCATCCAAGCCCGTCACTCCGCCTCCCGGCTTCCGCCCTCCCGCTCCCCCTGGCTTCGCGCCTTTGTCCCCGCCTCCTGGGTTCGGCCCGTCCGCGGGCGCCAAGAAAACGGACGCGGGCGCGGGCGCGGTGGGGCAGGCGGACGTGCAGGCGCAGGCCGCCGCCGCCGCCGCAGCAGCAGCAGCAGCAGCAGCGGGCTGGGTCGGGGCTAGGGCTGTCCGGGTCGACCGGGGTAGCATCCTTTGGCGTGGCTGGTGCAGCAGCAGCAGGGGGGAATCTGGGCGTGCAATCGGTAGAGTCAGCAGCATGGGGGTGGGGGGCGTCGGGAGCAGTTGCTTCCGCCTCTGCCGTGGGTGCAGGCTCGTCCTCCTCCTCTGCTTCGTTTGGCTCGCCGCTGCTGACCTCTGGCTACTCCAGCGTTGCAGGCTACACCAGCAGCAGCGCCAGTGCAGCAGGGTATACCGGTGCTGCTGGGTATTTTTCAGGGTATACCAGTGCAGGAGGGGTGTCCGGGCGGAGTGGGAGTGAGGTTGGTGCGGCGGGGAGTGTGGGGGCGGCGAGAGGGACGTGGGGTGGAGGGGACGCGGATGCGGCAGTGGCTGCTATTGCGAGCATCTGGGGCCAGGAGAACAGTGGGATGGCTGCTGTGGGCTCCACCAAGCTGGGGTCTGCTGCAGAGTAAGTGCCCGACTCACTCTTTGCACTTGATTTTATTACCTTCTGCCAGTCGTTGCTGCTTGAGCGCTGCTTACAAACGTGCTGCTTTCACCTAGTACTGTGTTTGCACCTCACCTTCCTCTGGCTTCTGTTGCCCTGATCTTATCACCTATGCCCCTTCGGAATCAAAGCACCCTCTCACTCAATGCTGCTCCCATTCCTGCTGCCATCCCTTGCCCCACCCTATGCAGGACTACCAAGTGGCAGTCAGTGGGGTCAGGCCTGCAGGCCTTCACGGGAGGAGCCATGTCCATCCCCATGTCCACGTCGCTCTCTCTCCTCGGAGCCTCCATCTGGAGCAATGGTAGCAATGGGAGCAACGGCTCCCTGCAGCCCTCGCAGTCGTCTCAGCCCGGCATGTGGGGTTCCTCGCCCCTCGCTCGCTCCCCCTCACCCCAGCTTGCAGCGGCTTTGTCATCTACTGCGCAGAACTTGCAGGGTGGAGCGGGTGGGGCAAGAGGGGCGTGTGCGCCGTTATTCCCTCCTGGGATATCTTCCGTGTCGCTTGGCCAGGGCGTTTCCTCGTTTCACCATTCGGTTTTGCCGCTGGGACTGCCACTTTGATCTGTTTGATTAATTTGTTACTTTTTAAACCTATCATATTCATTTGATTTTGACTTGAATGATGTGTCATCAATCAAATGTTTTGTTTGAATTTTTTAATACCTTGGGTGGCCCAATACTGTTTCATTATGCTTCATTATCATTGGATATTCCGTTGCTCGATAGTGCTGTTACAGGTAGTCCTTAGTCAAGGTGACCCTGGCAAGTATCTCGGTACCTGTCTCGACTTCAAGGCGACGCGTCGCCTGTCAGCTATGACTGCATGTATATACTCTGCATCGTGTGCAACACGCCCGCATAGGCGCTTGAGGTCCCTTATTCCGATGACTGCTTTTCCAGCGTCAACAATGCGAAGAGTACGAGGAAGAGATCGTAAATCCGTCGCCTGAACATGCCGGCGATTAGATATTGATTTAGGCACGACATTAGCTGCGATATGAAGCATTGGTATCTGTTTTAGACGGTACGGGGTGTCCTTCCTTATGAAATGGAAATACAATTGAAGCTTCGGATTTGACCCTGTACGTTAATTACTGAGGCGTTTTTTGCCTGTGTGAGCTGAATCATTTGTCGCCTAGTGAACCAGTCGCGATGGCAACAGGATCCAAGCCTGTTCCCGATGCCATGTGGCATAACCTAGGCATGGTCGCCGGGTCGCTGTTCGCCATCCTCGTCGCAGTTGCTTTCCATCACTACCACTCGTCCACCGTCGCTGAGGTGCGAAGCCCATGTTTTGTCGATCAAGAGTCGCCTTTTGAGGCGACTCAAACGCCATCCTCGTCGCCGTCGCTTTCCATCAGTACCACTCCTCCACTGTCGCTCAGGTGCGACGTCCCTCCATGGATATTGTCATATTGGATTTTTTTGATATTTCCGCCACAGCAATGGCCGTTGGATCTTCTTTCTTGCATCATAGAGCATTATCATATGAGTGAGAAGCAACAGTACAGAGTTACAGTACAGTATCTTCGGTATCATGCATCCCCGTATCCTGGTGATCACGATTCCCTGTATGTCCCCATCCTCATCACACCCCTATCCTCGCTCTATGCTTTCCCCCCTTTCCTCTCCTCGCTCCTTCGTGCCACGTCATCAGCTCCAATCGCTGCTGCAGGAATCTCGGGTTCAAGCAGCGGACGTGGATGCAGCACTAAGGGACATCAAGGGTTTGCTCACCAACCCTTCCAGGAAGACCACAGACACACAACAAGGTACACTTGTCAGGCTGAATTAGGGTTTGCCAACCCATTCCGTTTCGATCAAATGTTGCTGAATTGTTACGTTACTACACTCGCGCTGCTCCCTCGCACTACATCCGCGCTGCTCCTTCACACTGCATTCGCACGCTTTCTCACACTCCCGCTCTTCTCCCACCCTGCCAGCCAGCGGTGCTCACCTCAACCAGCGGTGCATCCTGGCCGTTGATCGCGGCAGCATCAACGCGTCCCTGCTTGCCGACACGTCGTCCGCGGACTATCTGGAGGACAACGCCAAGCACCTGCCATCGTGGCTCTCCTCACAGCTCATCAACCAGTGAGATGCTGCCTGGGGGTATGGAGGGGGAAGGCTGGGGTTATGAAGGGGGAAGGCTGGGTGGTGAGTGTAGGAAGGGAGGAGATCGATTAGGAAGAGGGGGGGACAGACAAGTCAGGATGAGAGCAGTTGGCTGTTGACTATCTGGAGGACAACGCCAAGCACCTGCCGTCATGGCTCTCCTCACAGCTCATCAACCAGTGAGCGGAGGGGATGGAAGGGGGTGGAAGGAGTTGGAAGGGGGTGGAAGGGGTTGGAAGGGGGTGGAAGGGATGGAAGGGGGTGGAAGGGATGGAAGGGGAGGACCAGGAAGGAGGGAATAGAGACGTCCAGGATGAGGCTTTTGGCAGAAAATGAATATATCACAGTAGCAGCAGTGTCCGTGAGTCATAATCCGCACCGTGTGCCATCGTCCTCTCTCTCATTCCTTCATCGCATTGCTGTGCTGTGCTGCCCCCCACTTGTCTCTGCTGTGCTCCCCAGGCTGTACGCGCAGCGCCATGGCTACACCTTTTACTCGATAGAAGCCATCACGCCCATGCTTATAAGCGAAGGCATCGACCCCAACACCATCAACAGAGTACGCTTGCAGCATGCCGTCTGTGCGGCGATCCTTTGGTTCACACCTACCCTACATGCTTTTCTTGGTTCAGCACCTCTCGTAGACACAAGGAAAGCCCGTGCCTTGTACCTCAACCATGCTACCTTATCTTCCCCAACGCCTCCTTGAAATGCTGAGATGTTTCGAAACTCTCTTTATTCACTTCCCCTATCCCACCACCCCCCTAACCACAGATCGCCTTCATCAACCGGCAGCTAGCGTGCTGCTGTCGGTGGGTGCTGGCCCTGGTGGACGGCGCCTACATACGCCTGGAGCAGCACAGCCTCTCTGTGGAGCACTGGCTGGCACGCCTCGCCACACAGACACACTTACAAACGCCGATCATCACACTGTGCCTCCACTCTCTGCTTTTTCCTCCTCCCCTCCTCCTCCCCTCTCTCCCACACTTTCCCTCACCCCAGATCGCCTTCATCAATCGGCAACTGGCCTGCTGCTGTCGCTGGGTGCTCGCCCTGGTGGACGGAGCATACATACGCCTGGAGCAGCACAGCCTCTCTGTGGAGCACTGGGTCGCACGCCTGTCTCTCCCGGACACCTTTGAGTGGATCACGCGGTCGGGCATCGACATGGCCAACCAGACCTGGCTCCCCTCCGATCCTGCTGAGCTGGTCGCGGATGGGGGGGTTGGGGTGGGTGGGGGGGATGGGGACTCGCAGCAGGACGGGAGGAGAGGGACTGAGGGTGAGCGGCAGGAGGAGCACAGGAGGGGAGGGAAGGGAAGGTTGGGGGAGGAGCAGGAAGCAGCAGGGGAGGAGGAGGGGGAGGGGAGGGAGGGGAAGGGGCAGCGGCGGCCGTTGATAGGGTTGGTGGGGCGGTCGGGGGATGGGGTGTATGGACTGGCAGGCAAGGCGGGGACTCTGTTTCATGAGAGCGTGCCGTTTGTGGGGAATGCTGCTGTGCTGCTCTCACACAGTGGCGACACCTTCAAGGTGTGTGATGCTGATGGTGATGCTGATGCTGATGCTGATGCACATGCTTTTGCTGATGGTGATGCTGATATGCTGATGCTGATATGCTGATGCTGATATGCTGATGCTGATGCGCTGATGCTGATGCTGATGCTGATGCTGATGCTGATACGCTGATGCTGATGCTGATGCTGATACGCTGATGCTGATGCTGATGCTGATGCTGATATGCTGATGCTGATGCTGATGCTGATATGCTGATGCTGATGCTGATGCGCTGATGCTGATGCTGATGCTGATGCTGATGCGCTGATGCTGATGCTGATGCTTATGCTTATGCTTATGCTAATGCTGATGCTGATGCTGATGCTTATGCTGATGCTGATGCTGATGCTGATGCTGATGCTGATGCGCTGATGCTGATGCTGATTCTGATGCTGATGCTGATGCTGATGCTGATGTGCTGATGCTGATGCGCTGATGCTGATGCGCTGATGCTGATGCGCTGATGCTGATGCGCTGATGTTGATGCCCTGATGCTGATGCTGATGCTTATGCTGATGCTGATGCTGATATGCTGATGCTGATGCTGATGCTGATTCTGATGCTGATGCTGATGCTGATGCTGATGCTTATGCTGATGCTGATGCTGATGCTGATGCTGATGCGCTGATGCTGATGCTGATGCTGATGCTGATTCTGATGCTGATGCTGATGCTGATGCTGATTCTGATGCTGATGCTGATGCTGATGCTGATTCTGATGCTGATGCTGATGCTGATGCTGATGCTGATGCTTATGCTGATGCTGATGCTGATGCTTATGCTGATGCTGATTCTGATTCTGATGCTGATGCTGATGCTGATGCTGATGCTGATGGTGATTCTGATGCTGATGCTGATGCTGATTCTGATTCTGATGCTGATGCTGATGCTGATGCTGATACTGATGCTGATGCTGATGCTGCTGATGCTGATGCTGATGCTTATGCTGATGCTGATGCTGATGCTGATATGCTGATGCTGATGCTGATGCTGATGCGCTGATGCTGATGCTGATTCTGATGCTGATGCTGATGCTGATGCTTATGCTGATGCTGATGCTGATGCTGATGCTGATGCTGATGTGCTGATGCTGATGCTGATGCTGATGCTGATGATGCTGATGCTGATGCTGATGCTGATGCTGATGCTGATGCGCTGATGCGCTGATGCTGATGCGCTGATGCTGATGCGCTGATGCTGATGCGCTGATGCTGATGCTGATGCTTATGCTGATGCTGATGCTGATGCTTATGCTGATGCTGATGCTGATGCTGATGCTGATGCTGATGTGCTGATGCTGATGCTGATGCTGATGCTGATGATGCTGATGCTGATGCTGATGCTGATGCTGATGCGCTGATGCTGATGCGCTGATGCTGATGCGCTGATGCTGATGCGCTGATGCTGATGCTGATGCTGATGCTGATGCTGATATGCTGATGCTGATGCTGATTCTGATGCTGATGCTGATGCTGATGCTGATGCTGATGCTGGTGCTGATGCTGATGCGCTGATGCTGATGCTGATGCTGATGCTGATGCTGATTCTGATGCTGATGCTGATGCTGATGCTGATGCTGATGATGCTGATGCTGATGCTGATGCTGATTCTGATGCTGATGCTGATGCTGGTGCTGATGCTGATGCGCTGATGCTGATGCTGATGCTGATGCTGATTCTGATGCTGATGCTGATGCTGATGCTGATGCTGATGATGCTGATGCTGATGCTGATGCTGATTCTGATGCTGATGCTGATGCTGATGCTGATGCTGATGCTGATGCTGATTCTGATGCTGATGCTTATGCTGATGCTGATGCTGATGCTGATGCTGATGCTGATGCTGATTCTGATTCTGATTCTGATTCTGATGCTGATGCTGATGCTGATGCTGATGCTGATGCTGATTCTGATTCTGATGCTGATGCTGATGCTGATGCTGGTGCTGATGCTGATGCTGATGCTGATGCTGATTCTGATGCTGATGCTGATGCTGATGCTGATGCTGATTCTGATTCTGATTCTGATGCTGATGCTGATGCTGATGCTGATGTTGATGCTGATGCTGATGCTGATGCTGATTCTGATTCTGATGCTGATGCTGATGCTGATGCTGATGCTTATGCTGATGCTGATGCTGATGCTGATGCTGATGCTGATGCTGATTCTGATTCTGATTCTGATGCTGATGCTGATGCTGATGCTGGTGCTGATGCTGATGCTGATGCTGATGCTGATTCTGATGCTGATGCTGATGCTGATGCTGATGCTGATTCTGATTCTGATTCTGATGCTGATGCTGATGCTGATGCTGATGCTGATTCTGATGCTGATGCTTATGCTGATGCTGATGCTGATGCTGATGCTGATGCTGATGCTGATGCTGATACTGATGCTGATTCTGATTCTGATTCTGATTCTGATTCTGATGCTGATGCTGATGCTGATGCTGATGCTGATTCTGATTCTGATTCTGATGCTGATGCTGATGCTGATTCTGATGCTGATGCTGATGCTGATGCTGATGCTGATGCTGATGCTGATTCTGATGCTGATGCTGATGCTGATGCTGATGCTGATTCTGATTCTGATGCTGATTCTGATGCTGATGCTGATGCTGATGCTGATGCTGATGATGCTGATGCTGATGCTGATGCTGATTCTGATGCTGATGCTGATGCTGATGCTGATGCTGATGCTGATTCTGATGCTGATGCTTATGCTGATGCTGATGCTGATGCTGATGCTGATGCTGATTCTGATTCTGATTCTGATTCTGATTCTGATGCTGATGCTGATGCTGATGCTGATGCTGATTCTGATTCTGATTCTGATGCTGATGCTGATGCTGATGCTGGTGCTGATGCTGATGCTGATGCTGATTCTGATGCTGATGCTGATGCTGATGCTGATGCTGATTCTGATTCTGATTCTGATTCTGATGCTGATGCTGATGCTGATGCTGATGCTGATGCTGATGTTGATGCTGATGCTGATGCTGATGCTGATTCTGATTCTGATGCTGATGCTGATGCTGATGCTGATGCTTATGCTGATGCTGATGCTGATGCTGATGCTGATGCTGATGCTGATTCTGATTCTGATTCTGATGCTGATGCTGATGCTGATGCTGGTGCTGATGCTGATGCTGATGCTGATGCTGATTCTGATGCTGATGCTGATGCTGATGCTGATGCTGATTCTGATTCTGATTCTGATGCTGATGCTGATGCTGATGCTGATGCTGGTGCTGATGCTGATGCTGACGCTGATGCTGATGCTGATGCTGATGCTGATTCTGATTCTGATTCTGATTCTGATTCTGATTCTGATGCTGATGCTGATGCTGATGCTGATGCTGATTCTGATGCTGATGCTTATGCTGATGCTGATGCTGATGCTGATGCTGATGCTGATTCTGATTCTGATGCTGATGCTGATGCTGATGCTGATTCTGATGCTGATGCTTATGCTGATGCTGATGCTGATGCTGATGCTGATGCTGATTCTGATTCTGATTCTGATTCTGATTCTGATTCTGATTCTGATGCTGATGCTGATGCTGATGCTGATGCTGATTCTGATTCTGATTCTGATGCTGATGCTGATGCTGATGCTGGTGCTGATGCTGATGCTGATGCTGATGCTGATTCTGATGCTGATGCTGATGCTGATGCTGATGCTGATTCTGATTCTGATTCTGATGCTGATGCTGATGCTGATGCTGATGCTGATGCTGATGTTGATGCTGATGCTGATGCTGATGCTGATGCTGATGCTGATTCTGATGCTGATGCTGATGCTGATGCTGATGCTGATGCTGATTCTGATGCTGATGCTTATGCTGATGCTGATGCTGATGCTGATGCTGATTCTGATTCTGATTCTGATGCTGATGCTGATGCTGATGCTGATTCTGATGCTGATGCTTATGCTGATGCTGATGCTGATGCTGATGCTGATGCTGATGCTGATTCTGATTCTGATTCTGATTCTGATTCTGATTCTGATGCTGATGCTGATGCTGATGCTGATGCTGATGCTGATGCTGATGCTGATTCTGATTCTGATTCTGATGCTGATGCTGATGCTGGTGCTGGTGCTGGTGCTGGTGCTGCTGCTGAGGCTGATGCTGATTCTGATGCTGATGCTGATGCTGATGCTGATGCTGATTCTGATTCTGATTCTGATGCTGATGCTGATGCTGATGCTGATGCTGATTCTGATGCTGATGCTTATGCTGATGCTGATGCTGATGCTGATGCTGATGCTGATGCTGATACTGATGCTGATTCTGATTCTGATTCTGATTCTGATTCTGATGCTGATGCTGATGCTGATGCTGATGCTGATTCTGATTCTGATTCTGATGCTGATGCTGATGCTGATGCTGGTGCTGATGCTGATGCTGATGCTGATGCTGATGCTGATTCTGATGCTGATGCTGATGCTGATGCTGATGCTGATTCTGATTCTGATGCTGATTCTGATGCTGATGCTGATGCTGATGCTGATGCTGATGATGCTGATGCTGATGCTGATGCTGATTCTGATGCTGATGCTGATGCTGATGCTGATGCTGATGCTGATTCTGATGCTGATGCTTATGCTGATGCTGATGCTGATGCTGATGCTGATGCTGATTCTGATTCTGATTCTGATTCTGATTCTGATTCTGATGCTGATGCTGATGCTGATGCTGATGCTGATTCTGATTCTGATTCTGATGCTGATGCTGATGCTGATGCTGGTGCTGATGCTGATGCTGATGCTGATTCTGATGCTGATGCTGATGCTGATGCTGATGCTGATTCTGATTCTGATTCTGATTCTGATGCTGATGCTGATGCTGATGCTGATGCTGATGCTGATGCTGATGTTGATGCTGATGCTGATGCTGATGCTGATTCTGATTCTGATGCTGATGCTGATGCTGATGCTGATGCTTATGCTGATGCTGATGCTGATGCTGATGCTGATTCTGATTCTGATTCTGATGCTGATGCTGATGCTGATGCTGGTGCTGATGCTGATGCTGATGCTGATGCTGATTCTGATGCTGATGCTGATGCTGATGCTGATGCTGATTCTGATTCTGATTCTGATGCTGATGCTGATGCTGATGCTGATGCTGGTGCTGATGCTGATGCTGACGCTGATGCTGATGCTGATGCTGATGCTGATTCTGATTCTGATTCTGATTCTGATTCTGATTCTGATTCTGATGCTGATGCTGATGCTGATGCTGATGCTGATGCTGATTCTGATGCTGATGCTTATGCTGATGCTGATGCTGATGCTGATGCTGATGCTGATTCTGATTCTGATGCTGATGCTGATGCTGATGCTGATTCTGATGCTGATGCTTATGCTGATGCTGATGCTGATGCTGATGCTGATGCTGATGCTGATTCTGATTCTGATTCTGATTCTGATTCTGATTCTGATGCTGATGCTGATGCTGATGCTGATGCTGATTCTGATTCTGATTCTGATGCTGATGCTGATGCTGATGCTGGTGCTGATGCTGATGCTGATGCTGATGCTGATTCTGATGCTGATGCTGATGCTGATGCTGATTCTGATTCTGATTCTGATGCTGATGCTGATGCTGATGCTGATGCTGATGCTGATGTTGATGCTGATGCTGATGCTGATGCTGATGCTGATGCTGATTCTGATGCTGATGCTGATGCTGATGCTGATGCTGATGCTGATTCTGATGCTGATGCTTATGCTGATGCTGATGCTGATGCTGATGCTGATGCTGATTCTGATTCTGATTCTGATGCTGATGCTGATGCTGATGCTGATTCTGATGCTGATGCTTATGCTGATGCTGATGCTGATGCTGATGCTGATGCTGATGCTGATTCTGATTCTGATTCTGATTCTGATTCTGATTCTGATGCTGATGCTGATGCTGATGCTGATGCTGATGCTGATGCTGATGCTGATGCTGATTCTGATTCTGATTCTGATGCTGATGCTGATGCTGGTGCTGGTGCTGGTGCTGGTGCTGCTGCTGAGGCTGATGCTGATTCTGATGCTGATGCTGATGCTGATGCTGATTCTGATTCTGATGCTGATTCTGATGCTGATGCTGATGCTGATGCTGATGCTGATGATGCTGATGCTGATGCTGATGCTGATTCTGATGCTGATGCTGATGCTGATGCTGATGCTGATGCTGATTCTGATGCTGATGCTTATGCTGATGCTGATGCTGATGCTGATGCTGATGCTGATTCTGATTCTGATTCTGATTCTGATTCTGATTCTGATGCTGATGCTGATGCTGATGCTGATGCTGATTCTGATTCTGATGCTGATGCTGATGCTGATGCTGATGCTTATGCTGATGCTGATGCTGATGCTGATGCTGATGCTGATGCTGATTCTGATTCTGATTCTGATGCTGATGCTGATGCTGATGCTGATGCTGATTCTGATGCTGATGCTTATGCTGATGCTGATGCTGATGCTGATGCTGATGCTGATGCTGATTCTGATTCTGATTCTGATTCTGATTCTGATTCTGATGCTGATGCTGATGCTGATGCTGATGCTGATGCTGATTCTGATTCTGATTCTGATGCTGATGCTGATGCTGATGCTGGTGCTGATGCTGATGCTGATGCTGATGCTGATTCTGATGCTGATGCTGATGCTGATGCTGATTCTGATTCTGATGCTGATTCTGATGCTGATGCTGATGCTGATGCTGATGCTGATGCTGATGATGCTGATGCTGATGCTGATGCTGATGCTGGTGCTGATGCTGATGCTGATGCTGATGCTGATTCTGATGCTGATGCTTATGCTGATGCTGATGCTGATGCTGATGCTGATGCTGATTCTGATTCTGATTCTGATTCTGATTCTGATTCTGATGCTGATGCTGATGCTGATGCTGATGCTGATGCTGATGCTGATTCTGATTCTGATTCTGATGCTGATGCTGATGCTGATGCTGGTGCTGATGCTGATGCTGATGCTGATGCTGATTCTGATGCTGATGCTGATGCTGATGCTGATGCTGATTCTGATTCTGATTCTGATGCTGATGCTGATGCTGATGCTGATGTTGATGCTGATGCTGATGCTGATGCTGATTCTGATTCTGATGCTGATGCTGATGCTGATGCTGATGCTTATGCTGATGCTGATGCTGATGCTGATGCTGATGCTGATTCTGATTCTGATTCTGATTCTGATTCTGATTCTGATTCTGATGCTGATGCTGATGCTGATGCTGATGCTGATTCTGATTCTGATGCTGATGCTGATGCTGATGCTGGTGCTGATGCTGATGCTGATGCTGATGCTGATTCTGATGCTGATGCTGATGCTGATGCTGATGCTGATGCTGATTCTGATTCTGATTCTGATGCTGATGCTGATGCTGATGCTGATGCTGATTCTGATTCTGATGCTGATGCTGATGCTGATGCTGATGCTTATGCTGATGCTGATGCTGATGCTGATGCTGAAGCTGAAATGACTGCAAGGCAAGGGCATGGTATGTGAGCCTTAGGAATCTGCTCTATGGGAGCGAGGCACTCCCAGTTGATGGGTGATGCCATGGTGCTTCAATGCCATGGTGCTTCAATGCCATGGTGCTTCAATGCCATGGTGCTTCTCTCACATAGTGCTTCTCTCACATAGTGCTTCTCTCACATAGTGCTGACTCGTTCAACGTGCGGCAAGCTCAGCAGCTGTCTTGAAGTCGAGGGTTGTGATTCATGTGCCCGGCATCTGTGTCTCTGCTTCACTCCTCTTCTCCTCTCTGTCACCAGCCAGATTTTCCTCTAGCGCAGCAAGTCAGGCACACTCTGGCACAACCTATTGCTACACTGGCCTTACCACATCTCCACCAGCGCCCTGTCTCTCCCAACGCCCTGCATTTCCCATCCCCCCTAGTTCCTGTCGCTATGGCAGGCCAAGTCAGTGGCACTGGGGTGGGATTTCACGGGCCTGCAGGCGGCAGTGAGGGAGTTTGCCGGCCAGATTGCCATCGTGAAGCATTTAGAAACTGGCCTTACCACCTCTCCAACACACCCTCCCACTGCCCGGTGTTTCCAACTCCCCTACATTTCCGTCCGTCTCCTACCCCAGTTTCTATCCCTATGGCAGGCCAAGTCAGCAGCACTGGGGTGGGATTTCACGGGCCTGCAGGCGGCAGTGAGGGAGTTTGCCGGCCAGATTGCCATCGTGCCTCACCTGGAGATGGGCGGCTTGCACAGCCGTGCCATCCGGTACGCCTTTTTTGGAAGCAACCAGGAAGATGCTCGGAAGGTTCTTGCAACGGCTTTGCTGGCTGCTGTGAAGTTTCACCAGGCATGGAAGGACAGCAACGGTGATGCTGATTGATACAGACTATGCACTGTAACTAGTGCATTCTAATTAATATAACGTCTTATTATTCACCTAGCATATACAATCAGCTTTGGTAAATGAAAGCAAGAAATCTAGACAGTAGAGTCAATCGGGGATCCCTGCGTCCTTGAGTCAGTGTCTAGGAGCTTTCTTGGTGCCTTGGCTTGGGGTCAATCGAAAATTCCAGCCATCATTGTCTTGAATTCGTCGTAATCCACGTACCCATCCCCGTTACTGTCCACCCGCTTTATCATCCGTTCACACTCTTCCGTCGTCAAATCATCCCCGTTAAGGACACCAACCACGTATCGCAGCTCTTCGGGGCAAATTACACCGTTGCCGTCCAGGTCGAAAATTTCAAACGCGCGAAACAGATCCTCTTCCCTCTTGTCTTTTTCCGAATCACTCCCACTGTCCGATTCATCCTCCTCGTCAGAAGATGGAACAGAGACGGAACATTCGTCCAATAGGGACGGCCCTGCGCGCGCAGAGAGCAAAAACTCCTCGAAATCGATCATCCCGTCACCGTCCACGTCAGCCTCGCGAATCACATCCTCCGCGAAATTAATCAGATCACCTCCCGCCTCGCACAAACTACCGCGACGACCACCGCGCCGACCAGGCTTTGAGTCAGCAGGAGAATTATCCAGGCGTGCTAGGAGGGTAGCGAGCTCGTGGGCGGAGATTTTGCCGTCCTTGTCGAGGTCTATGGTATCGAAGGTGCGCGCGGCCTCGCGACGGAACGAGGAGGACTTAATCCGGCGGATTTGGCTCGAGCGGGTGTTGTGGGAAGCTGGCGCAACGGTGTTGTTTTGCTTGAGGGCCATGCACGGAGGGGACGGCAAGACTATTGAGGATGAGCGAAAGCGGATGTGACTGATGACGCGCTGATTGCTTTCAGGAATATGGAGACAGGCACTGCTACTACCAGAAACGCAAAATGATTTTGTTATCTCAGCTAGAGAATTGGTTAGAGAGGTTTTGTTGGCGAGCGAGAAAATTGTCAAATGCGATTATGCGAATGTCGGAATGCTCTTTGGGCCCTCTTTGTACATGTGCTGCATTGCGTTGGCTTGTAGGTTGAGAGGCGAGAAAAACTCGGGTTACCTTCTTCGAGCGCGTCCAATTGACTTTTCCCGTCGCAGAGTTGCGAACTTTCGGCATTCGCCTTCGAAGGTGAGCTTGTTGTTTGCGTGGCGGGCAAGCTGTAATTGTAGGTGCTGCGAAGCTGGCGACGCGGCTTTCCCCACGAGTTAGGAGAGCGCCAGCGAGTGAACGAAATGATGGGGTGATGCGACGCGATGTCGCCAGATGTTGCCGAGACGTGGAACTCCGCCTGCGGTTAGCTGTCGCGTAAATTTCGGGTTTGTAAAATTACCTGGTTGAGGTTCGGCGAGAAAGCTGAAACCAATCACGCTAGAGCCCGAGCACGCGGGGAAGGCACGAGGCGCATATGGCACACCGCCGAGTCTTACTTGTCGTGACAGTCAAGGCGCGTGACACGGCCGCTTCGGTTCAAAGCCAAAAGTCTTTGAAATATACTTTCTCGAACACTTCGATATGTATACTCAGATAAGGCACCGCGTAATTTTCTCATAATGGTAAAGAATCACATACGGAAAGGTAAATCCCATGTTAACCACAAAATAAGGCATCATTATTCATGGATATACACACCAGTGTGTACTGATTATTAATGGCTTGCCAACCAGGTCAAGGATAGAGCCAGGGATTCCGCGGCGGAGGGAGACAGAATTGCATGCCAACAAACAGAGGGTTCCGGCAAACCACGCCGTAATTGTATTGCGCCATAAGCCTTGCGCTGCTGCGGAAATATAACGCCAATATGCGGCCGCATGAATCGCCTCGTGTGGCATAGTAAAAATCATCTGTCACACAGTTACTCGCTCCCGTCCAATTGGGAGCCGCCTTCACACAGACCTGAGAAACAAACGAAAGAAAGAAAGAACAAGGGAAAGGGGGGAAATGTCAGATTAAGTTATGCAATGAAACTATCAATCCGGGTGCAAAGAAACCTCTTTTCGCATTGTCCCCCCCATCCTCACCTGGACCCCAGCGCCCACAGTAGCATTGGATTGCCCGAGCAGCGAGCAGGAGAGGCCGGGGTTGAGTGCGATGAAGTGTGTGGGCGGGAGGGGAGGCGAGGCGACGGATCGCATGATGGAGGGGCACGTGTCGTCCGGCTGGGGCGTGTACCAGCGTGCACAGCGGCGCGGGAGAGGCGTTGATGCTGCTGCCACACAAATCTGACGGGGGAGAGGGGATGTAGGGGAAAGGAATAGCGAGAGTGGAGAGGGACGGCCATGGGGTAGATGCAAAGACCAGGGATGAACACGAGAGGGAAAGGCAGAGAGGGAAAGCAGAGAGGGGAAAGCAGAGAGGCGAGGCGTGGGGAAGCCATGGGGAAGGCATGGGGGTGGTGCAAACACGTACCGATTGGCTGGAGGAGAATGGCACGGTGCAGTCGAGCTGGGGGTGTTTTGAGGCACCTCAAAACACAAGAAGGGGGAAGGCATGGGGGTGGTGCAAACACGTACCGATTGGCTGGAGGAGAATGGCACGGTGCAGTCGAGCTGGGGGTGTTTTGAGGCACCTCAAAACACAAGAAGGGGGAAGGCATGGGGGTGGTGCAAACACGTACCGATTGGCTGGAGGAGAATGGCACGGTGCAGTCGAGCTGGGGGTGTTTTGAGGCACCTCAAAACACAAGAAGGGGGAAGGCATGGGGGTGGTGCAAACACGTACCGATTGGCTGGAGGAGAATGGCACGGTGCAGTCGAGCTGGGGGTGTTTTGAGGCACCTCAAAACACAAGAAGGGGGAAGGCATGGGGGTGGTGCAAACACGTACCGATTGGCTGGAGGAGAATGGCACGGTGCAGTCGAGCTGGGGGTGTTTTGAGGCACCTCAAAACACAAGAAGGGGGAAGGCATGGGGGTGGTGCAAACACGTACCGATTGGCTGGAGGAGAATGGCACGGTGCAGTCGAGCTGGGGGTTGAGAGCGAGGAGAGCGGATGTGCTTGTATTGAAGAGATCCACTATCGAAGCGCACGTGTCCCCCTGCACACAGGCAACACGCACCGTCAGTCACCTTGCGAGAGACCCAGTCACCTTGGAAAGGCCATACACAGTAGAGGGAACACGGAGTGTTGATGGGTACTGCCAAGACCAAAGACATGACTAGGGCGTAATAAGAAGGTTAGCGAGAGGAGGTAGTGAGGGGAATGAGGAGTGTGATGGGTGAAAGGGTGGACAGTGAGGGGGTGTGAGTCGCACCAGGGAGGCAGCATAGGAGAGCGAGCAGACGGTGGCTGCTGCTGTGGTGTTGACAGTGACGGTCGCCCCCACCTGCAGCTTGCTGCAGTCCATGCCCTGTTGTAGCAGCAGCAGCCAGTCAGGGCACAGAGCAGTCAGACCCCACACGGCACAAGAGAGGGCTCAGGGAGTGAGATCAGGATAGCAATCTGGCAGGGAAATGTGTGAGATGAGAAGGGTTGGGAGAATGTGATATGGTGGTGAGCAGGATGGGTGCGCTTACAGGGTTGGTCTGCAGGAGTTGCTCCACTGTGATGCAGGTGAGCGCCAGCATGCCACACGTCATGCCCTCCATGGGTGATGGGGTTTGCTGGCTAGCATGCACGGGCTTGTGAGGAGTGTGGGCGACAGAGAGCAAGGAGAAGCGTGTGCTTACGGAATTGGTCTGCAGGAGTTGCTCCACTGTGATGCGGAAGGTGAGTGCCAGCATGCCACACGTCATACCCTCCACCACTCTCACTCTCCACACCCCAGCATTGCCGCCACTGCCACTGCTGCCACTGCCGCTCCCACTGCCGCTGCCGCTGCCGCTGCCGCCACCACCGCCGCCAGCGCCGGGGGTGTCCCAGTAGTTGACAGGAGGCGGTGGGGGTGGCACGGCGCACGTCTGTGTGGCGTCGGTGTTGTTGACACGCTGCGTGGGCGGTGGGCACGCACAGGTGTAGCCGCCGGGGCTGGTGGTGCTGTCGATGCACGTGCCCGTGTCACACGGATTCACCATGGAGAACCCACAGCGCCGTGCTGCAAGGGGCGAGGGGGGGAAGGGGAGGGGGGAAAAGTATTACGGGGGATGAAGGGAAGCTGGCTCGGGCTGGTGGTGCTGTCGATGCACGTACCCGTGTCACACGGATTCACCATGGAGAACCCACAGCGCCGCGCTGTGATCATGAGGGAAGGGGAGAGGGACGGGAGGGAAAGGGGAGGCTAAGAATCCATATTGGTAGGCGTCCCTGAGTGGGTGGTGCTGCTGATGCACGTGCCCGTGTCACACGGATTCACCATTGAGAACCCACAGCGGCGAGCTGCAAAGAGTGAAGCAGGCGTGAGAGGGATGGGGTGAGGAAGATGAGAACCATCCTGTGACAGCACTAGCACACCCCTCCCTCACTGAAACCCAAAGCACACAGCTGCACCCAACTCACCCAGAGCACATGACTGTGAACCGTCGATGTTCACCGTGACCCGGAACCCCTCAGGGCACTCGCACGTGTTGCTCCCAGTCCCCGCATCCACAGCGCACTTCCCCCCGCCACAGGGGTTGATGGGAAAGCACGGATCGGGGGTGGTGATAACTGGATAGAGGGCGGGCATGGAGTGGATTCCGCATATGCCGTCCCCCCCCGCCATGGCCAGCCGCATGGTCCCCCAGCGGCCCCACCAGGAGCCCCAGGTGTTGAGAAGGATCCAGTGCGGTGTGGGGTCGGTGAGGTCGTAGCCTATAACGAGTACAGAGTGGTCCACCAGGCCGTTGACGAAACACGAGGGGTCCGAGTAGATAAAGGACTGGTGGGGAGAGAAAAGGGGGTGATGGAATAGGTAAAGGAAGAAAGGGCAAGAAATCCATATGGAAGGAAGAGGGAGGGAGAAGCAGAAAGTCAAGGGCGTACGAAAAAGCGACAAGGAATCGTAACATTCACCAACCAGCACTCACCCCATCGTACTGAATAAACGATGGTTGGTGTGCCTCAAGAGCAGCCACCACGGGCTGTCGCTGCAGCGCCAGGATAATCCCTAGGTACCCCTCCAGCCAGGTCTCTGCAACCCCCTTTTAATCATCCCACCAACCCCCACTCACCCCATCGTATTGGATGAAGGAAGGTTGATGTGCTTCAAGAGCAGCCACCACGGGCTGTCGCTGCAGCGCCAGGATCATCCCCAGGTACCCCTCCGGCCCGGTCTCCAGCGGACTCATGCTCACCTCACCTCAGAAGCCAACCGCCATCCCACCTTCCCACTGACCAGCACTCACCCCGTCGTATTGAATGAAGGATGGTTGGTCCGCCTCCAGTGCAGCCACCACGGGCTGTCGCTGCAGCGCCAGGATCATCCCCAAATACCCCTCCAGCCCGGTCTCCTCGAACATGGTGATGCTAAAGGGGCCCTTATAAGGGGGACGGCGCGTGAACGGCACCGAGTTATCAGCATACACCAGCGGCGGCGCCTGCTGCTGCTGCTGCAGGCAAAGGGAACCGCGAGAGGCGTTCTTGGTGCCCCGCGCACCAATGAACGGCACGGCAGCAGCAGAGGGGAGGGAAGTAAACGCCATGAAGTCAAGTGCCTCTGCGGACCACCCCCCCTCGCACCCATCCTGCCACGCTCCCCCCCCTCCCGTGTCGTTGCTCCCGCTCGCAGCTCCGGCCACAGCGGGGTTGCGGGGGGTGTTGGGGGCGCACTCGAGGAGGCGTTGGGTGGAGATGGCTGGGGGAGGTGAGTTGGTGACGATGGCATAGAGGGATTCGACCGCTGCTACTGCCGCCATCGCCCAACATGCCGCTGATTGGGTGGAGGGGGAGCATCGGGATCAAAAAATATAGGGAGGGATCAGAGGGAGGTGAGGGAAAGAAAGAGAGAGCATGGGGCGAGGGGAGCAAGGGATGGTGGAGGAGATGACAGGAGGAGAAGAGGGGAAGCACGGGCAGGTGAAGGAGAGCAGAGGCAGGTGAAAGGGCAGGTGAAAGGGCAGGTGAAAGGGCAGGTGAAAGGGCAGGTGAAAGGGCAGGTGAAAGGGCAGGGTCTCACCACAGGAGGCCTGGTTCTGCACAGGTCGAACCATGCGCCTCTGCTGCCAGTCAACGCGGTCAAGGTAAGTCCACCGCGGCGCCGCGCCCTCGCTGCTGCCATTGCTGGCGTTGCTGCCGTTGCTGGCGGCAGGGGGGACAAACCCGACGCTGGCGTGGCGGAAGTTGGGGTTGCGGCGGCGGATGGACGCCCACATGTTGGGGGTGAGCGGTAGCAGCAGCCCCATGGATACGGGGGGCAGACCTGGGGGAAAGGGAGAGGAGTGGAGGAGGGGTGTGTGAGGCAGGCACAATGAGAGCATAGTAACACGACAGGAAAGCAGAGAAGCAGGAGTAGTTCAAAAGTCCTTAAAGCGCCAGTCTTGAAAAATCCCTCACCCGGCATCACGAGTGTCTTGCGCCGACCGAATCTGAGGGTCGTGAGCGCATCGGGATCGGATCCATCCTCCTGAGCAGTACACGTGGCAGTCTGTGAGAGGACGAGGACGAGGAACAGAGCGAGCAGGGACACCAGGCACGGCTCGGCGCGCTGCAGGATCGCCATGATGGCGACCTTCTTTGCGTCTAACGAACTGGTGTGATGATAACGGATGTGCTCGCAGAACGACTTGTACTCCAAGCTCCCCCTAAAATCTTTTCCTCCCTCAAAAGAGTTTTCCTCAGACAAGCTAACTTTCACGCGGACTCTGAACGCATGCGACCGATTTCAGCCCTCTGTCCTGCACCACTTGCACTGAGAGCTCGCAGCAGCAGATGCGCCTTTTCTAGGCACCGTACGGCAGGGGCCTCCCCTAATCGAATCGCGTCTCTATCCTCGCTGCACCGCTGGCACTGTTGGCACCGCTTTCAACCCCCTGCCTTCCTCCCGGCGCTCGATGCTTTTCCAATTCCCAGCGCCGTGAGCGACGCCGCTAGCCTCGCCTGCGCTCCCTCGCAGGATCATCCGACGAACGACAGGGCTTGATATTTTTCGCAATAACGCCGCGCGAATCTGTTGAGGGTAACCGCCGCGAGTGCCGAGAGGCTGTAGCGGAGGTTGGCCCATTTCGCCGCACGAATCTGTTTCGGCTGTCTGTTGAACGTAACCCTACGTACCCTGCGCTTTCTGCACGGGAGGAGGTGGTTCCGGGTTATGCTGATATCGCTGCATCTCCGTTCACGAGAGGTGGATTTAACCGCAATTTGGAACCAGGCCGCGTAGACGCGACTTTCTTACTGTATCAATGCAAGGCACAAGCTATTTCTAACCGCCATGTTATTGGAAAATGGCGAAAAAAGGGGGCGAAAAGGACAGGAAGTGGCAGTTTGGCTGGAAGGGAGAGGTTGAGAAGGGCCACATTGTACTTCATACAGGCAGATCGATACAAGTCATTGCAAGTCAGCTCCATTGGTTTGGGTTTGCATGGCAGTGTAACAATAGAGTCAATCACGAAACATTTCGAATCACAAAGCTTTGAGTCTGGTTTCCCAAAGCCGTTTCGCAGGAGATAGAATCTGTCGCGAACGTGCTGGCCTGGGTGAACCTCCCTGCCGATGGTTCACGTGGCTTGACAGCGACGCTCGCAAATTCGCTGGACTACACCCCCTCGCTTCACCAAACAGCTCATCGTCAGAGCCAAACGGCTCTTCGCTTCAGCCACCCCGAAGCGGGTGCGATTTCTGAAACCCGCTGAATGAAATGTCGGTCGATTCGCACAAAGTGCGAGCCGCGATGTCAATTTCGCAATGTCATTTTTGGCACGAGTGGGTTCCCTCCCAACCCTCCCTCCATTTCACGCTTCAAATTTCATCTTTCATGCCCAAAACTTGTGGACTGGGAAGACCATGTCTCCTCCTAGACGGAGGGAAGGCACGTTTCGCTTATCATCCCATCCCACCTCGAGTTCAAGACGTTACTGGACTGCCGGACCATCACCCGTGCAACGACATGGGTGCATCGGCCATCACAGAAAGGCCTTCGTGTTTATCGTTCTCACACGTCTCTGTCAAGTTTCTAGCAGGTAGGAGAGCTTGCGCCTTTACGATAGAACGCATGCAAATCATAATACGCATTCGATAATCAGGCGCCGCAACCATGTCCAGGAGTAAGCTCGCGTCGCCTTGCCACTGCGCGCGAACTCGCGACGGAAAGCGCCAGCAGGCCTTTACTCCGTCCCAAAGGCAAGAAGCGTTGAACGCGTTCCGCGTTTTCGACATAAACGGCGACGGAAAAATCTCACCAGCGGAGTTGGCGCTGGTTCTCGAACGACTCAGTCGGACGGAAACCGTCTGCGTCTCCGTCAGCGAACTAATCCAGTCAGCCGACGTTGACGGCGACGGCCTAGTTGACTTCGAGGAGTTTGTGAATTCTTCCCTCTTGTGGCGCTCCCCCGATTCTAGCGGCTGCGACGCGTGCCGACCCAGCGGGAATCCCGGAGAGGCGACAGCAGCACCGACAGCTGAAGACGGCGAGTTGCGGCGGGCGTTTGATCTGTTCGATCGCGACGGGAATGGCACGATTTGCGCGGGAGAGCTTCAGCAGGCGATCGCGATGTTAAGCGGAGACGCCATGTCCATGGAGGAGTGCCATAGAATGATCGCTAGAGTGGACGCTAACGGGGATGGCAAGGTTGATTATAGCGAGTTCAAGCACATGATGGCGGGTGTGCTTTGCTGAGGCGAGTCAGAGTATATACACTTGAATACGCACTTGTATCTGGCTTGGTTTTCCCCGCTGTGCTGTACATGTAAAGGCTTCTTCTGATTTGAACACGATCCAAAACTACTTATTCGTTGCTATATGCTTTGCTGGTTATGTAGCTTAAGTACACGCCACGCCAGGCCTTACCCCGGCATTCCATTTCAGCGTGCCGAAGTTAGCTGTGGGCCCTGCCTGCGGATTATGTATGCATGTGTGCCCAGTGATGCAACAACCTCTATCCTACCTGGCTGACTTGCCGAGTCAGTGATGGAAAGATGTAGTACGGTAACTATTTGTTGCATAGAGCATCATGGAAAGAGTCGTTCGTTGCACATTGGATACCATCGTTAGAATGCCATGCCCTTTCTCCAGAGATGGTAACAATGTCCTTTCTCCATTATGACCCCTGCAGTGAGTCCAGGCACCATTGGTGTCGCTCAAATGCCCTCCTTGGGCGAGATAAGCGAGGGCATCATGATTATGTCAAGAGGAAAGGGATTATGAATGACGAGATTTACTAGTTTCGTTTTCAGACTCCATACATATACAACAGGGAACGATGAGACTAGCCCCCTACGCGATCGAGATAAAACAGCCCTTACTTTGCTTGCCTTACCCCTCATGCAACCCCAAACCCCACACATCCCATTCAGTTAGAAGCCCCATCACCATAGACCCCTGACCCTTGTCTTGTCCCTTACCCCCTAGCATAGTATTGCGCCCCTGATTGGTTACTGTGTGTTGCTTCTGTGCAACGGACCTGTTCGAAGATGCTATCCCACAAAAGTTTTTGCTGCTACTGCTACTGCCACCGCTGGCTGCTAGTGAGGATGCTTCTGCTGGTAGGACCCCTAATGTCGTTGTCGGCAACGATACTGTTACCGCTAGTCAGTTGCTACTGCTGCGAGTGAATGTCACTCCTACTGTTGCTTCTGCTGCTGCTGCTGCTGCTGCTCAGAAAGGCTCTGACAGACGTGGATGCTGGCACGCCTACGTATTCAAGCCAAGAGCTGCTGCTACTGCTAGTCGCTGCTGCGAGTGAATGCCGCTGCTACCGCTGCTGCGAGTGAATGCCATTCTACCGCTGCTGCGAGTGAATGCCATTCTACCGCTGCTGCTGCTGCTGTCAGAAAGGCTCTGACAGACGTTCATGTCAATGCTAGCCTAAGTCACAAGCGGGTGCTGGCGCCCCACCCGCATCCACCCCAAGTGGGTGTGAGAGAGGAACACGGTTGAAGCATGAAGGCTTGCGGGCCTCCTGTCTCCGCTGTCTGCACGCCCACTGCATCCCCTCCTACCCTCCTCTGTCCTAAACCCGCCGAACCCCCTCACCTCCTCCTCCCCCCCACCTCATCCCTACCCCTCCCAATTCCCCCTCCCCTTTCCCTTCCCCCTCCCCTCGCCCGTTAGAGAACTCAACAGTTCCCACCCCCACCGCGTCCGTTAGCAGTATCCTTCCATCTCTCCACTGCTGACAGCAGTCCCCTAGCTCGGGCTACCATTCACGTCCTTCATTTCACCCCCACCATGCACGTCAGCCCACCCGCTATTGCTTCTCCTTCTCCCTCGCAGCACACGTGTTAGCAGTACCCTTCCATCTCCTTCACTGCTGAAAGTAGCCCCGAGCTCGGGCTGTTCACGTCCTTCAGTTCTGGCACAACCGCCCCCTCTATACTCACATACGCGCTATTGAGAAACGGCTGCAACGGCTCCCCCCCGTCGACTGGCTGAATGTTGATGTCTGATAAAAGGATGTTGTTGCAAGGGACTGTATCGGAGCAGTCAATCTTGATCCCTTCCCCTTTAGAAGTCGTCCCTTTAACGTTTTTAAACGTGACGTCCGCAATCGCTACAGCATTCCCGGCAGTGCCGCATGAATGAGACGGCTCGCTGTCGCAATAAAACTGGTCGATGCGAATAGGGTTATCCACATTTTCCAGAACCATATCCTCGAAATGAATTCCCCTGGCTGATCCCTTGCCACCCTGCCACGTCTTTATGCGAAGCCCGTTGGCGGTGTTGCGAAGGATGGACTTGCGAACTGTTATGTCTGTAACGCAGCTAACGTCTTTATCTTTGCCCAGGCTTCCGATGCTGTTGTTTGAGGTGACGGGGGAAGAAAATAGAAGACACGAGAGAAGAGAGATTGAGTAGGATGGTCTAGCGGATGGGCACCGTGCTAAAAAAGCCTTCTTTTTACGATGTACTGGTTGCAATATCATAACTGTACTTTGGTCGGTGTAGATTTCCAAATTTCATAAATGTCTCACCTGATTCCGTGCCCGGAGTTGCCGACGATGTTTTGAATGAGCACGCGCGACGTGCCGTTGATGATCGCCACGTTGTCGTCGCCGCTCGAAAACTCGCAGTTCTCGATGAGCGCGTCTTGCACGTACGACAAATGCAGGCTGTCCGTGTTCGGGCTCTCCTCGGGACTCAGTGTAGTCACGCCGCGTACAGTCACGCCGTTGTTTTCGTAAAAGAACAGATGCTTGAACGCAGAGTCCCTGGTAAGAACAGTCGCGTCGGAGGAGGGAAGGGAGCGGAAAGAGGTGAGGGGAACTGGTGAGGACTCGGTTCTACTCGAAACGAAACGGGGAACGGGGCGGCTGAAATTACACTACTTCAAAACCGAACACGAATCAGACGACACTCGCGGCGCGGCGAAACTCACTTGGACGTGATGCCGGTAACCAGCACGCCGTGGCACTGGACAATCACGATGTTCTGCGGCCGCTCGTCGCCGCCCTTCTTCCACCACTCCGCCGCCGCCTGCCCGTCGATCAGCCCGCCGCCCACGATCTCCAAACCAGGGATACTGCGGAATTCCAGTATACCGTACGTGCCCGAATCGGGGTTTTTGGACTGCCCGGGATCGGAAGGCCCCAGGATGGTTCCGTCGAGTGCGAACTGAACGCCCGGCCCGCACGGCCCCTCAAAAATAACGGGCTTGACCAGGAACGTCTTTCCCGACGGAACAACAACTCCTGTTTTTTTGTCGGACGATTTCGCCTCCTTGCATGCCGCCTCGAATGCCGCTGCGAAGGCCTTCGAGTTGTCGCTCGAGCCGCCGCCATCAGCGCCGAAATCGGTCACGGAGAAAGTCGACGAAACGTCCGTACCGGAATTCGAACCCGATCCAGACCCCAAACCGGACCCCGAGCCGAAATCCCCCGAGAGCGACCCGCTGATATCATTTGTGCTTTTAGTCGACCCGATCTTCAGTCCGTCATTCGCGGCGCGTTTCCTCTGCATCTTCTCCCACTTCGCCTTGCCGTGATGCCCGCCAGTAGGCCCATGATGCCCACCGTACGGCCCGTGATGACCGCCGTACGGCCCGTGATGCCCGCCGGACAGGCCGTGGTGCCCACCGTACGGCCCATGATGCCCGCCCGTGCGGTGGCCCGACCCGATGGGGTGTCGGCGCAGCACGCGGCGGCTGCTTGCGCCGGCGGAGAGGTCCGCGGGGCGCAGGGCGGAGAGGAAGCGAGAGAGGATGGAGAGGACGGAGGCGGGCTGCGCGGAGGGTTGCGCGGAGGGTTGAGCGGAGGGATGCGCGGAGGAGTCAAACGAGAGATCTGATTGGAAAACGGAAAGCGCTCGGGAGGCGGCGGATTGGAGGGAGCTAGAGATTTCGTGCGTTTGTTGGGTGACAGTCGTAGCGGGGATCTGACGGCCTTTCAAGCGGTTCAGAATGATTTTGGCGGCTCGGGGTGCGCGGACGTGCAGCTGAGAAAGCGCGCGCTTTTGAGATGGGTTCAGCGGTAGCGGCCGCAGGTGCCGGTGAGACTGCTGTGAGGTGACCTGGGTGGGTACGGGAGGTAACTGTGTTTGTTGCGCGTCGACTGTGAGACCTGGAGAAAGAATTGGGTGGGGAGAGAGTGACGCATGGACGGAAGAGAGAACAAAATCCCGTATAATCTGATTAGTTTTGACGAATTCCAAAAAGCAACCAAGGCTCGCAAACGCAGCAACACGACGAGCAAATTAGGACAACTAGCGTCCTCTAGACTTACATGATGCTACAAGTGTAGCTAGAACCAGAAGTAGTATGCGTCTCGTCATCGTGCCTCTCGTGTGGGGGATGCAGAGGTATATGGAGATTAGCCGGTGGCAAAGAGCCTCGGAGATTGTTGCTGGTGATCGCGTGACTTATTGGATTAGTTACAGGTCGTACTGTGATCGAGCTAGAACGTTGAAACAGTCGAATTGCTCCGTAAGATAGGAATGCTGTTATTTTATATGTCGCCGGATTGCGTGTGTCTTACTAAGAGCGGCCCGAGAGGTATATGCGGGCTTCTGAGAAAATGGAGACAGCCAAGGAGCAAATTCGAAGCGGGGCTTCCAAGCGTCCAAGCTTGCGAGAGCGGGGGAGGTGTACGGGAAGAGGAACGAGAGTCGGGATTCGAGGCGAAAGGGAATACACCTGCTGGCGCACAGATGCCTCAGAAATCACAGCAGGTACAAATTTTCGAGCCGCATTTCTCGCATGTCCTTGCTGGGAAGCGAATTTACGGAACGCAAATTACTCGACGATCCGCGACTCGTAGGCTTCGCAAGCCCAGAACTCACTTTCCTCGAAATTCGTTGGGCAAAGTGGCCAATGGGAAGGGAGCACCCGTCGTGGGCGATTCGTCAGGGGGTTCTTTGGCGATGTAAGAACAGCCAGAACGAACACTTGGCTCGTCTGCGACGAATTCTTGTCGGCTGCGTGTGTCAGTGTAAAATGGCCGTTCGGCTGAGCGAAATGAGGTGGATTGGACCATTCAGGGGCACGGCGTGGAGAAAGTTACCGGACGGACGACAGAACAAGCCAGGGGAGGTGCAACTGACGACGATCATGCGACAGTCCAAACCAGCAGTGAATGTACGACCAGGGTGGACGACGCTCTGCGATGATCGCCTGGCGACTGACTCTCGCTGGGTTCGAAAGGGAGCTTGGGGGCGCGGGAGTTGGAAATATTTGGAAACCGCTTTGCAAAAAAACCCCTTACACATAAGCTCGTGTTAACGCTAGACAGCGTTTTCACAATCTCAATAAAGATACCAGCTCATGTCATTGATTCTTGGGGGCACTGGTTGGTTGCCTTGCCTCATACAGACATCAAGCTAAGGGCTATACGGCTCTGCTTGACTCTTTCCCTTCTGTACCGGAGTCTGAAATGAGCAACAGCCACTAGGAGCATACGGTATTTAAGGTACACAAACAAATCCATGGTTCCACAGTACTAAAGAAGTATGGTAACCTTCTTTAGTACTTACGATGAAGCATGCTCATGTCATGCACACAAGTGTATACAGCTGCCACAGGCATGTACGTAGACTAACCAAGTTCCACATCACAACACATTTGCTTGAGCCTCGCTGCTGTGGAGGTCAATCAGCCACGAGGCGACTGAGGGACTCAATGATTTGCCTCAGGTGGTCCCGCGTGCTTGGGTCGCCAGTGAGGCTGCTGATGTCAGCACTGATGCCCTGTCACGTATAGGGTGAACATACAAGGAGGGCAGGGGAGAAAGAGGGGGGGGGTGAGAGTTGAGGTCATGCAGGCAAACACTTAAGGACATGTACAACCACACATGGTGACGAGCAAAGTGCGGACAGCGACAGGGAGGGCGAACTGGGGAATGACAAATGAACTGAGATTGAGGTGCGCTCACCCTGACATTTCTGTCCAATTGATACCCCCCAACGCATTCGCCACACTACAAAAGCCCCGACTACCAGAAAATTGTCCCATGTCTCTTCGGTCCCGTGCTTGGATGCTTTGGTAAGAGTTGCGGGTCTAGCAACACCGCAACTCACAAACCATCGAAATAGACGCCACGAGCAGACAGGCCCGCTGAGACAACGCACCTCAACATGCTTGAGCGTCGTAGTGAGTGTGGTGTGGACACTGACTGCTGCAGCAGGTGACTTTCGAGCTGACTGGAAACCCATCAGTTGCACACATGAGCAGCCAAGTCCACCCATTAAACGCACCTCAACATGCTTGGGCGTCTTAGTGAGCGTGGACACTGACTTTTGAGTTCACTAAAAAAATCGCCTCACCATCCCACCCAACAGTCAAACAGACGAGCAGGCAAGCCCACCGAGACTACGCACCTCGACATGTGAGTGTGGACACTGACTGCCGCAGCAGGTGACTTTTGAGCCGACTGAGAACCGATCAGTCACACAGATGAGCAGCCAAAGCAGCGAAGTCCACCAAGATTAACGAACCTCGACGTGCTTGAGCGTCTTTGTGAGTGTGGACACTGACTGCCGCAGCAGGTGACTTTTGAGCCGACTGAGAACCGATCAGTCACACAGATGAGCAGCCAAAGCAGCCAAGTCCACCAAGATTAACGCACCTCCACGTGCTTGAGCGTCTTTGTGAGTGTGGACACTGACTGCCGCAGCAGCTCTGTGTTCTCCTTGGTCAGAATGGAGCTGTTCAGCTGCCTGTGGGGGGGAGAAAGGGTGGAAAGAGGAGTGGGAAGAGCAACGAAGGGTTGAGATGGCAGAGACAAGCACCGAGACAGCAAGGCCGCAGCAGCCCCGTGTTTCTCCATGGTAAGAATAGAGCTGTTCAGCTGCCTGCACGGGGAGTAAAGGGCGGGTGGAGCGAGAGGTGAATAGGGCAATGGAGGGGAAGGCAGAGAGCAGTGCCAAGCCCCGATCCAACCGGCATGGCCCTTGGGTTAGTCAGCCTGCAGTGATTGGCTGCCTTGGGGGAGGGGATGCAGGGGGGAGGGGGTGAAAGTAAAAGTGCAGGTTGGAGTAAAGCCTGTAAGGCTACGCTGAGCAATGATCTTCTTGCCTACAGAGTCCTTTTCTCTGCAAGTTCTTCGCTTCTCGTTGGGTACGTCGCTACTCTCCCTTCTTTTGTTGGCCCCCTTCACATGCAGCCAGGAAAAAACAGCAAGGCACGTGCAGCACTTGCCTGAGGCCGGAGGCGGCTTCAGAGGCCACCTTGGTGAGCTGCTCGAGGTTCTTCAGCAGGTCGCCCTTCAGGCATATGTCGCACAGCCAGGCACGCCCGACACAGCTGGGCACACACAGCACGGCACATGCAGCACAACCCAGCACGACCCAGCACAACCCAGCACGACCCAGCACAACCCAGCACGACCCAGCACAACCCAGCACGACCCAGCACAGCCCAGCACGACCCAGCACAGCCCAGCACTTGCCTGAGGTCGGAGGCGGCTTCAGAGGCCACCTTGGTGAGCTGCTCGAGGTTCTTCAGGAGGTCGCCCTCGCGCACGTCCTGCAGCATGGGCTCTATGTCCGTCATCAGCGCGTTCACCTGACACAGGCCAGGTGGGGGTAGGGTGGGGGGTGGGTCCCATGGTGACTTTGAATTGACTCAGAAGTTAACTGCTTGAGGTAATCAGCAGGTCGCCCTCGCGCACGTCCTGCAGCATGGGCTCTATGTCCGTCATCAGCGCGTTCACCTGACACAGGCACGGAGTGGGAAGAGGGTGTTGGAGAAAAAAGGAGGGGTGGGTGTGTGGGAGGAGAGGGGGTGGTGGGACGCATGGCGAGCGTTGAATCGACTCAAACGTTATCTGCTCGAGGTTCTTCAGCAGGTCGCCCTCGCGCACGTCCTGCAGCATGGCCTCTATGTCCGTCATCAGCGCGTTCACCTGACACAGGCCGGGGAGGTAAAGAGGGGGGTTTTGGGGGGGTGAGGGTAGGAGGAGAAGGAGGTGGGACGCATGAAGACCTTTGAGTCGACTCGAACATGTGCTCTCGCCCTCACATACGTCCTGCAGCATGGGCCCTATGTCCGTCAACAGCGCATTCACCTGAGAACGACAGATAAGGAGGCCAGGGTGAAACGCATGAGGGAGTTTATGGTACACCTATCAGCAATGATTTATATATTTTCCTGTTCTTTTCTTTATTTTTGGTCAGAGTTGGAAATTTTGTGTGTATGACCAGGGTTTGTGACACACATGGAAGCCCAACAGGAGCAGCAGTACATAGAGGGCTTCATTGCACGAGTTAGAAAACTGGAGTAAGTGAAGTAAGGCAGAGAGGGATGGGAAAGTGGAAACAGGTGAAAACTGGAAGAGGGGGACAGGAGAAATGCAAGGATAGCATTCGGACCAAGAGAAAACTACTTGCCTTTTCCAGCAGCGGTCTTGCTTCTTCAGCCAGAGCAGCAAACTTATCCATAGCGGCGAACATGGTCCCAACGCCCTCCTTGTCCACATCCTTGGCAATCTTGGTCCAATTCGCAATCAGCTCGTCCAGGCTCACGCCCTGCTGCCCCTCTATCCGCTCCCTGTCACACACAATCAACCCCTCCTCGCTGCACTTGGGATCTAGGGGTCCCACTGTGGGTTCCGGCATGGGAGGCATGGGGGTGATGTCGATGAGGGTTTCGCTGATCAGGCCCGTCTGGTTGACTTCGATTAGCGAGTTTCGCGGAATGACGACGTTGCAGGAAGTCGAGGATTTCCACGACGGCGTCGATTCGCTCCAGGCTCGGCCTGACCCCGACCACGCTCCCCACGTCCACGCCTCGGATCCGAACCGGAGTGCCGACCGTGATTCCGCAGGCTTGGGAAAATTCCATCACCGCTTTGTACCGAGTCGTGCTGGACCGTACTTGAACGCCTTTAATCCAGTTGATAGTCAGGCCGATTAAGAATAGTCCAGTCAGGAGGAACAACCCAACGCCTCCTTCCCATATGCTCTTTTTCCCAAAACCGAAGTTGCCGAGCGGGCTAATGATGTACTCCTCCCAGATGGATGAGAAGAAATCAATCAGAGCTGAAAAAGGGTTCCCTTTATTCGGCTCCGATGCAGGAGTGGAGGCAGCAGCAGCGCTCGCTGCGGTCACGGTTCGGCTTCGCGGTCGACCGGCTTCGATACTGTCACATTGGATCGGTTTACTGCGGTGAAGGGGGAGCGGGGAGCAATGCTCTTGATGCCGAGGAGACGAGAAGCCGCGGAGAGATGTAGTAGTGTCACGTGACGGTAGCCATGATGCGGATGCTCTGCTAATTGCTCGTTCTACATAAGCGCCTGATAGCGTTGGAACATTGCATCGCGCGAGAATGGCTGAGTTGGCCATTGTCTGATGGAATATAGCCTGGTCAGCTCGACAGCAGTTTTAGGTTAGTCTTATACCGACGAGAGGCACATCGGCCAATCTAAACAAAAATAACTCGGAAAGCTTGCGATGTCTTGCTCGTCGTTCTAAGAATCCTCTCCGAGGCGCGTTACTAGGTTTGGTAAACGGCCACGGAGCAAGACCATGGCTAGGTGGAACAAGGGGAAAGGTTGCCTGACTCAGCTAGTAGCCATTCTCGAGAGCTGTTTGATCATTCGCAAATGGACCAACGGCTGGTCACAAAGTTCGTGTTTGAACGTTCACGCTGGTGAGTAACGGTTGAAATCGGTACCAGGGGAAAATCGCTAATGTATGGGAGTGGAGGTCGGTTTGTTGGAAGGTGCGAAGCAAAGGTGTAAAATGTGGAAGTTGGTTTTGACAGCCCAGGCTGGGCAGCCGCAGCAAATGAGTGCTCGCCAAATGTTTTGGTCCAACGCTACAGCACCAAGGGAGGTTGGGGGGGGCGGGCGGTTGTGCAAATTGGAATTCTTGCCCCACTGAATTCTGCCTCCGCAGACTGAACAGAGCAGGCCATTTTTTTATGGGAGCTATTCCCAAGTTACACAACACAGAAGCCTTACGGCAGGCATTGCAGGTCAAAAAATATGCACAAATATCCTGACATGCACTTTCACCCCAAAATTTTCCATTCTTGTTCCCATTCTTGAGGCCATGTAGGCTCTAGATCAAGACCAGCTTCATCATGTGACGGAAGAGCAAGCGCTCCATCTTCATGTTCGATTGTTGTAGCAGCAGTGCCGCCTTCGTCGTCTGTACCACTCACTGTTGTATCGGCAAATTGACTTCCTTGCCCCGAGGGACATGCTTCAAGGTCTGATAGGGTCACCGATGGGGCAGACGCACCAGTCACAGCCAGCGGCCAGGTAGAATGCTGCTCTGTGAATCCCAACGCCTGTGCAGGAGGCAGTGATAGAGCAGACATTTGGCCACCTCCATTTGCATCTTGACCAGCAGCTTGAGCTGTTGAAGCAATTGGTAACTGCGGCATGGAGACTGAATGATGCAGTGTGCTCACAGGAGCCGGCATGCTGGGAGCTGGAGAGCCCATGACAGTCCCATGAGAGGACATTGGGTTCCACATTGATGTTTGTTGATGACCGAATGCTGGCTGCATGCCAGAAGATGCTGCCACCATACTGCCGCCAGCAGGAACACCAATGGGAATTGCAGAACCAGGCCCTGTGGACGGACGGTAGCCCATGCTTGTTGCAACATGGGCCCAGGAGCCTGGCGGATAAGATGATACTTGAACTGGAGAAACCCCCATGGAATAAGGAGAGTGAGGCATGCCCATGGATGGAGGGCGAGGCTGGAGTGGAGATGCCCCTGTTGCCACAGGGACAGATCCAGGAGGGTATCCAGGAACCACCAGCCCAGAGGACACTGGAACCCCCACAGCAGTTGATCCAGGATGAAGAGAGTTGAGTGACATCGAGTGAGGTCGATGCGTTGGTGGAGATGTACCAGGCGAGAAAGATGCGAACTGTGATGATCCGGCAATCATTGTGTGCATGCCAGAAGGTGAAGCAGTCGTCATGACCATTCGAGGTAGACATGATGCCTGAAGGGAAAAAAATATGCAAGGAAGAAAATCGTTAGAAGTCATAGGAGGTAATACGCATTACAAAGCGCAAGAACTGAATGAATTGATGCATTACTTGTTGGATGGGGGAGCCGCTGGTCATTGTTGTTGCAGGGCGCATGGCAATGGTCCCAGGATACATCGCACTTGATGTGGGATACCCAGCTGGAGCTCCGGACACAACCATGGTCGGATGTGATCCGTTGAACGATCCAGCTTGCATGTACATTGGACCGGTCCCACACACTGAAGGGTTTGCATGCAGTGTTCCGTGATGGCTTGGCCCTTGAAACACCATGAAATCCGGAGGTAGTCGAGCTCCAGGCGGAAGTCCAGCCATCCTCTTCAAATACAGACGGTATTTCTGAAATACAGAGAAATGTGAAGTTGACGTTAAGTCAGATGCGATACAAGATCAAGATCTGAATCAAAACAAATATATCGTGAGCACGAACCTGCAAATGACTCGCCACGTTCTCCCGGGTCATGCCTTCGACATTCATGAGCTTCAAGATCGTGGTGGGAACTGCATCTGCAGGAAGAAAAAGAACATTAGGTGCCTGGATAACGAAATAACGTCTTGCAAAAGAGCAGGCATTGCCATCAGAACTCACTTTTGACCCCTAGATGGTTGACTGCACTCATAAAACGCGAGTGCAGCTCCGCTGTCCAAACAAGTCGTGGCTTCTTCGCCGTCCTGACACTGGTTCCTTCCATGTCGCCCTCTGAAGCTTCAACTCCTTCAGTCGGTTGATCCGTTCCGGCCGTCTCTTTGGTCCGGTTGCCTTTCGACTCGTCCTCGGGTCCGGCACTTCGTCCAGAAGCTTCCATGCGATTTGACGGTTCAGTATTCCCGGTGCTCGCAGCAGGTTCATCCTTAACCTTCGTATGCGGCTCTTCAACGCTTGGATTATCCTCTCCTGGTTTCTCATCGTGTGCGACAAGCTGGCTTCCATCAGGACACATTTCCGCCGATCGCTGGTCTGCATCGCTCCCTTCCACAGGGCTTGTTTGAGTTTCTGCCTCGTCACTCGACCTCGATATCACAGGTAGAAGCGCTTCATCGGCTGACCTCTTGCAGCTCAAGGTTTGCGGTTGAGTACTGCACATTCCCTCCGACCTGATGGCAGAAATCATGGATACGACGAGAACAAGAACGTTGGCTGCAGTCAGAAAGTGGCATGAAGAGAAGGGAGCAGCGAAAAACAAGCAGCTCAACGCTGTAGCTCCCTTACCTGAATCCTGAACTGTCTCCAGTTTCCTATCTCGCGCATTCTGGTGCTATTCGACAGATGATGGCCATGTCAAGGGTGCATTCGCACCCAATGACAGTTGTGAGTTCAATGAAAGTAGACGATTGTGAGTGGACTCTGGTTCTAAGCAGCGGCGGTGGATGTTGACTGGGACATAGAAGGAGAATCTCGTTCAGACTCCCTATCCACCAGAGGCCGCTGAGGTTGATGCTAGCTGTGGGGAGTTGAAGATGTTCAGTGTGTATTGGAAGCGCAAAAGTGCAATGAACTGCTCGCTGAGAAGCGAGAGAACAGGAAATGTGACCTCAGTCAAACTGACTCTCAGAACAAAAAACCGTCGAGTCAGATACTATCGAGGCTGGAGGATAGCCTCTGGTAGAAACTACTGTGAGTAACTGTTGCTGGCTAGGCGGGGAAGGCTAGACGTAAGAAAGGCACTGGTGCTCCAGGTCCCGAACCGCAGTTATTCGAGAGCCATGGAGGCCAGGCGTGGGAGCAGAGGACAAGAGTCAGGCTCAGGAAAAGGCAGCCCGCCTGGCCCTGGGCCTGGCAGGGGCTGGCCCGGCTAGCTCAGGGAATCCCGAGGGAGCTAGGCTCAGCAGCACCAGCAGGACCCAACAAGCAGGCAGGCAGCACCAGCGAGAGGGGGGAAAGGGGCAATGTGCCTGTCTTGGGAATTGGCTGGGCCTGGTGCGTAGCTCCCTGGTTCGTGGCTGGGCTCTCGGGAATTGCTGTGCTAGCTGGCTGGGTAGGGGGGCTCGAAGCGGGAATTGCAAATGGAAAGTGTTTTGGCGAAACTAGCCCCTGCTAGGGCTCGTATCCCAAAGCGCAATCTTGGAAATATCCCGCGTGGCAATACGTCATTCGACAGCGAATTACACTCTGGTCGTGGCGAGGCACGTAGAGTGAAATGCCTATCCAAATCAACTCCAGTCTGTGGGAATCCGACACACAAACTGTTCATCTTATCTGATAAAGTGACTCTCGTTTGACTTACCCGTACCACTCATGATTGGAAATGATATTTTGAAACTGTCAACACATTTACTGAAACATTTCATATATACAAGTGCACCATTCCTCCCCCATTTTACAAAATGTTACAACAGTTCACAAGATGAATAACACCACTTCGCATTAATCGTAGATGTCTTGAACCGCGATTGTACTCTGCTGCCTGCACATTCAAAAATATATGTATTAGTCATCAACACATACCAAACCATTCTTTCAACCTCTTTCATTCTCACCTTTCATTCTTTGAAATGCGGTAGTAGTGGTCTGCGTGCTCCTTTCGCCCAATCATTTCCGCGAAAGTCTCATCGTGAGTGATGACAATCAACTGAAAGTTCTCCTGGCTTCTTCTCTCTTCCATTAGTCTGCGCATAAGCACAAACACGGAAAGAGCATCAACAATATGAGCCGAGTTCATCAGAGCAAACAAAAACGAGGTGAACACAACCAAGAGGCAGCGAGTCAGTGAGCCAACCTGTTCAAGGCCCTCGCAAGGCTCTCAGCATTGGGAGCGTCAAGGTTGGTGGTCGGCTCGTCCAAAGCGAGGATGCCACAGTTGAGACAAAAGGTCTCGGCCAGAGCAAGGCGGATGATGAGAGAAGCCAGCACCTGATAGACATAGAAAGGACAGACCACAGAGTGCATGAACGGACATGAGGGACAGCAGGCGTCGCGAGGATACGAATGGCGGATGGCAACAAAACAAGTAATTACACGTCCGGAGAAAACGGATGACGGTGTGAAAGAGAAACCATTTGTGGATACTGCAAGCAAAGAATTCCCTTCAGAACTGTACCTTTTGGCCAGCACTGCACCGTCCCCGCATGTCAAGCTCAGCATCACCACTGCGCATCACCACCTGTCAGATCTCCATACACACACATAACACCCCACCCCTCCACATCCGCCCCACAGCAACCCACAACATGGACACATTTGACAGCATGACTGAGTTAGCTGACCAACATCAACATCAGGCAAACCAACCAATGTTAAGGATGCTACCTCTCCCGAAAATCATAGCAGAAAATGCTGTGCATATCACACGCCCAGTCGTACATAAAGCTGTTATTACCCCTTTCTTGTGGGATTAAGCCGCGGACTTCCCTTACCCGGTAGGAGTAAGAGCGTGTGCCCGCTCCTTCCGCATCGGAGCGGATCTCAACGTAGTCAATGTCCTGGCCTCGGACGAGCCATGTTCATTCCATCTTTTTGCACGACTAAGCCGTGAACATTGCTCACCCGATAGGAGTACGAGCGTGTGCCTGCTCCTTCCGGGTCGGAGCGAATCTCAACGTAGTCAATGTCCTGCCCATAACCGAGCTATGTTTACCCCATCTTTTGCACGACTAAGCTGTGAACTTTGCTCACCCGATAGGAGTAAGACCGTGTCCCCGCTCCTTCAGCATCGGAGCGGATCTCAACATAGTCAATGTCCTGGCCTCGGTACGTCTGCTGCCACAGCTCCTTGATGATCTTGTTGATCTCCTCCATCTTCATCGCATGGAACCGCATTAAAGCCCTGGAATTGTCACCAAGCAGATAGATATTCAAAAAAAAAAAAAAAAAAGCATCTCCGATGGGTCCTCAATGCCCTGGAAATCTCCACTTCCCGGAACTTTGCCACAAGACCATACTGCCCTAACAAACACATATTGGGGTATGCCTATGTCGGTGGTGTAAGAAAGTGGAGGCTCGAAAGGGCCAAGATAACCCTTGAGTCGACTAAAACATGGAAAGCTTCAAGACATAGGCTCGTCACTTACTTGTCCAATGCATTGTAGTACTTGTCGATGTCCCGGTTTGCCATCTCTGTAGTCTGCAAAAGTGAAGGACATTGTCAGACAACAGTAAGTGGCCGAGAGGTAGGCAGGGATGGATAATGTGGTAAAGAAAGAGTTTTCCGCAAATGCGTGAATAGTGAGAGCAATGAAGGTAAGAACGAGCCAGAAGTCACTTTGTGTGAACCCAACCCACAGCTCTGCTTGGGGGTAACAAGTTCATATTGAGCTGTAAGGACTTTCCAGTGCCTACTATCATTGTCTCTCAACTGGGGCGCCTTCATCTGTGCTTGGAAACAGGCTTGTGTATGAATTTTTATAACATGGTATGTATACATAATTTGTATACACATGTACATATTTTCTTACCTTGAGTTGGATGAGCTGCTTCCTGTGTCGGCTATCAATGTCTCTAAACTGCAGTGCCTTCAGCTCGGTTTGGGCGCGTCGAATGCTCGCCTCATGCGCTGCCACCTTGCCCCGGCTGTGGTTTTGCTGTGAAAGGGAGGGGCGTGGAGGAGAGATAGCGAGGAGAGTGAAGGGGATTGAGGAATAAGGAATGGTGAGAAGCGGTGAGATTGCTCGCCTCATGTGCTGCCACCTTGCCCCGGCTGTGGTTTTGCTGCGGCGAAGAGAGGTGGGTGAGGTGAGAAAGGTGTGAAGACCGGTGTGGAACGGTGAAGTGAGGGGAGTGAGAAGAATGCTGGCCTCATGTGCTGCCACCTTGCCCGGCTGTGGTTCTGCTGCGGCAAGAAGAGATAGAGAGAGGCGAGTGAGGTGAATGCGGTGAGAGGTGGTGAGAGGTGGTGAGAATGCTCGCCTCATGCGCTACCTTGCCCCGGCTGTGATCTTGCTGCAAGGGGGGGAGACGTGGAGGAGAGAGGTGTGAGAACGGTGACAAGTGGGGCAAGTGAGGGAAGTGCGGTGCGTGAGATGAGCAAGGTGAGAAGTGGTGAGTGAGGTGAGAAGCGGTGGGAGTGATAGGGAAGCAATGAAGGATGAGAACTGCTCACCTCAGCAGCAAGCCCATCAATCTCCTCCCTCACTGCCCTCACCTCCTCCTCCAGCTCCCCCACCCTCCCCACGCGCCCCATCTCCTCCCTCAGCCTCTCCACCTCTCTCCTCACCCCCTCCTCCTCCCTCTCCATTCCCCTAAAAACCAGAATCGCCTCCACATTGCGCTTGACGGCGTCCTGGCTGCGAAGCATCTCCCTCTCCTCCGCCTCCTTCTCGCTCAGCTGCTGAGTTTGCTGCTCATTGCTCGCCTGCCGCGCCTGCGACTGCTGCAGCCTTTTGGATGCTTCTGCTAGCCGTTGCTCCTTATTCGAGGCGATGTAGCTGGTGAGGAGAAGGGACGGGAGGAGCGGAGCAAGGGAGGGGAGGGGAGCAGAGGAAGCGAGGGGACAGTGGGAGGGAGAAGAGGGAACCTTTGAAAAGCCTCAAGAAAGACCCGGAAGCATTTTGGTTGCAAAACATCTCCCTCTCCTCCGCCTCCTTCACACTCAGCTGCTCTATCCGCTGCTCGTTGCTCGCCTGCCGCGCCTGCGACTGCTGCAGCCGCTTCGATGCATCCACCAACCGCTGCTCCTTTTTTGAGGCAATGTAGCTAATGGGGTGAGGAGAGAAGAGGGGACCTTTAAAGACTGACTCTCCATGCCCATAAAAACCAGAATCGCCTCCACATAGCGCTTCACAGCATCCTGGCTTCGCAGCATCTCCCTCTCCTCCGCCTCCTTCTCGCTCAGCTGCTGAATTTGCTGCTCGTTGCTCGCCTGCCGCGCCTGCGACTGCTGCAGCCGCTTCGATGCTTCCACCAGCCGCTGCTCCTTTTTTGAGGCAATGTAGCTGGTGGGGTGAGGAGAGGGGTGAGGAGAGAAGAGGGGGCCTTTAAAGACTGACTCTCCATGAACCGCAACACCAGAATCGCCTCCACATTGCGCTTCACACTCTCCTCCTATAGAGGAGTGAGTGGCGCCTCTTAGAGGAGCGGCGCCTATTAGAGGAGTGGCGCCTATTAGAGGAGCGGCGCCTATTAGAGGAGCGGCGCCTATTAGAGGAGCGGCGCCTATTAGAGGAGCGGCGCCTATTAGAGGAGCGGCGCCTATTAGAGGAGCGGCGCCTATTAGAGGAGCGGCGCCTATTAGAGGAGCGGCGCCTATTAGAGGAGCGGCGCCTATTAGAGGAGCGGCGCCTATTAGAGGAGCGGCGCCTATTAGAGGAGCGGCGCCTATTAGAGGAGCGGCGCCTATTAGAGGAGCGGCGCCTATTAGAGGAGCGGCGCCTATTAGAGGAGCGGCGCCTATTAGAGGAGTGGCGCCTATTAGAGGAGTGGCGCCTATTAGAAAAGTGGCGCCTATTAGAGGAGCGGCGCCTATTAGAGGAGCGGCGCCTATTAGAGGAGTGGCGCCTATTAGAGGAGTGGCGCCTATTAGAGGAGTGGCGCCTATTAGAGGAGTGGCGCCTATTAGAGGAGTGGCGCCTATTAGAGGAGTGGCGCCTATTAGAGGAGCGGCGCCTATTAGAGGAGCGGCGCCTATTAGAGGAGCGGCGCCTATTCGAGGAGTGGTTGGCGCCTATTAGAGGAGTGGTTGGCGCCTATTAGAGGAGCGGCTGGCGCCTATTAGAGGAGCGGCGCCTATTAGAGGAGCGGCGCCTATTAGAGGAGCGGCGCCTATTAGAGGAGCGGCGCCTATTAGAGGAGCGGCGCCTATTAGAGGAGCGGCGCCTATTAGAGGAGCGGCGCCTATTAGAGGAGCGGCGCCTATTAGAGGAGCGGCGCCTATTAGAGGAGCGGCGCCTATTAGAGGAGCGGCGCCTATTAGAGGAGCGGCGCCTATTAGAGGAGCGGCGCCTATTAGAGGAGCGGCGCCTATTAGAGGAGCGGCGCCTATTAGAGGAGCGGCGCCTATTAGAGGAGCGGCGCCTATTAGAGGAGCGGCGCCTATTAGAGGAGCGGCGCCTATTAGAGGAGCGGCGCCTATTAGAGGAGCGGCGCCTATTAGAGGAGCGGCGCCTATTAGAGGAGCGGCGCCTATTAGAGGAGCGGCGCCTATTAGAGGAGCGGCGCCTATTAGAGGAGCGGCGCCTATTAGAGGAGCGGCGCCTATTAGAGGAGCGGCGCCTATTAGAGGAGCGGCGCCTATTAGAGGAGCGGCGCCTATTAGAGGAGCGGCGCCTATTAGAGGAGCGGCGCCTATTAGAGGAGCGGCGCCTATTAGAGGAGCGGCGCCTATTAGAGGAGCGGCGCCTATTAGAGGAGCGGCGCCTATTAGAGGAGCGGCGCCTGTAAGAGGAGTGGCGCCTATTAGAGGAGTGGCGCCTATTAGAGGAGCGGCGCCTATTAGAGGAGCGGCGCCTATTAGAGGAGTGGCGCCTATTAGAGGAGTGGCGCCTATTAGAGGAGTGGCGCCTATTAGAGGAGTGGCGCCTATTAGAGGAGTGGCGCCTATTAGAGGAGTGGCGCCTATTAGAGGAGTGGCGCCTGTAAGAGGAGTGGCGCCTGTAAGAGGAGTGGCGCCTATTAGAGGAGTGGCGCCTATTAGAGGAGCGGCGCCTATTAGAGGAGCGGCGCCTATTAGAGGAGCGGCGCCTATTAGAGGAGTGGCGCCTATTAGAGGAGTGGCGCCTATTAGAGGAGTGGCGCCTATTAGAGGAGTGGCGCCTATTAGAGGAGTGGCGCCTGTAAGAGGAGTGGCGCCTGTAAGAGGAGTGGCGCCTATTAGAGGAGTGGCGCCTATTAGAGGAGTGGCGCCTATTAGAGGAGTGGCGCCTATTAGAGGAGTGGCGCCTATTAGAGGAGTGGCGCCTATTAGAGGAGCGGCGCCTATTAGAGGAGCGGCGCCTATTAGAGGAGCGGCGCCTATTAGAGGAGCGGCGCCTATTAGAGGAGCGGCGCCTATTAGAGGAGCGGCGCCTATTAGAGGAGCGGCGCCTATTAGAGGAGCGGCGCCTATTAGAGGAGCGGCGCCTATTAGAGGAGCGGCGCCTATTAGAGGAGCGGCGCCTATTAGAGGAGCGGCGCCTATTAGAGGAGCGGCGCCTATTAGAGGAGCGGCGCCTATTAGAGGAGCGGCGCCTATTAGAGGAGCGGCGCCTATTAGAGGAGCGGCGCCTATTAGAGGAGCGGCGCCTATTAGAGGAGCGGCGCCTATTAGAGGAGCGGCGCCTATTAGAGGAGCGGCGCCTATTAGAGGAGTGGCGCCTATTAGAGGAGTGGCGCCTATTAGAGGAGTGGCGCCTATTAGAGGAGTGGCGCCTATTAGAGGAGTGGCGCCTATTAGAGGAGTGGCGCCTGTAAGAGGAGTGGCGCCTGTAAGAGGAGTGGCGCCTATTAGAGGAGTGGCGCCTATTAGAGGAGTGGCGCCTATTAGAGGAGTGGCGCCTATTAGAGGAGTGGCGCCTATTAGAGGAGTGGCGCCTATTAGAGGAGCGGCGCCTATTAGAGGAGCGGCGCCTATTAGAGGAGCGGCGCCTATTAGAGGAGCGGCGCCTATTAGAGGAGCGGCGCCTATTAGAGGAGCGGCGCCTATTAGAGGAGCGGCGCCTATTAGAGGAGCGGCGCCTATTAGAGGAGCGGCGCCTATTAGAGGAGCGGCGCCTATTAGAGGAGCGGCGCCTATTAGAGGAGCGGCGCCTATTAGAGGAGCGGCGCCTATTAGAGGAGCGGCGCCTATTAGAGGAGCGGCGCCTATTAGAGGAGCGGTGTTAGAATATCTCCTCTCTTGTAACCTGCATATATGCTATAGGATAGGCTAGAGATAAGCACCCAAACTTAGTTTGGGTGTACAAGCAGGGGTTACCCAATTTGTAGGTTGGAAACCCAACCTTGGTCCAATTATTGGACCCCAAGGGTTGGGATGGGTAGAATTATTGGTCCCCTCCAATAATGTTGGCCCAACTCCAACTTGGCCAACATTATTGGACCCCACCAATAATCTCCCAACCCAACTCCTTGGTTGGGGTCCAATAATGTTCACCTAGGCTAGTTTCCAACTCATCTCCTATGTAAACCCCCCATCCTTTCAATCAATCCATCAACTTCTCTTCTAACTTTTCTTCTCACATGGTATAGAGCTCTTAAAAATCCTAGGCCTACGCTCCTAGTTTTTTTTCAAAGGCCGCCGCAACCCCCGGCCTCCTTTCTCATTTCTCCGCGGCTATCTCGCCACCCTCCCCCTCTCCTCAAGCACTCCCTTCCTCGCAGCCCCACGGCCTCCCACGCCATCACGGCTCGCGGCCCCACCGCCGCTTCCGCGCTCGCCTTGTCGCGGTCCCGCCGACCGCCACCGCCCGCCCCATCCCGCGGCCTCGACGCCGCCTCCGCGCCAACGCCACTGCGGCCGCCGTCGCCGCCGCCGTCGCCGCCGCCGCTCCCTTCCGCGGCCTCGACGCCGCCTCCGCGCCTGCACTGCCGCGGCTTCGCCAGCCGCCGCCGCTCGCGCCGCTCCCTCCCGCGACCCCGTCGCCGCTTCCGCGCCAGCACTCCCGCGGCTTCGCCAGCCACCGCCGCTCGCGCCGCTCCCTCCCGCGGCCTTGTCGCCGCTTCCGCGCCGGCACTGCCGCGGCCTCGCCAGCGCCGCAGCTCGCGCCGCTCCCTCTCGCGGCCTTGTCGCCGCCTCCGCGCCTGCACTGCCGCGGCTTCGCCAGCCGCCGCCGCTCGCGCCGCTCCCTCCCGCGACCCCGTCGCCGCTTCCGCGCCGGCACTGCCGCGGCTTCGCCAACCGCCGCCGCCCGCGCCTCTCCGCGGCCTCGTCGCCGCCTCCGCGCCAGCCGCCGCGGCCTCGCCAGCCGCCGCCCGCGCCTCTCCGCGGCCTCGTCGCCGCCTCCGCGCCAGCCGCCGCGGCCTCGCCAGCCGCCGCCCGCGCCTCTCCGCGGCCTCGTCGCCGCCTCCGCGCCAGCCGCCGCGGCCTCGCCAGCCGCCGCCCGCGCCTTCCCCTCCAGCGGCCTCGACGCCGCCTCCCCGCCAGCACCGCCGCGGCCCCGCCAGCCGCCGCCGTCCGCGCCCCTCCGCGGCTTCAACACCGCCTCCGCGCCAACCGCCGCGGCCTCGCCAGCCGCTGCTGCCCGCGCCACTCCCCTCTCCCCCCCCCCCCCCCCCCCCCCCCCCGCGGCCTCGCCGCCGTTGCTCCTCCGTGATCACTGCGGGTCCACCTGCAGCCGTCCATCATGGCTACTCCTACACCCTCCCCCTCCCCACTTCCTCCCCCTATTGATACGTCCTCCATTGATAAGCTCCAGCTCGCCGCGGACAAGTCCGCAGTCAACTGGCACTCCTTCGTCGGCAGCATCCGACGGGTTCTATCCGACGCATGGGTTCCCCCCTACCGTGTCCTTGACGTCATCCTCCGTCGCCCCAATGCCCTCCCCCCCACCGAACCTCCCCACCCCGGCGAGACTCCTCCTCTTCCTCCTACTCCTGGCGACCCTCCTCATGAACCCGATCTTCAGATCACCCCCGACCAAGCCACTGCGGACACTGATTTTATCCTACGCCGCCGTGAATACCTCATCCGCAAAGCCGAGTACGATGCTGCAGTTGAGGCCTATGATCAGGCGGTTGCTGGTCGCGACGCTCACCTCGAGGTCGTCGCCAAATACAAGGTCGACATGGCTGACTTCACCCCCAGACTCATCGCCTGGACAGCTGCTGACACCCGTGCCTGCACCGTTCTCCTTGGAGCTCTCCCTGACTCCCTCATGCGTCGCTTCCAGGCTCGGGAACTCCGTGCCTCGGTCATCTGGGCAGAACTCCATGCCATGTTTGAGCGCCGCGACATCAGCTCCGTCGGCATCCTCTTCCAAGAGTATTTTTCCATCACCCTCGCCACCTGTGACGGAGCAGTCGACTACGTCGGACGCATGCGCGAGGTAGCTGATCGCCTCGAAGCCCGCCAGGCCGGCCTCTCCGAACCTCTTCAAATCCACCGCCTCCTCTTTAACCTCACCCCAGACTACGAATCCCGCCTCCACGCCTTTACCGAAGCCAATCCCATGGCCGGTCTCGCCTCCGTTGAACAGTGGATTATCGACACCGAAGTTAAACTCCGTACACCCATCGTCAACCTCGCCTCCTCCCAACCCACCTCCTCCTCCCTCAACGCTACCCAGCCTCGCAAGCAGGGAAAGAACAACGGCAAAGGAGGAGGTGGGGGCAAGGGAGGTGGTGGTTCGGGAAGCAGCAACAACCGTGGTGGCACCACTGGGGATGAGCACGGCACCACCACTTCGGGTGGACCCACTGCAAGTCGCGGGAGTCGCCCTGGCACGCTTCCTCCCTGCACCTATGTCCGCCGCTATGGTCCTCGGGCTGGAACTCCCTGCGGACAGACCAACCATCCCCCTGGCACGTGCTTCAAGGCTCTCGACGATGCCTGGTACGCGCGGGGTAACGTTGGCACTCCTCCAAAGTGGGGCAACATCTCCCCACGCCCCTCCCCCACCGATATCCAAACCAATCCAGCCTACCTCCCAGCCCACCTCCGCCTCCTTGCTCCCCCCACACCCTTCCTCAACCTCCAGCAGCAGCACCTCCAGCAGCAGCAGCAGCAGCAGCAGCAGCAGCAGCAGCAGCAGCAGCAGCAGCAGCAGCAGCAGTTACAGCAGCTGTTTCAGCCTCAGCCGCAGCAGCAGCAGCAGCAGCCACAGCCGCCGCAGCACCCATGGGGGTCAGGACCCCAGCCACAGTGGGGACCCAGCCCTCCTCCCTGGCCGCAGCAGCAGTTGAACTTTGGCACAGCAGCCATGGCCGCTCAAGCCTCACCTGCCCCCCTTTGGGGTGCCCCACCCCCCCCCAGTAGCACTGCCACCCCTCTCACTCACGAGAGCTTCCTTGGCAACATAGCTATTTCGCCCTCTCTTCCTTCCATGTACCCATCCAACATTAATGAAACCACTTTCCAGTACTCAGTGTCTTCCTCCTCCTCCTCACCCACTCTGGACTTTGTCCTTGACAGTGGGGCCACTGAGACCGCCCTCAAAGACGCTGGTACACTCACACCCCTCTCCCCTCCCACTCAAGTTCACGGTGCTGACAGCAGCTTCACCATCCCATGCACACACCTCTCCACTCTCCCCTGTTCACTCTTCCCCTCTGGCAAGGTAACTGGTCTCCACATCCCCACTCTCCGAAACAACCTCCTCTCCCACCGTGAAATCCAAGGTGCAGGTATCACTGCCGTCTATCCTGGTAATGCCACCTACTGTGACCTTTACCACACTGCCTCCGGCCGCTTCCTCCTCCGCATACCCCTCTGCCCTCGCACTCGCCTCTACACTCTCCGCACTCCGTGGCCATCCTCCTGCCATGTTACCACTCGTGCGGGTACCTCCACCAGCCCTCCCCATCTCCCTCCCTCTCCTCCCACTCCGTCTCCTCCCCACTCCTCCATCCCTTCCTCACTCATTCCAATCCCCTCCACCTCCGACCATCTCTCCCACCCCGCTGTTCTCCTACATCACCGACTCGGCCATCCGAATTTTGCCGCTCTCCGCACTGCCGTCACCTCACGACTTCTTCACAGCCTCCCTCCAACTCTTCCTCCCCTTCCCTCCTCCCCAGCCCCCCCATGCCCCTCCTGCATCCACGGCAAACTCAAACAATCTCCTCACCACAGCCACCCATCCTTCGCTCCTGCACCCATTGACCTTGTCCATATGGACCTCTGGGGGCCCTCTCCCACCCGCTCACGCCAAGGCCATCGCTACATGTTGGTTCTTGTTGACGATCACAGCCGCTACTCCTCCATTTTCCTCCTCCACACCAAAGACCAGGCGCCGACCATTATCATTAACTGGGCAGAGCAATGCCGCACCCACTTCAAACGTCCCATCGGCCGCCTCCACTCTGATGGGGGAGGCGAATTCCTCAACCGCACTCTCTCTCACTACTGCACCACCCATGGCATCCAACAGACCCACACTCTTCCCCACTCCCCACAGCAGAACGGCGTTGCAGAAAGCCGCATTCGCGAAATCACTAAGATCGCCCGCTGTCTCCTTGCTCACGCCTCCACCCCTCCCTCTCTCTGGGGCTATGCCCTCCTCCATGCTGCCCTCCTCCTCAACCTTCACTCCCATCCCCAACACACTGCCGCTACCCCCACGGAGCTCTGGTCAGGAACCAAACCTGACGCTGCCGGTCTCCGTGTCTGGGGTTGCAAGGCATATGTGCTTATTCCTCCACCCGACCGCACCCAAGGCAAGCTCGCTCCTCGCGCCCTCGAGTGTGTCTACCTCGGACACAACCGCGACTCGCCTGGTTACCTCTTCCTTCACCCTCCCTCTGGTCGCCTCATCCGCAGCATTGACGTTGTGTTCGATGAGACCACCCCGTACTACTCCTCCCCACCACCGGACCCCCTCCCTCCTCCCACACGTCCTCTCGCTTGGGCCGACACCGTCCTCCCTCCCCTCCTCCCTCCGGCACCTCTTCTCCCACCCCTCCCCACCCCGCTTCCGCCACCTTCATCCGCCGACGTCTACGATCCCACTGCTCCTGCCTCCCCCGCACACTCCACGGCTCCCCCTCCCCCCTCCCCTTCCCACTCCCCTCCTCATCCATCACAGCAGCAGCAGCAGCAGCAGCAGCAGCAGCAGCAGCAGCAGCAGCAGCGGCAGCAGCGGCAGCAGCAGCGGCAGCAGCGGCAGCAGCAGCAGCGGCAGCAGCAGCAGCTGCAGCAGCAGCAGCAGCAGCAGCAGCAGCAGCAGCCGCCGCAGCAGCAGCAGCAGCAGCAGCAGCAGTAGCCGCAGCAGCAGCAGCGGCAGCAGCAGCAGCCGCAGCAGCCACAACAGCAACAGCAGCCGCAGCAGCAGCAGCAGGGGCAGCAGCCGCAGCAGCAGCAGGGTTCCAGAAGCACCAGCAGCAGCAGCGGCGCAGGGCAATTGCCCGCTCCTCACCCTTCCTCCTCCCTCGCATGCACACCCGCTCCCTTGACCCCATCCTTGGTGCACCGTCTCCTCCCTCCCTCAACCAACTGGAGGACTCCCATGAGGAGTTCACCATGGTCCGGCGCCACACTCCCTCTCTCACAGTACTTTCCCCTGACCTCCTCGGCGCCCTACTCCTTAGCGCGATCCCCGCTCCCACCATCTTCGTCCCCTCCACCTGCCCTGACGTCGAGAGGCTATCACCATCTTCTTCCAAGAGGCTATCACCTGCCCTGACGCCGATAAGTGGATAGCCGCCATCTTTCAGGAATGTGAAGCATTCATCCACAATAACTCCTTCATTGACGTTCCCCTCCCTCCTGACGCCAACCTGGTTGAGGGCAAGTGGATCTTTCGAGTCAAGCAGCTGCCGGGAGAAGAACCAGTCTACAAAGCCCGCTACGTTGCCAAGGGGTTCACCCAGACCTGGGCTGAGGACTACTGGTTCACGTTCGCCCCCACCGTCAAGCAGGCCACCCTACGCACCCTTCTTGACATCGGTGCAAGAGACGACATGGAGATTGACTCCATGGACGTCTCCAACGCTTTCCTGCAAGGTGAACTGCACGAACGCATCTTTCTCCGCCGACCTCCCGGGTTCCATGCTACGTTCCCCGACAACACCGTCTGGCAGCTGAAGCGACCGAAGGGGAGGGGGGAGGTGGGTGGCGCAAGTTGGTGACCGAAGGGGAGGGGGGTGGAGACTGGTTTGGCCTGCGCCATCTCAAACTTCTCCAGGACCTGGCCGATGTAGTGGGACTGGGAGAGAGTGATGGTGCGGGCGGATCGATCACGGGTGATAGCCATGCCGAGGTAGTTCTGGAGGGGACCAAGGTCCTTGCACTTGAGTCGTTCCTGAAGTGACCGCTTCATCTGGTCCATGTCGGCCCTGGAATCCGCCAGCAGGATCATGTCGTCAACGTAGACCGAGATGAAAAAGCGACTGGGGGAAGAGCGGATGAAGAGGCTGGCGTCGGAGTGGGAGGGGGAGAAGCCAAGGGACTGGAGAGTAGCAGACAGCTTCGCATGCCATTCTCGTGGTGCCTGCTTCAGGCCGTAGAGCTGATGTATGCGATGATGTGCACCCGCCCCGACCTCGCCTACCCCGTCAGCGTCCTTGCTCGGTTCGTCGGCTCTGGCCGTCACACTGAGGAACACTGGGCTGCCGCCAAGCGGGTCCTTCGCTATCTCTGCGGCACCAAGGATCACGCTCTCACACTGGGTGGATCCTCCCCTCCCCTTCTCTCGGGCTTCAGTGACTCCTCCTGGGCAGACAATCAGCCAGACCGCCGCTCCTCCCAAGGCTATGGCTTTACCCTCGGCAGCGGACTTATCAGCTGGCGTTCCACCCGCTCCTCAGCCATCGCTCTCTCTTCCTGCGAAGCTGAGCTCTATGCGGGCACCATGGCCGCTCAAGAGTCCCGCTGGCTCTGCTTTCTTCTGGCAGAGCTTGGTGCCCCCCAGCGCTGTCCCACGCTCTGGTGTGACAACGCCAGCACCATCCACCTCACCCAGGATCCAGTCTTTCATGGTCGCTCCAAGCATATCGAGCTCCGTTATTTCTTCATCCGCGACCTCGTCCGACAGAATCTTATCGCCGTCCGCAAGATCGCCACTGAAGCCAATTTGGCGGATATCTTCACCAAAGCACTTCTTCGCCCCGCGCACTCTGCTCTCCTCCGCCTCATTGGCCTCGCTCCCCCAGGCGCGCCTTGATTCAGGGGTTGCTTCTCTCCAGCCTTTCCGCATCTCTGCAGGTTAAGGGGTTGTGTTAGAATATCTCCTCTCTTGTAACCTGCATATATGCTATAGGATAGGCTAGAGATAAGCACCCAAACTTAGTTTGGGTGTACAAGCAGGGGTTACCCAATTTGTAGGTTGGAAACCCAACCTTGGTCCAATTATTGGACCCCAAGGGTTGGGATGGGTAGAATTATTGGTCCCCTCCAATAATGTTGGCCCAACTCCAACTTGGCCAACATTATTGGACCCCACCAATAATCTCCCAACCCAACTCCTTGGTTGGGGTCCAATAATGTTCACCTAGGCTAGTTTCCAACTCATCTCCTATGTAAACCCCCCATCCTTTCAATCAATCCATCAACTTCTCTTCTAACTTTTCTTCTCACAAGCGGCGCCTATAAGAGGAGCGGCGCCTATTAGAGGAGCGGCGCCTATTAGAGGAGCGGCGCCTATTAGAGGAGCGGCGCCTATTAGAGGAGCGGCGCCTATTAGAGGAGCGGCGCCTATTAGAGGAGCGGCGCCTATTAGAGGAGCGGCGCCTATTAGAGGAGCGGCGCCTATTAGAGGAGCGGCGCCTATTAGAGGAGCGGCGCCTATTAGAGGAGCGGCGCCTATTAGAGGAGCGGCGCCTATTAGAGGAGTGGCGCCTATTAGAGGAGTGGCGCCTATTAGAGGAGTGGCGCCTGTAAGAGGAGTGGCGCCTATTAGAGAAGTGGCGCCTATTAGAGGAGTGGCGCCTATTAGAGGAGTGGCGCCTATTAGAGGAGTGGCGCCTATTAGAGGAGTGGCGCCTATTAGAGGAGCGGCGCCTATTAGAGGAGTGGCGCCTATTAGAGGAGCGGCGCCTATTAGAGGAGTGGCGCCTATTAGAGGAGTGGCGCCTATTAGAGGAGTGGCGCCTATTAGAGGAGTGGCGCCTATTAGAGGAGTGGCGTCGATTAGAGGAGTGGCGCCTCCAAGGGGATATGGCGGAAGGCGGAAGACGGGGGGTGGAGGGAGGAGGGAGGAGGGCGGAGGGTGGAGGAAGGAGGGCAGAGGGCGGGTTGTGGAAGGCGAATTGTGGATGGCGGAGGATGTTGGGCGGAGGGCGGAGGGCGGGGGGCGGAGGGCGGGGGGCGGAGAGGGCGGAGGGTGGAGGCGGAGGGCGGAAGGCGGAGGGAGGAGGGCGGAGGGCGGATGGAGGAGGGCGGAGGGAAGAGAGGGCGGAGGGCGGAGGGCGGAGGACTGAGGGCGGAGAGGGAGGAGGGCGGAGGGTGGAGAGGGAGGAGAGCGGAGGGCGGAAGGAGGAGGGAGGAGAGGATGGAGGGCAGAGGGTGGAGGAACGAGGGCAGAGGGCGGAGGGCGGAGAGTGGAGGGCGGAGGGCGCATCAGAGGAGAGGCGCCTGCCTCTTAGGCGTTGCTCTTGAGGCGATGTAGTGGTGGGGTGAGGAGAGAGGAGTGGAGAGAGAAGAAGGGATGGGAGGGGATGGGAGGGGATGAGAGTAAATGGGACGGGAGGGGAGGGGATGGGAGGGGAAGGGAGGAGGGCGAGAATTCCCAAGAGTCCCAAGAGGGAACCCTATTGTTGGAGGCAACAGAGCTGGTGGGGTGAGGGGCGAGGAGAAATGAAACGGGCAACTCCCATCCCTAAAACTCTCCTTGAGATATTTTGGCAAATATCCCTCTCGTCCCATCCGGATCCCTCTCCAAGCCTCTCACCCCCCCTACATCTCCTCTTGAGACACATCAAAGATATGCTCTTGTTCTGAGACACTCAAACGCCCCAACACTCACTCCTCGATCTTCTTGAATATCGCTCTCGACCCATCCAGGTCCCTCTCCATGCCTCTCACCCGCCCCTGCATCTCCGCCTCCTCCGCCCCTGCCTTCTCCCGCCACACCCTCCGCCCCTCCACTGCCTCCCCATGCTTCTTCCTCAGAGGCCCCATGCTCCTCTCCAGTGCCTGGTGATGGCAGGATTGGGGGAAGCGGGGGGAAGCCGGGTGAGTCAAGTACGGGAGAAGATTGGCAAGGGACTGCGACAGAGGAAGTTCAATCAGCAAATGAATCGGTTAACAAGGCTCCCTCAGTCTCCCGCCACACCTTCCGCCCCTCCACCGGCGCCCTATGCTTCTTCCTCAGAAGCCCTATGCTGTGCTTCCCCTTCCCCACCGAGTCATTAGACATGTTAAAGAGGCACTCACCTGTATTTCCAGCTTGCTCCCTTCAATCGCCACCTCCAGCTGCCCCACCTCCTCCTCCATCTCCCGCCGCCGTGCCACTTTCAGAGCCATCTGCGCCTTCTCCTCCCGCGCCCCCCGCCACCTGTTGCTGGCTGCTGCTGCCTCGTCCTTCAGTGCTGCATGCTCCTCCCTCAGCCTCTCCACATCCCCTGCTGCTGCATCCCTGCAGAACGGTGCAACAAGAGCACAGGACAATTGAACAAAGGAGGCCATATTTCTTTCTTTTTTTTCTGGCGCCTCAAGAGTTTCCCTGCCACCTGTTGCTGGCTGCTACTGCTTCTTCCTTCAGTGCTGCATGCTCCTCCCTCAGCCTTTCCACATCCCCTGCTGCTGTATCTCTGCTCTGCAGCACAGCACACCATAGGCACAGGACCAAGGGAGCGTGACGCGGGGTAAGGGAAGAAGAGAGACTCATGAGCACATAAATAAGAAGCATCTCTGCAGTATAACACACCATATGCCCGATCCCTTCATCAACCCCCCGTTTCCCCTCTCTCACCTCCTCTCCCCTGCAGCAAAGCAGCCAGCTCACCTCTTCTCTTCGACAGCAGCCAGGTCAGCATTGACATCAGCCAGCGAGCGCATGGCCTGGGAGAGCGTGTCCAGTCGATACTCCAGCTCCTGCACCTCCGCCTCCCCACTCTCCGTGCCTAAACCCAGAACCCTGCAGCAGCAGCAGCCGGCTCACCTCTTCTCCTCCACAGCAGCCAGGTCAGCATTGACATCCGCCAATGAGCGCATGGCCTGGGAGAGCGTGTCCAGGCGGTACTCCAGCTCCTGCACCTCCGCTTCCCCCCACCTCCGCTTCCCCCCACCTCCGCTTCCCCCCACCTCCGCTTCCCCCCACCTGCGCTTACCCCTTCCTCACCTCTTCTCCTCAATGGCAGCCAGGTCAGCCAGCAAGCGCATGGCCTGGGAGAGCGTGTCCAGGCGATATTCCAGCTCCTGCACCTCTGCTTCCCCATTCTCCGCCTCCCTTCTCACCCTCTCCCTCCCACCTCCCCCTTCCTCACCTCTTCTCTTCGACAGCAGCCAGGTCGGCATTGACATCAGCCAGGGAGCGCATGGCCTGGGAGAGAGTATCAAGGCGATATTCCAGCTCCTGCACCTCCGCTTCCCCGTTCTCTGCCTCCTTCCTCACCCTCTCCGCCTCCTTCACCACCCCCTCCACCCGCCCCGCCGCGTCTAGCTTCGCCTTGGCCTCTGCCAGCGAGCACAGCAGCTGGAGGGGGGGAGCAGGAAGGGATGGGGGGGATTTTAAGGCGCCTCCTTCCTCACCCTCTCCGCCTCCTTTACCACCCCCTCCACCCGCCCCGCCGCGTCTAGCTTTGCCTTGGCCTCTGCCAGCAAGCACAGCAACTGGAAAGTGTACGAGTGAGAGGGGTGAAAGGAGGAAGGGGCAGGGGGTTGAAGAGGGTGAGAAGCAGAGAGTGAGAAGCCTGCTGTGGATCGACCAGGTGTGGCACCAGAGGAGACAAGATTCAAGAAAATGTCAAGGAGACTTCGAGGCATGATGACAACGGGAGCACATGGGTGTGACAAAGGCAGGCACACACGGGTGCATCATAGGGAGGGAACACACACAGAATGAAGCACAATGAGACGGTGCAATGTTACTCACATTCTCATGGTTTTCCTGGGCCTTGCTCTGAGCTTCCTCCACGTGGCCCACTACCACCCTGGCACGTGGCACCAGCTCATCCACCAACTTCCTGTACTCGTTATAAACAGGATGCAGGTCATCCAGAATCCCCAGCTGCTGCACAAGCCCTTCGCGCTTCTGTTTCAACACCTCCTCCTGGTTTCCAGCGCCTCTGTTCCTTTCCTTCATTCTTTCCACAAACGTTTCCTCCTCTGCTGGAGTAAAGCCTCTCTCACACGTGGGGCAGCAGTGCTTGCGCCGAGCGTGCTGCTCAAACTGTGCCACAAACTCCTTCATTCCCACAAACGCCTTGTACTTCCTGGGAGCAGGGTGTGAAGTGGTGTGGAGGGGTGTACAGGATAATCATGGAGTTTGGGGGAGAGTGGGGTTTTACGAACTTGCTCCCAGCATCCGAGCACACACACAACCTCATACTAACCCATGAAACCATAACAATGCACCCACACACTCATGCACGCCGCACTTACCCTAGGTCATCCTCCAGCAATGCTTGCCCCTCATTCTTTCAAGATCGCCCACAGCAATTGATGGGCCAAAGTGGCATCACCCATGCACCCCAAGAATACAACCATGCACGCACACGCCCATGCACTCACCCAATAGCTTATGAGACGTCTCAAAAGTCACCCCAAGAATACAACCATGCATGCACACGCCCATGCACTCACCCAATAGCTTATGAGACGTCTCAAAAGTCACCCCAAGAATACAACCATGCACGCACACGCCCATGCACTCACCCAATAGCTTATGAGACGTCTCAAAAGTTACCCCAAGAATACAACCATGCACGCACACGCCCATGCACTCACCCAATAGCTTATGAGACGTCTCAAAAGTCACCCCAAGAATACAACCATGCACGCACACGCCCATGCACTCACCCAATAGCTTATGAGACGTCTCAAAAGTCACCCCAAGAATACAACCATGCACGCACACGCCCATGCACTCACCCAATAGCTTATGAGACGTCTCAAAAGTCACCCCAAGAATACAACCATGCACGCACACGCCCATGCACTCACCCAATAGCTTATGAGACGTCTCAAAAGTCACCCCAAGAATACAACCATGCATGCACACGCCCATGCACTCACCCAGTAGCTTCCTCCAGCGCTGTTCTCTTCTCGCCCCGAACTCTTTCCAAATCGTCCACTGCAAGTGATGGGTCCACTGCCTTGCTCAGACGCGTCTGGATCAGAACCCGCTTGGCTGGGGGAAAATTCGGGGGCACAAGGGGAGCACGAGATGGGAAATGATGGAGAGGAGGGCCAGTTGATTCCAGCTTTGAGGCATGACTGGATCAAAGGTTGTTTAGCTGGGGAAGGGATGGGAGGGAAAGGGGAGGGAAGGGACGGAAAGCGAAGTGATGGAAAGGGATGGCAAGCGGAAGGAAGAGATGGGGGTTATGGAAAGGGATGAACAGTATTGCGGATGATAAAGGGGATTTTAAGTGATCCACTTCACACCACACTCCAACATACCACACCACACTCCAAAATACCACACCACACTCCAACATACCACACCACACTCCAACATACCACACCACACCACACCGCACCGCACCGCACTGCTGTTGTTCCTAAGATCACCAGACCACATCACACAGTGCTGCACTGCACTGAGCCACTCACTATCCAGCTCGTTGCTGTATTTGTTGAGTTCGCTCCGTGCATGGTCCAGCCGCAGCTGCTGCACTGCTGCCTCGTTGCCTGCCTCCTTGGCTTGCACATCAGCCTCCTCATAAGCCACTCGCTGAGCCCTGCATGTGCGCACACATAAAGTGGTGGAAGAGAGAGGGGGGGAAAGGAGAGGGGGGTGGGTGGTGGAGAGACCATGGGGTAAATGGCGAGAAGTGGACAAAAGGGAGGTGGGGGAGTGGGGGGGCACAAGGGGAGGGAAGTGAGAATTTCTCTCAATCAGTAAGTCTCCACCACACACCCCTTGCGCCTCAACCCTCCCCTTGCAACCCACACCCCTCCCCTTGCGCTCCACACCCCTCCCCATGTGTCACACCCCACACCTCTCCCATTGCCCCCCGACCCTCCCCTTGCACCCCTCACCCCCTCCCCTTTCACCCCGCACTCCCTCCCCTTGCACTCAACACCCCCTCCCCTGCACCCCACACTCTCTCCCCTTGCACTCAATACCCCTTCCCCTGCACCCCACGCACCTGATTGCCTTCTCAACCTCCCGGACCAGCTTGCTTGTGTCTGACGGCATCTCTCCTCCCAGAAGCTCCTCTATCCGCCCCTTGTTCTCCGCCAGCCTGACCTTGCAGACAAAGGGTGGACAGACGAATGTGGAGGAGGAGGATAGAGACAGGCACAAGAAGGCAAACGGAAGAACAAAGTCAGATCGAGTGGAAATGAAGACTGGAGGGAGGGCGACATGGATAGGGGTCGTGGTGAGAGGAATGGGAGACGTGAGGGAGGAAAGCAGGAACAGAGGAAGAAGGAGACATGGGAGCAGAGAGAAATCGGGGTGGGAGGGAGGGCGGGGAGGGGTGGTGGGGGTGGCGGGGGAGGCAGCGGGGGAGCATGAGGATGGGGAACAAAGAGAGAGGAGAGAAGCGCCAAACGAGCTATGCAGACAATAAAATACAAAAAATCAGGTAACGCAAGCCAAATCACGCCACGAACAACTCACAGCTTCTTCAGCTGAGCCTCCTTGTCCCTCACCGCCTCCTGCTTCAGCCTCAGCGTCACCCTCTCGCTGCTCTCCGCCGCCAGGCTGTCCTTCTCCCGCTGCAGCGCCTTGAGCCGCTGCTCCTGCCGGCTCAGGTCCGTTTTGGCATCCTCCAGCTTGGAGAGGAGTGTGGGGTCTCGTAGCTTGGTTGCGAGTCTGTCCGCCTCTGCTTTCTGTACGGGATGGGAGTAATGTGGTGACAGATTATCACTTTTGAGTCAACTCAACAGGCTGTCCTTCTCCCGCTGCAGGGCCTTTAGCCGCTGCTCCTGCCGGCTCAGGTCTGTTTTGGCATCCTCCAGCTTGGACAGCATAGTGGGGTCGCGAAGCTTGGTTGCGAGTCTGTCCGCCTCTGCTTTCTGTACGGGATGGGAGTAATGTGGCAGCACACAGTCGCGGTGAGTTGGGTAGGAGGTCGCCGCTAATCCTGCCGTCTTGCATCCTCTAGCTTGGATGAAATGAACAAAGGAGGCTAAAAGGTGGGAGGGAATGTGGTGGCTTGTGAAGCGAGAAAAGAGAAAACAGGAAGGGAAAAGAAGCCTAAAGGTGGGAATGGTGGCAGAGGATTCACCGCTTTCTTTTCTTCTCGCTCCAGCGGGGCCATGCCATCCTTCCACACTGCTGCCCTCCATCACCTTCACCTGCTGCCCTCACTGCTCCTAACCTGAGTGACGCAAAAGTTACTTCTGAGTCGACTCACCGCTTTCTTCTCTTCTCGCTCCAGCCGTGCCATGCCATCCTCGTCCACACTGCTGCCCTCCATCGCCTCCTTCACCTGCTGCCCTCACTGCTCCACCCCCAGTGGAGAAGTCACTTCTGAGTGACTCATAAGTCACTTCTAAGTCAACTCACCGCTTTCTTCTCTTCTCGCTCCAGCCGTGCCATGCCATCCTCGTCCACACTGCTGCTCTCCATCGCCTCCTTCACCTGCTGCCTCCTCGCCTCACTGCTCCTCTGCAGATGTTGAATGCGTTAGGCGCACAAAAAGCACAGGCATGAACACACACACACACACACACACACACACACACACACACACACACACACACACACACCCCACAACCAGCCAGAAACAACCACCCTTGTAGAGGTGTTACAAAGGGAACACAGAAAGCACAGGCATGAATAATAGTTCGCAAGCCACATACGTTGGAATGTAAAACTGAACCAAGGATTACTATCAAGTGCTCTCAAACTCGAATCTGGAATCCTTAACTCTCACCACCACCTCTCAAACTTCCCCCCCTCACATTCCTCTCCTGGACCATATGCATCTGCCCTCCCCCTCCTCTTTCTCTCCCTTTACCTCTCACACTCTGCTCTGCCCCACCTTTCTCTCCTGGGCCATCTGCAGCTGACCCTCCGCCTTCACAATCTCCCCCCCAGCAGCCTCAATCTCCGCCCCCCGCCGCCGCTCCTTCTCCTGCTGCCCGCGCTTCATCTCGTCCCACTGCTCCTGCAGCTCTGTCAGCCTCTTAGCTGCGCGCCTGCCCAGCTCCACTGCTTCATCGCTTGCCAGGGGCACGGGACCTATGTCTCCGAGGTCGTGCTTGGAGAAGAGCTCCTGCAGGCACCTGTCTCGCTCGTTGCAGTCCCTCTCGTGCACCTGGGCAGGGAAGACAGTTAGCACATGTTTTTAAGGCGCTTTGTTTTAGACAATTTTGGAGGCGCTTCAGGAAAAGGCGCAACAAGCAGAACACAGCACGCATGCACCTCTTTCTCCACTTGCAACCGGCTGACCAGCTGCTTGTCCCTGCTAGTGAGACGAGGTACAGAAAATGCGCAACATGCAAGCAAGCAGGCAAACAAGCAAGCGCGCACCTCTTTCTCCACTTGCAACCGGCTGACCAGCTGCTTGTCCCTGCTAGTGAGACTAGTTTGGAGGTACAGAAAATGTGCAACATGCAATCAAGCATGCAAACAAGCAAGCACGCACCTGTTTCTCCACTTGCAACTGGCTGACCAGCTGCTTGTCCCGCTCGCTGCTCGTGACACGGGGTGAAGGGTCCCTCAAAGGAAGACACAGTAACAGCGCACCTCTTTCTCCACTTGCAACCGGCTGACGACCTGCCTGTCCCGCTCGCTGCTCTCCCGCTCCGCCTCCTGCTGAATCCTTAGCTCGCTCAGTTCCCGTGTGGTGCGCGCCAGGCTGCCCTCCAGCTTCGCCACCACGCCCTCAAATTCCCGCCGCCACTCTTCAAGTTTCTCGTCCGACTCTGCTTGGGGGGGAAAGAAAAGGAGGGGGTTGCTGAATCCTCAGCTCGCTCAGTTCCCGCGTGGTGCGCGCCAGGCTGCCCTCCAGCTTGGCCAACACACCCTCAAACTCCTACAGCCACTCCTCCAACTTCTCGTCCGACTCTGCTCGGGACAGAAGAAGAGATGCAGGTGAGGGATTCAGGACGTGAGGGCATGTGGGCGTGAGGGCATGTGGGCGTAAGAGCCTGAGGGCTTCAGGTCACGAACACTCTCTTCCAATACAGATTGGTCACTTACCCTGGTTGTCTGACACTATGTTGGCGCGTTGCTGCACCTTCTGCCGCGACAGCAGCTCCAGGAAAGCAGTTGGGGATTCACTGTAAGCCAGAATAGTATCAACATGGGCCACTCACCATCATTGTCTGACACTATGTTGGCGCGCTGCTGCACCTTCTGCCGCGACAGCAGCTCCAGCCGCCCCTCTTGCGTCTGCAAATCCGCCTTCAGCTGTCTCAACCGCGCCAGACAGCTCTCCACCTCGCTCTGCCGCACCCGCCGCTCTGCAATCTGCCCCTCCAGCCTCTCAATCTGCGCTACCAGGCGCTCTGACTGGCCTGAGTCTGCCTTTATGCCCTCCTGTAGCTGCTTGCAGGAAACGAGGAGAGACGAAGAGATTCCAGAGATGTTGAAGGAGGTGGAGGCTTGACAGTAGACGCAGCGTGCCTAAATCATCTCCATCCTAAAGGAATTCGTTGCCCTTCATGCTCAAACGGTCTTTAATGTGCTTCAAATACCACGTACCCGCAAGGACGTGTCGAGTATGTTCCTGAGGTTCTCCGCCTTGAGCTTCATCTCCTTTATAAGCTGCGCCTGCTCCTTGTGTACCTTCTTCAGTGCCTCCAGCGCCTTAGTGTACCTGACACACAACACAGAACGACATCATCAAACTTCTATTCAAGCAGGGTAAGCTCAGGAAGCAGCTCCTTTGCTGCAAACCTGCGTTTGCAAGGTCGGTCACTGTCACATCACCCAAGAACCTACTTAGTTGCAGAGAAGATATCGTCGAACTTCTTCTTGAGCAGCGCGGGCTCAGCGAGGGGCCAATTGGCGTCGTCCTGGTGAACAAAAATCACGTTCTCCAGCACCGCCTTGGGCACGCCCATCAGCAGCGGGATCTCACGGTCCATGTCCGCACAGCGGTAGCTCAGTGACACGCGCTGATTGGGGTGGGGGGGGGGGGAGGGAGGGAGGGGAGGGGGAGCGGAGGGTGTGGCTTGCATGTGAGTTGGCTCACTGGCCCTTCAGCAGTGGGATCTTCCGATCAATGTCCGCACACACTATCAATGGCCTTGAACTCCATCTTGTTGGCCTCTTCGTGTTTTCACCACATGCAACAAGCGGCCTCCCTGTAAAATTTCCTGCTGCTGCCGCATACGCACCTCGCCCGTAGTACTGTTTATTGTCTGCAGCACGCTCTCAATGGCCTTGAACTCCATCTTGCTGGTCTTCTGCGTGAGTGAGAAATTGCGCACGCTCACCACGTCCTTGCCTGCTGCCGTGCGGAACCGCAGCTTGATCTGCCCCTTGGTCTCCGTTATATGCGCCACCTGCCCAGCAGCAGCACGGGAACACAGAAGCACGAGCGTCTTTACAAGCTTGCATTGCGTTGCGTTTCATAAATATCTGATCTCGGAATGCACAATGACTGAATGGCCTCAGAATGCACCATGACTGGCACATCCATTGAAGATCTTATGAAAACGAAGTCCATGCTTCCAGACACGTCCATTGCAGCATGACCAACCTTCGGATCGTGAATGAAAGAGTGGCCGGATCGAGCGTTGGGAGGGAGCTCTCCCGTTGTTGCACATTTCAGGCACTCGATAATGGTCTGCATGGATCCGGAGGCAAGCAGTTACACACAGCGCAAAGAATCGAATTTTGCACAATTAAAATGCAAACGAGGCCGCATGAAGAACAATGAAGGGCTGTAAGGAAGAAATAAAGGCAGCAGAGCTTGATCAGTTACAGCCTGAACCTGTAATATGTGAATTGACAAAGACGAAGGTGCAAGATATGTTCAGCCAGTTATAAAACGCGACTCCCTTACGGTTTTTCCGGCTCCATTAGGACCGACGATGAGTGTGAGCGGCTTGAAGAATGTGATGACTGCTTGGTTATCCGGACTGAAGCTCCGGATACCCTTGATCAGCATCTTATCAACGGTACACATGGCTGCAAATACTGACGGCCTTCCGGCCAACCGCCTGCGAATGACAACTCGGAGTCATCATGAGTTCACACGGATTCACACGGATTCGGTGCGTGCTTTGAAGAAATCAGTCAGCGATCCAAAGGATAGACAGGAGCGAACACGAATACGAGATCAAAACTTACTACAATACGCGAGGTTACGTCGTCAACCGGTGCTGAGATGATAAGAACTTGGTAAACTTCGATATTTCTGATAACGACCGTAGGAGCGGTTACTGGTCAATTGTGCTGATGATTCTGAACGCCCGCAGCAACTGCCGCGAAGCACAGAGATAAGATTGCTGAAGCTGGCCAAATCATGTGTTTCGAATCCGCAATCTAGAGGTATTTGTAGCTCTAGAAGACAGACTTACAACAACAACGAAACGTGGAAATGTGGCCATGTAGTCTTGGTCGTGTGCCTAGTGCGAAACAGCTCTTTGTGGAGCTAGGATCATCCCGCGGAATTTTTGGGTATGTTTCCTCCATAGTAAAACTCCTCGAGTGGCTTCATGCTCATGAAGCCTCGAGAGCATCTAGGGACAGAAACATACAGACAATCTCGAGGTGTCGTATAGTCGTGCATTCGATACAGGTACAGTAACATTATTATCTTATTTCAGCTGTTAACGTTGTTTGCAAAGCTCTGGGAACTGAAATGGAGGAATGGATGAATTCAAAACAATGCAGGTGTGTACGTAGGAAAACATTGCAGCACGGTGTGATCATTCCAGGCGGTATATCTTACGGGATTCCCCAGGAAAAGTCGGTTTGTGGGCTATCAATATGACGTAGCAACGCCTAGCCAAGCCAGCCTGCCAGCCCGCTAACTTGCAGTTTTTGTCAATAGAGTGGTAATCTAGCTTTAGTGGAGATTTCGAATCTGTGTCTGTGTCAGAGCTAGTAAGGAAGGACTAAACAAACACAAATTCAAATTGAACTGCAAGTAGCTTCCAGCAACACGTATCACCCATCAACACAAACACACAAAAAACTGATAGCGCACACGCATCTAGCACACAGCTATGCACCCTCCTCCTAGGATGGTGCATCTTGTATGAAACTGCATATAAACAAGTCCTAAAACACAAAGTCTTAGGCTAACGCAAGCACTACTCCACATCAGAAATGCGTAGTCCTTGGGCTATGAACTTCAGAGACACTCTAGTGATTTTATTCGAGTGGTGCAGTCACTGCGTGTCTATCCAACGCGGAAGGAGGAAAGGATCTGCTTAATATCACTAGAGTACTTCTTCCATTGCCGGCCTGATGGGTGGGAGCACAGATGAGAGAGGGTGGAGGAGAGAGTGGAGGGCAGGGTTGAAGCATCGTGAGCATGCAAACAAGGGATCTGCTTGATGTCACTAGAGTATTTCTTCCATTGCCGGCATGGTGGGGTTGGGGGGCACAGAGGAGGCAGTAGGGACCGTGAGAAACGGGGGCAGAGAGGAGGGTGGAGAGTAAGCAAGGTGTAGGGACCGTGAGCAGGAGGAGAGGAACAGCTTGATGTTCGAGTACTTCTTCCATTGCCGACCTGGTGGGAGAACAAAACATAGGAGGGTGGAGAGGCGGGTGGAAGAGAAGGGAGTGGAAGGTTAGGTGGAAGCATGGTGAGCTGCTTGAGAAAAGAGTCTGCTTGAGGTCTCGCCGTGCCGCCTTCCATCGATGACCTGGTGGGGAGCGAAGTAGAAGCATAGTGAGTGCGAGCTGAGGCTTTCAAACGGAAAGGCTGCATAGACAAGGGTGGAGAGAAGATGGTGCTGTGAAGGGGTGCCAGGACAGGGATGGGAGAGGAGCAAGTAGAGCAAATTCGACGGACTGTGGGCACACGCTGAGATGTGTGGGATTTTATAGGAGCACCACATCCCCTCACCCTCACAGCACTCACTAGACACAGCCCGCAGTGTATATAGATACCAAGCACACACTTAGAAGAAGCACATCTAGTTACTTACCACCAGCAGAGCCTACACACACAGTTTGGGATCCACCTGATGCAGCAACCAGACACACACCTAACGATACCCATATACGTACATGCGGTTGCCAGCAGCGTTGTGCCACCCCTGGTACCCCCTCCCCCAGACCAGACTCAGAGCCACCTCAAACACTATTACTCCCCGCCATCACAGCACTCGCCAGAGGCAGCGGGGCCCATGATGAACATGCAATGCAAGTGCCAGCAGCAGTGGAATTTGGGGGCAAACAAAACGCCCTCTCAGGATTCACAAACCCACAATGCAGCGACCACCCACTCACCCATGAGCCTGCACAGGCAGTTTGAAACTCACCAGACGCAGCGATGCCCATGATGTACATGCGATTGCCAGCAGCAGTGGCGGACACGAGGATATGCGGGTGAGTTAAAGCCTGCCGGACCACAGGACCCCCTTTGACTCCCCTCACCGCACTCACGAAACGCAGTGATGCCCATGATGTACATGCGATTGCCAGCAGCAGTGGCGGACACGAGGATATGCGGATCCACGTCATACTCGTAGTACGTGCACCCGCCCTTATTACTCAGCTTCCCTCACAGCACTTACCAGACGCGGCAATCCCCATGATGTACATGCGATTCCCGGCAGCAGTGGCGGACACGAGGATATGCGGGTCCACGTCATACTCGTAGTACGTGCGCCCGCCCTTATTCACCACCTTGGTGCTGTTCACGCGCCCCTCCACGTTCTCGCCCGTGATTTCGGGGCCGAACGCGGTGATCACGCGCTCCGGGTCGCCCACGCTCTCGATTCGCACGTCGTCGCCCAGCCCGTCGGCGAATCGCAGCACGGGTGCGACGACGATGAACAGCTTTCCCTGCTGCTTGCTCGCGAACCGCAGGTCGATCTCCGTGCCGCCCAGATCCGCAATCGACACGGGCGTCTGCGGGGAGAGATTGAAGGGATTGGGAGCGGTTGAGAGTGGTTGGAAAGAGGGAGAGAACTGATTAACTACGAAGGCGAACCACTACGTGAATCTGGACTGAACTGCGCTACTAGTCACCGCCGAATGATATCGAAGCCTTGATTGCATATCATTGGCTATCGCGCCAAACGACGTATTGCACGTGATGCGCATCATTGCGGCGAACCACGGCGCACTATTGGCGGTGAACGTGATGCGCATCACCGTGGCGATTGCACGGGTTGCAATTGCTCCCACGACGGCCTCGAAACGACTCGAGATATGAATCCAGAAGGTGCGCCGTCGCCACACCGCGTCACTCGTTGTGGTGTCGAATCAAACCGATTCGATTCAATTTGATTAAACGCATTTTGATTGGATTTGATTGAGTGCATTTACACTCCATCAGCTCCATGGTTACCGACGACTGCGGCTCGGTGAAGCTGTACGGGATCTCAAGGACTGTTTTGATTTCAGCACAAGTTATACCGAACAGGTTATAAACGCGTACCTCCTCCCAGGTATCGGGCACGTCGAAGGAGTAGGGGATGAGCTCGCTCCATCCCACGCCATGCCCTCCGGACTTGCTCGAAGGCCGCTTGTACGTGCGCCAGCCTGGGGACAACACACACAAGGAACAGCACACACGCAGACATAGACGCAACGGAGTCTAGAAATGGCGTCTCAACGATTGCTTGCATTCTTCATACAATAAACGGACAAACGGAACAGACACGGACACGCACGGAGTCTCAAATACAAGGCGGAGGCGGAGACCTCGATGAAAGGATCGTGAGGGTACGAAGAGGTGCGAAGTAACGGAGCACTTTGTGTTACCGTTTTCGTCGGGTTCGGAGAGCCCCGGAACGCGGCCGGCGACGGCGGTGGTGGGAATGATTGCATTCGCCGGGCCGGCGGCGAGCGAGGCGGCGAGAGCAGCCATAGCCGGGAGCGCTACAACCGCGCGACGCGTGACGGGTGCCACGGCTGTAGCGGGAATCACGGCCGGAATGGCGGACGGTGCAGCATCTTGATCGCTCGCTGAGGCTGCGACGAATGGCTTGGGCGTGGCTCGTCGCAGAGGCGAGTGCGACGAAGGGGTGGCGGCGGTGCGAAGGCGGAGAGCGAGTCGGGACGACTGGGAGAGGCAAGTGAGCTCCGCCATGACTTCTATTGAGGCGCCTCAAAGGCCGACGGTGAGAACTCTACGTTGCGGGGGATGAAGTGAACAAGTCACACGGTCGAGCTATCTCCGTGAAAGCCAAACTGAACAGAATAATCAACACTGTCACCAGTTGGAAAGGTATTTATCCACTGAATGGTCTAGCCTTGGATGGAAATGGCTCCTCGGACTGGAAATGCTGGAGTGAGGAGGATGGTGTCTGGGCAGCTGGATTTGGAGGGAAAACTAGGACCAAGGGAGTGACGTTGCGAACTTCAGCGAACGGTTTTAGAAATTCACGATTGGAGTGACGAACGGTTTCAGGGAGTAACTCTGATTGTAGAGTGCGATTGGGCGAGTGACGAAAGACCCCACGAAGGCTTCGAGATTTTGATGACGAGGCGGTTGCACCGACGGGGGGACACTTGCCCGAACGTAATTGGAGGAACGCCCGCTCAGCAACGATGCGC